TTTATTTTTACTACTTTTAAGAGTATAGTTACCTTAAAGGTAGTAACTAAGGTCTTTATTATCTTTATTACCTTCTTTTTTTATAAGTAACTACCTTTATAGCTAGTAAAAAAGGTTTAATATATAGTTAGTAAAGAGTCTTTTACTTAGTAGTTATTTTTAAATTATTAATATACCTTATATTACTTATTAGTAGTATATTTTATTAACTAGTAACTAGGCTTATAGTAATATAGTACTTCTTAGTATTATAGTTACTATTATTATTACTATAATAGTTACTATTACTATAGTTATTACTAAACTACTAGTTATACCTTTAGCTATAGTAAGTATAGTTAACCTAGTATTAATTATTAAGGTCTACTTAGTACTAGCTAACCTTATTATTATATTTTATTATAGTACTTACTAATAACTATAGTTAGTTATAGACTTCTTTTAATATAGGCACTAGATTAAATAGGTATAATTTACACTTATAAACTCTAGAGTAATATTTAATAGCTAGGATTAAAGGACTTTATTATTATAGTAGCTATTAGGTAATACTTACTAGATAAGGTTAAGTTTATTAATAAGTTTCTTAAGTACTTTAAGCTTACTCTTCTTAGGGTTATTATATATAATATAGTAAAAGGTAGTATTTCTACTTAGTAAAGTATATTTAAATAGCTTTAGGGCTCTTAAAGTAAGCTCTTATTTAAGTAACTATAGTAGTAAGGTCTTAGATATTCTTGCTACTAATTTAGGTAAAATAAAAGGTAAAAGCCTTACCTTTAAGTATTAATAAGAAGGCTAATACTATCTAGTGTCTTTTAATACTAATTTTACTATAGTTATTATAGAATAAGTTTAACTTAACGTTAAGTATATTATATATTTTACTAGTATACTTAGATTTATTAGTAATAATCTTAGTTAAGTACCTAATTACTAGGAAAAAAATAGTTACTAGTAGTACTACTCTTAATTAGTAGTAGCTATCCTATACCTTAAGGTTCTATAGGATTAGTGTATAAGTAAGTAAAGGTTCTTACTATAATTAATAATAAGTAAAAAAGGATAATAGACTATTACCTTATTAAGATAGTCCTTATATTAAGTTATATAAAGGAAGTAGTAAATTTATATAGATTAAGTCTACTATAGTAATACTAAGGTTTACTACTTTTACTACTATAACTTCTATACTTATTTATTAAGTTAGGCCTATATTATTACTAGTTATTACTTAAGGTTTATAAATATTACTAGGCTTTATTTAGTTATATAGGTAATAGGTTACTATTACTGTTTTTACTTATACTACTCTAGGCTAATATAACTATATTAGATATTATTTAAGAAGCTATTATATATTTTAATAAGCCTATTAAATATTACTAACTTATACTATACTTTTTTAACTTCTTTATCTATCTAAATATAAAACTTATTATTATTAACAATAGTAATAAAGTATAAGGTAATTTATTAATAGTCTTTAGGTATAAAGATGCCTTAGTTAAAAGGAAGTTATAAAAAATTAATAGTAGTGTTTTACTAGTAGTACTAAAGAGGGCTTTATTTATTTATTAAAGTAATATTAAAAGTCCCTCTAGAGCTTATAACCTATAAGGGTATATTTAGCTATTTAGCTATATAATAAGTAAAGTAGAAGTAAATAGTAAAAGGGTCTTACTTATTAAAAAGGATTTCTTAGCTATACTTCTTATAGTTAATATATTTTACTATAGAGGTAAGCACCTTAGGGTATAAGGTACTACTAAATTAACTTATTATAAAGTTAGTTATTAAGGTTAATTAGTAGTAATTACTATATAACTTTTATAGTAGTAATTAAGTAGTAATTTTCTTTTTAATATAACTTACACTTATAAGTCTAGATAGTGCTAGGTTAGTTTTATATATATAAGGTAAATAAGGATAAGTTTTCTAAAGGGGTAAATATAAAGATAAAAAAAAAGTTAAATAAGGTAGTAATTATTACTACTTAAGTATCTCTTCTTAATAGCGCTATAGTTAGTATAAAAAGGTTCTTGCTTATTAAAGGGGTTCTAATAGCGTAATAGACACTATAGTGTTTCTTGTAGAGGTAAAGTAGCCTTAATAATACTTAACTTAGTTAGTAGTCTACTAGGTTATAGTAGGCTAAGTAAACTCTATAATAGTAAGCCTTATTAATTACTAGTTATTAGTAATAATTAACTATTAATTAATATTAGTTTTTACTAGTTAATTAATAAGGATCCTATATCTTATAATATTATAAAGGTTAAGAAAAAGTAGTTAATTTATTAGTTTATTAATAGTTAACTAGTTAATAAGGTAAAGTAGAAGTATAAGTATAGTAGTACCTTTGTGTATAGGCAAAGGTAAAGTATTCTGCTAGTAGGCAGTGTATTATATAACTTACTGCCTCTGGCTATATTACCTATATACTAATAGCCTCTTTAACTATAGTATTAAAGGTAGTAATAAAGTTACCTTTTATAAATATAAGGTTATTTTTTTATATATACTTATAGAGCACTATCTATTAGGCCTTCTTAAAGTATTAGAAGACTCTTATATTTATTAGTTAAAGAAAATATATTATATAAAGTAAAAAAAAAGTAAAAATAATATTAAAGTTAATATAATATTTTATATACTCTAGACTTATATAGCCTATAAATCTATTAAAAAAAAAAAGTAATATAGCTACTTTAACTTTTCTATAGTATCTTAATAGTTATAATACTTTACTTTTTATTTACTTAGTTAACTATTAAGTAAATATAAATTATAAGTATTATAACTATATATATTAATACTAAAATAGTCTTTAAAAAAGTAGCCTATCTAGTAATACTTTATTAACCTTATATATAACTCTATATTAAAGTACTATATATAGTCTATTATAATCTCTTAGTTAAAGAAGCTAGTTAGTAAATATATAAAGTAGACACTTTCTTAGACTTAGTAATTTACTTAAGTAATAACTAGCTATATTTTAAAGATTATATATACTAAAATAATATTACTAAATATATTACTAGACCTAACTAAGGTATATAACTCTTAATTAGCTAGATTTATAACTTTAGGTAAGTAGTTATATTTTAGTAGCTACTTAAAAATAATTATATATAGCTAGCTACTAAAGTAGCTAATCTAGCACCTAGATTTATTAGTGTTCTATATCTTAAATAAGCTAATATTATACTTATAAAGGGTAGTCTAGTACTAGGTAAAAAAGTCCTTTATTAAGGCTAAGTTTAACTTAGCCCCCTTTTAGTATAACTTAACTAGTTTAATAGTGCTTTTTTTCTAAAGCTTTAAATAGTTAGTAAGCTAGCTTTAGATAAAGTACTTAGAGACTAGTAGTTAACCTTAGATACTATAAAAGTAGTTAGCTATTTCTTTAACCTAGAGTAGTAAGGCTAAAAAGCTAGATTTATAAAGCTATATAATAAAGGCACTAAAAGCTATATCTTTAGCCTTTATAAGTAACTAAGGCTAGCTAGGCTTATCTAGGCTAATATAGAGGTTATAGCCTTCCTAAAGGGCCTAGAGGTGCTTCTAAATTACTATATAAGATATACTATAATCTTAAGTAGCCTAGTATATAAAGGGTATATTAGTTACTAGCTTACTTACTTATTAGTAAGTTACTTATTAATAAGTAATATATAGTATCTTAGCTACTTTTTTAGTAATAGTTATATTTTTATTATATTAGTAAGGTATATTAAAAGGTTAAAGTAAAGTAAGTAGTTTAATTACTATTAATATTTATTAATAATATATTTAAATAATTACTTGTTTTTAGTAAGAATATAATAAAAAGTAGGACTAGGTTAGGACAAGTGGTAACCCTATTTTCCTAGTGGTAACCCCATTTTTTTGCCCCCTCCGTGAGGAGGGGGTGTTTAGCTTTGACGAAGGCTGACTAACACCCTCGGGTAGTGCAAAGGATTCAATCCCTGAATATCACCCGATCATCCTAGCCCTTAACCCCAACCCTGAACCCTAGCCAGACACGCCAAGAAAGCACCCTTTACGCTGCCACCCCGCCCACATCCGCCGGTAGACCGGCCCCGTCGCTCCGGGCACCGCCTCAGACTGCACCTACTACGACACTGCCGTCGACAGCTCCTACAACTGCGACTCTTTCCAGAGCGAACGGGGCCTCTCGGCTGCAGGCTTCCTTGACTATGTAAGTTTGCCTTACCTTAGACGCCAATGAACACCAACCGCTGACAACAAACCACATAACCCCAGCGTCGGCGCCGACTGCTTCGACATCATCCTCGTCAACTCCTACTGCGTAAAGGTCAACTATGGTCTCCCCTGTGCTACTCGGTCCTGGTGGGGCTAACATTACCTGTAACTTACTAGGTTGTAACACTTAGGTAAATTACTAGTCTAGAATTCATACCAATAGTATCTCACTCAAGAAAGGCTTAACCTTAAACACCTCTCCATCCATAACACCGTCAAGGTAACAGTCCCCTACTAAGCGGTACCGTGTAGGCCCATAACCTGTGCAGCCTTGACTTTGTTTTCGGAGAACAAACGGTACTCTGCCCCCCTTCAAAACCCATATCTCGTCACCAGGCTGTACGCCAGGGTGACACAATCCTACGTTACCTTTCGCCGTCACGAAAAGACCACGACCGTATGTGGCGCAATGAAGAGCTTCCAAAAACCTCCCGTCCATTGGTGGCCGTCTTCCCAATCTCCAAGCACTTATAGCGCTTGATAGCCAGTTTTCGTACAACGCCTCGTGACCTTCATCAAGCCTCATTAAGCGCATCTCCTCCTCAATCATTATCTGGTTCCCAACCAAGGTTCGCCAGAAGGCCCGCTGTGCTGGCGCCCTGAACGGCTGCCTTCCGTAGGGTACCTTGAGCCCAGCTACACGGAGCCAATCCAAGATGTCTCGTATTATATTCCAGTCATGCTTAGAAGACGTGCATTCGGAAACCCGAACAACCTCGCCCACCTTGTTGTTACAGCAGACACCTGTCAAGGAAAGAAGCATTCCTTCACGAACTTCGGGTGGGTTCTTTGTCTCTGCTTCATCGCTCTCGGATATCCAGGCATTATACAGGTCGTAAGACTTTAATCGTTCCATTTCGTACAAGACAGAAGTCTCGTGAGGTCGGTAGGCCAAGTCGCGGACCCAGGATGGCAGGTCGCTATGTTCCCTGCTGAAGCCATCACCAGTAAGAAACCTTAGATTCCCTTGTCTGTATTGCCGAGCAATGGCTGTTGCTGTGCCGCAGAAAACATCATGAATCGAACGAGAGTAATCGGGCGTAAGAAGTGCCTGGGAAGCCTCGTCAAATGCGGTCCGATTCACCAGTCCGAGTGTGCCGTAAACCTTGTCCCGTGGATCTTTGCAGTCTTTGTAGCGATATAGCCTCAGCGTCCGGTCAAGACTGTTTCCCAGGTCCTCGTTATTTCTATCGCTTACACTCTGTTCCGCCTGCGGGTCCAGAGTAAGGCCTCGGGTCTTCTTCTGGGTTTGAGCCACCAGTAAGTTGTCCGGCGTGACACCGTAACTTATGGGTATTTTCTTATTATTTGCTCTGCAACATGTCCTTGCATGCTTCATCAGGTTACATGCTGCCGATTGCAGGCGCTCCCAGCTGACTTCGTACTTTCCGCTCCGCACCACTGCCTCTCGCGGGAGGATGGCCTCCTGCACGCACCAAAGCCTAGACCACCAGCGAGCTTTCAAGCTGGAGGCAATGCCGTCCCACAAGGACTCAAAGGCTTGAGTATTGTAAAACCGGAAGGAGGACTCGCCAAACGCGAAAATCCGACGGTAGAAGCAAGGAAGCTCATGGAAGTGCTTGTCGTCTGCAAAAAATTCCACACCCATGAAAGGATTGAAGTGCGTATAGTCGCCTGCATGGCAGAAAGAAACTGTTGCCATGTCGAGCTTCTGAACAATCGCCAGCGCAGCCGCAGACAGAAGACGGCGTGCGACAAAACTTGTGGGATAAATACGCACCGAATTCCTCCGGGCGGGTACGAAAGGCCCATTGAGAAGTCAAAGATGACATAGGCATGACCGAAATACATTTATGAATATGAAGCCAAAGGGCTCTGCGCGCTCTAGCAATCGGGCTGTTCCGAATCCTGGGCGTTGATATGGGCGAGATGTCAAGCCAGATGATAACCCTAAAGCATTGCTTGTAGATCTCATCCATCATACCGACCTGATGTGTCTTCTCAACAGCGGTCTTCTGGTCTATGCAAAGTGCATCAACCCAGAGTATGCGCGTGGACCCCGGAAATCGCAGATGTCTTAGCGCCGACTCGAGATTGATCGTGACGTTCATTTGCTCGCCGTCAAGGAGGATAGGCCGTACGACTTTGGGGTCTCCCCATGCGTAGGACAAGGCTTCATACACTGGGTGTTTCTCGAGTCCTATAACCTCCAATTGGCATTGAATGTCTTCTTCCCACTTGCCGGGTAACAAGTGTAGAAGGCGTATGTCTTTGCTCTCAAGTGAAATTGGCTTGTACAAGTAAACCTGTCGGGCGGTCATATTGAGGTCTTTGCTCTTCATGTTTGTTGAGAAGGATGTATTTGCCCTGTGGAATGAGGCTGCCTTGTCCCAGTGTTCTCTGGGCGAAGAAGTCGGGCAATCGCTCTGGATGCAGTGCTTTGCTGTTCGAAAAGACTTCGGAGCTCTTGGACAACTTGAATGAGGCTATTAATTCTCGCAGTTTTCGTTTTGGAAATTGAAAAGGGGATTTTAAAACAGGCTGCAGCCTCCATTCATCGAATGCAAATAGTGCCATTCTACGGAAACAACTGATAATATTCGGCCCGTGGGCCATCTATCTGACCGGCGAGCTTGATTACACGACATAACAAGCGTAAGCACTCGGCATCAGTGGCAACGCCAAGGTCAGCTTGTCCAGTCGCTCAGCCTCCTCCAGCCCTGGTTGATAGGTAAGACGAGGAAAAGGGATGCAAATTGCCACCCAGCTGCCCCCAGATCTTTCGCCCCTATCTTTCTCCACATCAGCCAACTTGACTGACTGGGTTGACCGTATCAACCCCTTCTGCAAACATAACACAAACTAATGGCGATGCAGTCGCGTTTTTGGCCCATACGAAATCACTTCCCATAGATATCAAGAAGAAACTAAGAGTGTTTTGAATGTTTCACTAGAGAAAATCAATGTAAACTAGGTGAGGAAATACGAGAATCTAATACTGATATGCACCTGTGCGGCGTCGCCTATCAAAATAGCAAAGCAGTACAATCGTGTGAAGGCTTAGTAATACCTATCGCCATCTGGAAATACCCCATCTGAGACAGCAACGTCCAAGCCGCAACTGCCAGACAGTCAAAATGGCAACAATGAGACTTGACGTAGGCTGAGAGCGGTGAGTGCTGTCAGGTTGGCTCAACGCCAAGGAACGCGTGATTCATGACTGGATACTTGTCCAGCCAGCTGTGCATCTGACTAGCGAATTTCCACCTACGGCTAGCTATTTGCGCAGTGGCTACTCGTAACGACTCTGTGTCTTACATAAGTCAATTGACTCCATAAAGGAACAGATCTACTCGCTGTCTGTATGCGTCATTATAGGGCAGCAGCGTAGGTGTTAAAGTACATGTAATATTACTATCGTAATCCTTGTTTAATTCTATAAACAATATCGTAGTCTATCATCTCACCCACGCTCCGAAGACATAACACTGATGGTAAATTATACATAATTTTGGATGTTTCTACATGGGTGGAATTACATATCTAGTGTTTCTCTACTAAATCTGCCTATTTCAGCTCAGTGGGCTCGTCAGGCGCTTCCGTCTTGCCCACGCTTCAACAGTCAGATTTCTAGCCTTACTCGAACTGTGGCCCGCGTTACCTTCAACCACCAAAGGGGTTAAGACAGTGATAGCTGCTGCAACACCCCTGGGAGGGTATTCGATCTTTTTATCTCTTCAGGCTCGGCTTCAACAAGTAGCCAAGACCCTCTGCCGTCTCATCTGCGGATGCCCAGGTAGGGTCTTGACTTTGAGCATTCATGGTCAGGGAGAGCGCTCAAGTGGGTCTGATTCGTTCAATCCTCCCGGTGCCCGACGAGGCATCCGGAGGCGCGTCGCAAACTATCGTTACATGTACATAGCCCGGGTTGTCCGGGTGCTGGTGTGCGTGTAGCAGTGCATCAAAGAGCTGGGCAGGGTCTGTATTCCCATCTCATAGGCAATTTCAGCAAAGTGAAAGAATAAACTTTATTCACAACCCGGTCCAGGAAAGGCCGGCAATTCCATTACAATTCCCTGACACTTCGCAGCCTTATCGTCATGAGCCCACTTGAACGCGAGCCCCATTTGCACCCCGTCCAGATCCAGACAAATACCCCGACTCGCCGATTCTCGTCCTCCAAGGCCTTCTTTACCGCGTTCCCCTCCTCTCCGCCCTTCTTTTTGGCTTCCTTCACCATCGCCTCTACCGCACTCCGGAGCTGCGCCGGGTACGCGCCCTTGACCTCCTGGAATGACTCGCCGCCCCTGATAAGGGTGAAGTTCGGTAGGGTGGTCACGCGGTAGCGGCTGGCCACGTCGGGCACAGCGTCGACGTCGACCTTTGCGAAGACGATGCTACCCGGGGCCGCGTGTGCGGCGGCCAGCTGTGCAAAGGCCGGTGCGATGGTACGGCATGGCCCGCACCACGCGGCGTAAAAGTCGACGACGACGTAGGTGTTACCAGAGAGCAGGTCGTCGAAGGCCGGCGGCGTTTCGATGGCCACGATTGCGTCCTGTTTCTTTTCCTGCGGGGCTTGCGCGGTAGTGGTGGCGGTTGTGGGATCGGCCATGGTCGTGTTGAGGGTGGGTGGGCTAGGAGGAGGTGAGGTGTGCCGAAGGAGCTGACACTGAATAGCTTCGTCTGGTTTATGGACGTGTTCTTGTGATAACTTGCTATTTGAGCGCGTTGAGCTGTTGACACGGGAAAGGGAGGGATGACAGCTGCCTATTTAGGCTTCGGTCCGAGATCATCCACCTTCGTTGCGAGGAGCCAGCCAGATCCGGTGCCGTACCGGATTTCGGAATTAACCTTGACGCGCCAGAAGTTGGTTGTATGGAGTATAATCACCAGTTCATCTGCCCGGAATGCAATGTTTGGATAGCAGTACGACATATATTCCTGGTTGTTTCGGCAGCACGCGATGTTCCCACCTCTGCCCTTACAATTACACTAGAAAGTGATCAATCATCCGATGCCTGGCACTCTACCCTCAGTATGTGTCCTGTCGGTTTCTTGGCCGAGTCGCAGAAGTAAAGTTCGTTTCGCTTCTCCGTACTTACTCCATGGTGAAGAGTATTGCTGCCCGTGGATCCGGAAGGTGGCTTCCCTTTTCTTTTCTTCTTTTTCTTTCTTTTTTCCCCCTACCCGGTAGGTACCTATCTTTACTTCCGGTCAAGAAGACTCCTGGATGTGGTGTTTCGCGCTGTGCCGGCTCTTAGGCCCTCGGTGTCTGGCCCTCGCTGGAAAAGCCGTTGTTTCTAGGCCGGTGTGTGATTGAACGCTGTAAAATGATTTGTTGGAAAAGTGGAATGCTCGGATAGCCAAAACCTTCGGATCTGTCCAACCTGATCTAATGCAACAAATATTCTGACTGGTCAGAGATGATCTTGTCCGTTTCCATTCTTAAAATGCTTAGACCGGTAACAAAGGCTCTCCCCCGCCTTACCTCCGACCGCTAGCCGGACAATGTGTTGTGAAGCCTTCGCCTGACTGCAGAGGGACATAGGTTTAATCAACACGTAGCACTAGGTGAACATTAGCTCTGTGAATCTGTCCTAACTGCCCTACCTTCCGATGTCAAGAATCAGATAAGGGCCAGCCGTACGATGCTGGGAATTCATGCAGGGAATTTAGATCGTCTGCTATCCTTTTGGTGACACAGCTGGGCATTTCGGTGGCCTAGCACCTTGAAATAAAAGTGTCTCTCCGGGTTTTCGGACTGTAGTAAGCGTCCTCACTGATGACACGGCACTCCACGGCATCTTATTATGGGAAATTAGCACCAAGTATCAGTCTCTAGAATGGCAAAAATAATTCAATAGCGAGTTTCCTAAGGGCCTGTGATTCCCCCCCCCCCCCCCCACCGTGATTATTAGAGATACTAAAGGAATGCTAGATGTGGCTCACTTGTAACATCAGCAGGCACAAGGGTTATGAAGTCACAAGAAAATTCAAGCTTTAACCCGAACAGGCCACGGGTAAAAGAGCGCGCGCACATACTCACACACACACACACACACATATATATGTATATATCAGAACAAATGATAATAGCCTGGATATCGTGAACAGGGCGGCAGTTTTCATATAACCCTATCCCGGCAATCCGTAGTTGAATGGGCCCTAAAGCCATTTGCACACTTTCGCGTCAATCATTCGACGTCTTGCTGACATAATCAGCAACACACCCATGTCAACCGCCCCCCGTCCGGACAGGCATCGGGGCGGCTCCTAGGCCAGGTCCGGCTGGAATGAGGTCAGCTCTTGGCACTCCCTCCCATGTCGAAAACGCCAGCGAGTCCCCAAGCTCGATCGCGAATTGACATCACCTGGATCAGCCATCGGATTTCTCAACCTCCCCTCCGCAACACCCTCTTGTCGTGGCTTTTCACGCTTGATTTTTTTTTTTTTTTTAAACTCTCTCTGCGTGTCTTCAGCTCCCCATCAGTGATGCGCAGCGCTCCATCATGTCCAACGTCCTCTCCCTTCTAGGCTGGGCCTTCTTGCCCAATGTACGTGCATCCCGCCCATAATCCCTTTCGTTAACCCCGTGCTCGCGATCACCAAGACTGACTCCTTCGCAGCTAGTCACCGGCTGGGTGCAGTCAATCTACTACGGCATCGTCATTCGTGCCGGCGACCCCAAGCCGCAGCCCGGTTCCGCAAAGTACGCGACGCACCGTCGTCGAATCCACATCCTCGTCGTCTCCTTCTACCTCCTCTACACCCTCGTCGAGGCCGACCGCACCCTCCGCGTGCAGGGCACCTTCTACACCGACCTCGACGTCGCCGCCAACGCCCCCGTGCGCATCATCAAGTCTCGATTCCGCCGCCTCGCCGCCGTCTACCACCCGGACAAGGCGGGCATCGGCGGGGACACGAGCGCCGCCGCTGCGCGTTTCATGCACCTCAAGACTGCCTCCGAGACGCTCTCGGACCCGGCCCGCCGCTTCGCCTACGAGCGCTTTGGCCCCGAGGTCGGCGCCTGGCAGAACTGCAAGACCATTCACGACTACGTCTCGCGCGGCATCTTCCAGGGGACGATCCCGTACTACGGCCTCGCGGCCGCCGCCACCTACGGGCTGGGCCTGCTGGGGTACCTCGACTGGGGACGGTACTGGCGCTGGGTCATCCTCGTCACCTTCCTCGTCGCGGAGCTCATCGTCGTCACGCGTCCCGAGATGCCGCCATTCCTCGCCGTACTCAACACGGCGCTCAGCACAGCCTTGCGCCGCCCGCCGTACCTGCAGTTCCAGCTCGTGTCTCTGGCTCGCCAGGCGGCCGTCACGATATACATCGCCTTCGGCCAGATCGGGCCGCTCATCAACCCGCAGGGCCAAGCGGCGCAGAAGGCGGCCGAGAGCTCGGCCGCCGCCGTCGACGAAGGTCTGCAGCGGCTCGAGACGATTACGCGCGGCCTCGACGGCGAGACGAGCAGGCTGCTGGAGATGGAAATGACCCCGTTCGCCGGCGACAAGGAGGCGCTGAGCAGTGTCCGCTCCAAGGTCAAGGACTGGCTCGTGCAGAACACCATCCGGGCGGATCCAATGGTCAGAGATGCCATCGGCAAGTCGTTCCAGAAGCGGAGGGTCGGTGCGCCTGCGGGCGCGAAGGGCAACAGATAGAGATGATAGACATCGAACGTAAAGCTGCTAGAGGGTCATGATACAAGTGTATTGCAATGCAGCTTTTCTTACTCATCATCACTAGCACACAGGGTGACTTGCTGCGCTTTGGTGACGTTACCACTGCTTGTGATCGGCCAGGTGTCGCGTTCGCTTGAACCGAACAGCAACGCACAAGCTAAAATCAAAAGCCAGCTTCTCCGTCCATTCACCAAAAAAGAAGAAGAAAAAGATATATGACCGTTCAGTATCATGACGCTATACCGGATCAAAAACGTTGGGAAACATTGATATCGTGAGAAAGGGAAATGTGGCGTTTGTGGCTGATGTCTGTGGCTCAAGTTTGAAAATCTCTCAGTCTTAGCGTATCCCAGGCGATCGTCCAAAACGTACATGTAAAGTTAAAAGAAAGAAAGAAAAAAGGAAAAAGAAAAAGAGGTTTTTTGGAAAAATCGCTTTGGACATCTTCTCGGGCCATTTTTCCGTCCTCTCGTATTGATACGATTTCGTGAACCGAGCAGAACGCCGAGGACAAAAGGGTGCCAGAGTCACGATGGCGGCCTCGCCGTCATGGCGCCTCCTCCCTACAGACCTGGTCGAGCACCAGGTCGGCCAGATCGACCTCCTGACGGCCATGTACCCCGCTGATGGAGAGGTGGCAATTGAGAGAGAATCGGAGCAGACCCTCTCGCTGTTCAGGTCCCGCCTCGAGGACCCGTCGTCGTCACCGCCGCTGCCGCCCTTCGCCAGACCCCCGCAGGTCACGATCCTGCTCACCCTCACCATCACCCAAGAAGAATGCTCGTCGAGCCCGAAGGCGCTGCAGCTGGACATTGGCGTGCCGTTCGCCCGTGAAGTAGAAGGGGCAGCGGGGGAGGAGGAGCAGGAGGCGCCGCGGATCAGGGTCCGGGTCCGCCAGCCGGCGTGGCTGAGCCGCGCGGCGACGGCGCAGCTCAACGCGAAAGTCCCCGAGGGGGGCGGGGAGGACCTGTTCAGCACGATCGAGGTCGTCAAGGACGCGGCGGCGGAGCACCTCGAGCGGGCGGCCGCCGGCGGTGAGGGGCAGGCGGGGGAGGAGGCGGAGGAGGAGGAGCCCCTCGTCCGGGTGTGGTTCTACTTCCCCTCCATCTCGACGCGCTCCAAGCGCGACGACTTCGTCGCCCACGCGCCGGGCTACGGCCTCACGGGCTTCCTCTACGCCGGCAAGCCCGGCCTGCTCTGCCTCGAGGGCGGCTCGCGCGCCATCGACGACTACATGTCCTTCATCAAGACGGAGAGCTGGGGTGACATCCCCGCGCACCACAAAAAGGTCAGCGAGCGGCACCGCGAGCGCGGCGTCGCCGCCCGCGCCTTCCCGGACATGCGCGAGGTCACCGACTCCGTCGGCGGCGAGAGGCGCGGCCAGCGCGCGAACCGCGGCGACATGAAGGCCGTGGAGGCCTGGTTGGCGGAGCGCGGGCTGGGCGACGCCTTCGCCAAGGTCTTGATGTAGCGAACACGCTTAAGCGCCCAGACCCTTTCTTCAGGCCGGATTCCATGCACCTGCCTGGCTCTTGTCATGCTCCAGAGGTCGACGCAAATGTTGCTGGGCATGGAGGCTAGTTGGGCGATGAAAGGGGCACTCGCCGCGGTCCATCACCCTAGCTCAATGGTTCGAGGAAGCTCCCTGAGTTCCGCAAGGCGTGCCGTTCAGAAGGGGGAGGGGGCAATAAATCACATCAAGGGCTCTCGCATTGGCGGCCGGGGGCCAAGGACTCACTGAGTGATTTCGATGAAAACAAATACCATTAAATCTACAGCAACAATTCTTTTCTTATCTTGCTTCTCCTCCTCCTACACCGGGCAAAACCGAGCGCGCCCCACCTTCACAGCCTCTGCCGCCCCCTCGTCTCGATGGGGATCAGGCACATGCCCACAAACGCCGCGAGGATCAGCGCGCCCGACAGGTAGATGGGCGTCGTCGTCCCGTCGCCCGGCACGTTGGCCGCCAGCACGGGCGCCAGCAGGCCCATGGCCCTATTGAGGAAGCTCGCGACGCCGGTGCCGGCGCCGCGGACGGGGGCCGGGAAGATCTCGGGCGTGAAGGCGTAGAGGACGCCGTACATGATGTTCTGCGAAAATGCCTCGACGCACGAGAAGAAGAGCTGCGACGCGGGCGAGGTGCCGAGGCGCACGAACAAGAAGAGGAAGACGGCCGAGACGAGCGAGGAGCACGCGAGGGTGCCGCGGCGGCCGAGGTAGGGCGACTTGTGGTCGACGAGGTAGGCGGCCAGCAGGCTGCCCGGCACGCCGACGGCCGAGGTGATGGCATAGGTGCGGTACGTGTCCGGGGTGATGGGCGTCGCTCCGGCGTCGGGGGAGCCCTCGGGCGGCGGGGCCGCGCCGCCGTGCGAGAGGTACTGCGGGAGGAAGGCGTTGAAGAGCGGGTAGCCCATGCCGATGGTGGCCCAGACGAACCAGACGATGACGGTCGCCAGGCCGAGGGTGCGGGTCTTGAAGAGGGGGCGGAGGCGCTCGCCGGAAAAGGCCTTCATCCTCTCGCGGATAGCGTCGGCGGTTCTCCCCGGCCGGCGGACCACGCCCGCGCGGCTGCTTCGAGAGCGCTCCTGCTCGTCTCGTTCGTCGTCGTCGCCGGTTACGCCGTCCGCCACGGCGTCGAAGACTTCCTCGGTGAGCCAGGTCTTGGCGCCGTTGCGGGAGGCGATGCCGTGGACGACGGCGATGGCCTCGGACTGGCGGCCCTTGGAGAGCAGGAACTTGGGCGACTCGAAGAGGCGGAAAACGAAGAAGCGTACGACGAACATGAAGAAGGTGACAAGCCCGATGGTCAGCACGAACCGGCGCCAGCCCTGGTCGGCAGGCCAGTTGGCGATGAAGTACCAGGCGGCCAGCGACGAGGACAGCTGCCCGACAGGCCACCACACGGACAGCAGCGTCAGCAGGCTGCTCGAGGCGTCGGGCAGGAACTCGAGGAACAGGGCGCCGTCGACTGGGAGGTTCCCGCCGACGCCGAAGCCGAGGGCGGCGAAGAGCACGTTCACCCAGCCCCAGGTCGGGGCGAAGGCCAGCAGGATGCCAAAGACGCCGGTGATGAGGAGGGTGAGGTTGAAGGCGACGCGGCGGCCGAGCACGTCGGAGCCGATGCCCCAGATGAAGGAGCCGAAGCAGAGGCCGAGGAAGATGGACGAAGTCGTGTAGCGGACGCGTTGCTCCGAGATGCCGAACTCGGCAGATAGAGATGGGAGTGTGAGAGCGACGCCCTGGGTGTGCTGTCAGTGTCTTTTCGGCGGTGGAAGCCTGCTAGTCAACTTACGTGCATCCATAGACTGGTAGCGATAGTCAGTAAACTTGTCACGCCTAAAGAGGCAGTGGGTGTTTCCGAACTTACTTATCTGCGAACCATCCGAATCCGCATAGGACGAAGAGCTCCCAGTTATACCTCCCCATCCCGATATCCTGAACCGCCTTGTTGATGAGTTTCGACTTCACTACCCAGCCTCGTCAGCACACCGGCTTACCGACACCCTCCAACACCCCAGCACCCAGCAAGAGTAAAGAAAATAAGGAAGAAGAAGAAAAACTCACATTCATACTCGGTCCATTGCCCCTTCCCGCCCCTCCTCACCTCCTTCCTCAGTCCCTCAATCGTGTACTCGGCAGCGCTCATCTCGAGCATCCCTGTGCTCTCGGTCTGGTCCTTGACGTCGTCGTCGTCGTCGTCACCGTCACCGTTGCCATCCCCGTCCTGGCTCGGCCGCTCCTCGAACTCGCACTTGCCCGTCCGCGCCGAGTGGCTGTGCAGGTGCGCCTCCACGAGCGGGACAACGACGCCGACGTAGTCGTCGACCGACTCGGGCCGGTCCGACGTCAAGCGCCGGAGCATGGAGCGTAGCATGGCGTCTTGTGAGGGGGGGCTGAGAAGGGGGAAGTGTGCGGCGGTGGAATGAGTGAGAACCCGAGTTGTGATATATGATGGATGTGTGATGCGTGCGTGTGATGCGTGTGTGTATATGTGTGTGTGTGTGTGTGTGTATGTATCTGTATGTGTGTCGACGGGAAAACGCCGGGGCGTGCCGTGCACGCAGTGATGTCGACGAGGTGCGAAACCGAAGCGTGTCTACTTCTTCGTGCGCAGTCGCCAATGATTCCACCGCCGCCGCCGCCGCCGCCGCTGTGGTCGTCGTCGTTGTCGACCCTCTCTAACCTCGTCAAGTGAGGAATGTCGTCTCACTCCCCGATCGCGGCCTCGGAGCAATCGCAGTCTGGGCTTGTCCGACTCCTTTTCGTACCCTTCTCTACATCCTTTTATTGAAACGAGACGTATAACACTCGGTCATGAGAGACGGAGATACCCATGGGCCACCAGCAATGCAACGATACAAGCGCACAAGAGGTGATGACCGATGCGATGATTCCGGACACTGTGTTTTCCCTTCCCCTTCCTACGCTTGGTGTGTGGTCGTGTGTTACGACGGAACTGCGGACCAGCTGACGAGAAGAGATGGACACGCTAAGCCTTAGCGCACTTAAGTAATCCCCATAGTGTTTAGCGCGTTGGGGCCCCCGTCGTGCCGCGGCGATCCTGCGGCTGCTTACACTAGGGGCAAAGCGGCTCAGAACCTGAAAATAGCAAACCAGGGACCGTCACTAACAGATTTTGGTGCGCGACGACTCTAAATCTGTTAGAGACGACGGAAGACCGGGGACTGTGTGACATAGAGGGTCGCCTAGTGCGGGGAACCCTGTCATCCGCACTGGTCTTGTGCATCTCGTATTTCATCATCGTTTCTTGATTTATAATGAGATGCCAGGACAGTCAAGCCAAGTGAGGCTTACTCGAATGCAGCTTGAAAAGGCGTAGATATGATCAGGAATGAACCTCTTCAGTGAACACGCTTAGGTGCTGTTGAATGAACCGCTCGAATGAACGTTGTATGACACGGGTCATGATCGACTATTCAGCGTCATAATCCAATCCTAATGATAGCTTCATAGAAAGCAACCAACTGTGAACCAAACATGTGAAAAAAAGAAAAAGAAAAAAACAGTCGCCGTGAAATCCCGTACCCCTGTAGAGATCCAAGACGCCCACAAGCTCCACTGCCCAAAACGCCAAAACCTCGTTCTATACCGCCGTGAATGCTGGTTGGCAAGGTCGAAAACCCCCTCGTGACCCCGTTAAATCAACTCTCCGTCTCCGTCGTCCGCTCCATCTTCCTCCTCTTCCCAGTCCATCGAAGACGCCCGCCTCTCGGCCTCTCGCTGCACCTCCGCCAGCCCCGACAGCTCGGCGACGTAGTCCTTCTCCAACAGCGCCTTCTTCACAAATCTCCAGCCGTCGGACCGGTACGCCTCGAGGATCGGGGGGCCACAAGCGCTGCAGCACGGGTACGACTCGCCGCGTATCACCTTGTTGTTGAAGTTGTGCAAGGAGCCACGGACGGTATGGGGTACCAGTCCCAGAGCGTGGTCAACGGGGTCCTTTTCGTCATTCGATGTCTGAGGCGCCGGCGCGTGCTGCTTGAGGGGATGTTGGAGGAGACTTGCAAAAAGCTCGACAAGAAGTGCCGAGGCGATGGCTGCTACGCCAGGTCGAGTGACTGTGCACTGCTGGTCCAAAGTCTGGTCCTTTTGTGACTGCCGTAAAGTTAGCAAAGGCCCAGAATTCTTCACATGCGCTACTCACATCGGCCGGTGCTACAACATCGTTGCAGAAGTAGCAGCCGAGCGTATTACGGTTCTTGTCCTCTGGCTGGACGTTATCGGGCTCGGCGCCATGGCGCATCACCACAAACGAGTCAAACCCGAGCGCAGCGTTGAGCACAATCTTGCCAGCGGCCTTGCCCAAAACACTGGGGAGCCATCTTGACTCTCGGCTGTCCATCAGGAGGAAGATGGCATCGTGGTCATCGATCAGTTGCTTCAACTTGTCGTAATCCGCCTTGCTTCTGGCCTCGTCCGTAAAGGGATGGCCCAGCATGGGGACGGACAGAACATGACCTTCGCTCTCGACGCCGGGATAAATCCTCTTGAGGGCCTGGGCAGCCCGCGGCGCTTTGTGCTTTCCACCCTCCAAGCAGTCTTCAAACTCGAACAGAGGCTGTCGGACTGGATTCGAGTACGACACACGTCCGTAGTCTACAAAGGTGATTTTGCGGACGCCCCAGCCCATGAGGTTTCTGGATACGTAGCTGCCGAGTGTGCCAGCGCCTAGCAGCAGACACTTGGTTGATTTGATTGTGTCCAGATCCAGGTTCGGCGAAATCCGCCATTTCATGAGCTTGAGGTTCAAGTCCACGGATTGGTCCGCCAGTCGCGCGGGGTCCATGTACTCGCCGAGGTTTGCGATCCTGGCTCGGAGCTTACCTTCTCCATCCCGCTCCCAGCCAGTGACCTTGGGCATCTCAGTGACCGCAAGAGGCTCTACGGGGTCCATCTCCAAAGGCAAAATGATGCTTCTGGCGGCATGCCTGCTTGATCTGATATCCCGGTAACACAGAATCTGCACCTTTGTCAGGCGGAACCGCTGTCGGATAAGCCACAGGAGGTTGCGCAAAGGCCAAGACGGGTTCTCGGGGTACGTCGACGGGTCGACGAACGCGACGTACCGGTCCTCCTCGGCAACGTCGTCGAAGAAGCCGTTCTCAAAGTCGCCGAGGTTGGCAACCTCCCACACGTAGCCAAAAGCATCGTTGAGGTCGTGGAGGTCGCTGTTTGCATCCTTGTCCAGATCGCTAACGTCGACGCCCCGGGCCTTCTTGGCGAGGAAAAAGCCGTTCTGCCTCTTGTCGCGATTCGCTTGCCAAGTGCCCACCCGGTCGACCAGCGCCGTACTTTCCTTGGGACCAAGGCGGCCGATCGGGCCAGTGCGCTTCCACTGGGGGTCTGAGTGCAGTGCCGGGAACGCGAACCAGTAGGTAAACTTGTACTTCTTCAGGTCGGCGTACGAGAGGATCGTGAAGGACGAGAGGAGGGAGGGGACGGAGTAGATGGTGCCGTCGTTGATGGCGTCCCAGACCTAGAGAGAAAGTGTCAGCTATACCCGCGGCATCCCCGCCAACGTTACGGGCCCAGCCTACGTGTCTTGCCGCAAGCTTCAGCATGGCTTGCTTGTCGGTGTTCTTGAAGTCTTCGATCGTGTTGACATTCTTGATCCAACCCTCGGCGCGGACATGCTCATCGTTGGGCCTGCTCTCCTCATCAGTCTTGACGCGGTTAATACGAAGCAGACGTCAAGCTCATCTGCGAACACCTTACTGGTCGCTGGTGAGCGCGTTGCCTAGGATCGACATCTTGCAGCTCTGACCCGGCTCGACGGGTAACGTCGTGTACTGGCCGAGCACGCGGCGCGCCGAGTCGTCAAGTTTGTCATGCTCGAGCTTGGAGGAGAAGAGGGCGGCGTAGAAGGGGAGTTCGATTTCGGAGGAGAAGGGCGCATATTGGATCGCTGCCATGGCGGGCGAGCTCTGGCGGGCGCGCACTGTCGGACGCCTAGTGGGAATGGAAGAGCACTGCCCTGGATACGATGCGCCGGGAGTTGGGTCTTGGGGAGCGCTGCGACGTTGGTGCCGAAAGACGTACAATATGCCAGAAAGCCTCAGGGGTTATGTGTATGAAGGAGGAGAGGTCCGGAATCAGACGTTGCTCTGGATCGAAATGGCTCAAAAAGGTTCAAGACGCTCACTATGCGACGGAACAGGCAGGTCGCACTTCCAGGTGGACTCCGGACAAAGCGCAGGGTCCGGGAGAAGTCGCTAGCAGCTGGAAAATGGCTTGATGATGTTGAGCTAAGAAGAAAAGGAAGAAGAAGAAAAAAAGTCACCTGTGCGAAAAGTCAGATTGCGCCTTGCGAGTCACGAGAACCGGGCTGGTGAGAGCTTCCTTGGGGGGAGGGGTGGTGAGATGGTTTGTCTGACAGGATGAGGCAGATGGCAATGAGAGGTAGGGCAGCAGCTCCCCCATCCCCCACCCCCTCCAGAAGCCCCTCCAGAAGAGCAGCTGCCCAGCTGGACTTCCATGGTGGGGGAGCTCGGTGCACGGGGTTGTGTCATGCCCTGCAGGTCCCGCCGGCTAAACACCGGAAGATCTCGGTCCGATGAACTGAACGCGGGAGGAGCCAGACCGATCGGGCCCGAAGCGGAAACCCCATTTACGCGTGGAGACGCGTCCATGCAAGGGAAGCGAATTTTGCATTGTGGCCTTTCGATTGGACACTGGTTGCCGGGCTGACCTGCAAAAGCATGTCTGTAATTATAGCATACGCAACCAGCAAACAGCCCGGCACTTGTCGCAGTTTTTAATACACGCGTGCAAGTAGACAATCTCCCCAATCATCTACCTGGGTTTCTCCAATTTAGAAGGTCGACGTTTTGGACAAGATGCTCATCGGAATCTGCGGCGGTGAGTTTCTCCCCAGGGGTCGAACCAAGCTCCGCCGTCCCCCCCCTCCTTTGTGCATAAGGTGGGAATAGCCTCTCTGACACCGAACAGGCATCTGCGCCGGCAAGAAGACCGTCGCCCAGTACCTGGTCGAGCACCACGGCTTCAAGCTGCTCCGTCTGAAGGACCCCTCATCAACTCTGCCGCGTGACGAGACTCCGGCCTACAATGCTCCGGAGCCGGAATCCGCCCCGCCCACCGCCGGCAACGACGAGTCGGGGGCTCCTCAGCAGCACCAGCAGCACCAGCAGCACCAGCAGCACCAGCAGCACCCGCAACAGTCTTCCACCGACACTAAGGGGAAGAAGAAGAAGGGCCCCTATTGCTTCAACTGCAAACAAAAGGGCCACCCCAGGGTGGACTGCCCCCTCCCGCCCCAGGAGCCCGCCTTCGCCGTCAACGGCAACGGCAACGGCAACGGCAGCAGCAAAAGCAACGGCAACAGCAACGACAACAGCAACGGGACCCCCGAAGCCCCGGCGCGGCAGGCCGGCAAGCATCACATGATCGTCCACGCCTTCTCCGTCGTGACGAGGAAGGACTTCCCGCCCCCTCCCCCACCGCAACAGCCGGCCACCAACGGCTTCGGCGCCGCGGCACCCGGCGAGCTCTCCTTCGCCTCCGCCGACGCCCTCCTGGACTACGTCACGACGCGCTGGCAGTCCCGCTTCGTCACGACCGACGTGCACAACGAGGCCGTCCTCGACGCCCTCTCCCGCCGCCCCTTCTTCATGCTCGTCTCCGTCGACGCCCCGCTGACGGTCCGCCACGCCCGCTTCCGCGCGCTGCACAACCCGCACTGCACCCTCGAGTCCTTCGCCCTCGCCTCCGACCGCCACCTCTACGACCCGCGCGGCGGCCTGCAGCCCCTCATCTCCCGCGCCACCGTCCGCCTCCTCAACACCTCGTCCTCCCTCGCCCACCTCTACGCCACCCTCGGCAAGCTGCAGCTCGCCGACCCCGTCCGCCTGCGCCCGAGCTGGGACGCCTACTTCATGTCGCTCGCCGAGCTGGCCTCGCTGCGCTCCAACTGCATGAAGCGCCGCGTCGGCGCCGTCCTCGTCGGCCGCGAGAAGCGCGTCATCTCCACCGGCTACAACGGCACCCCGCGCGGCCTGCGCAACTGCTCCGACGGCGGCTGCGCCCGCTGCAACTCGGGCAACTCGTCCGGCGTCGGCCTGTCCACCTGCCTGTGCATCCACGCCGAGGAGAACGCCCTGCTCGAGGCCGGCCGCGAGCGCATCCGCGACGGCGCCGTGCTCTACTGCGACACGTGCCCGTGCCTGACCTGCAGCATCAAGATCTGCCAGGTCGGCATCGAGGAGGTGGTCTATGCCCACGGCTACAGCATGGACACGGAGACGGCGGCCGTGTTTGCGCAGGCGGGGGTCCGCCTGAGGCAGTATATTCCGGTAAGTTTCCTTCCTCCCGACCCCACCTCGGCGACTTGAGACGGCTGACAGAGAGACAGGCTCCAAACGGGTTGATTCATTTAGAGAATCTGGAAAACCTGGAGCTTTACTGATCTACTGAGATGATTGTCCAAAAAAAGAGGAAAGAAATTGAGGTTGTATATAAGTAGCCATGGAGAACCCTGATGGCCCAAGATGGGGTCCTTCACGCTCCATCCATCCCCCCAAAAAAGGTACGGGGCAAAAACAATGATATCAAATATTCATAATGCAGCATCTCGCACGCGTGAACATTTTCACCTTCCACAACTGCCTTGCAGTCACGGCGACTAAGTTTTGGGGGAGGGGGGGGATGGCAGCTAGTCCTCACTCAATCTCCCAGGTCATGCGCCGGCCCGGCCCGCCAAACCCAAAAACTGACCAAAGCTTCAACCAAGTCCCAGCTGCTGCCCTCTCCGAAGTTCGCCTCCAACGGCATGGCATCCCGAGGGCTTGCGCGCCGGAAACGCGGTCTGTTTCACAAGAGCGTCCATAGCAGTGGCCAGCAGCCAGACAGCAAGCTACCCGCGCTTACTGCGTAGGGACGGACAGAGAGAAAGAGAGAACAAAAAGCGACCGTCCAGTTGCGAATTCCCCAGGAGTCCCAACATTCGCAAAAACACCCCATCCAAACGGGCGGTTGTGGAAAACCAGACCGCGAAGAAGGCTCCGTCTATTTCGGGACCCCATCCCTAAAACTCTCAAAACTCCAAGGCTCCCCGGCGCGGTATGACGCCCTTGGCAGTGGTCCTTGTGGCATTTAGACTTTGCCCGAGCTGCCTCTGGCAGGCCCTTTCCCCCTCAGAGGGAACGCACGCGTTCTTTGACAGCCACCAGCCTACAAGTGCTCTCACAAAGACCCCTCTCTCCCGTCCCCCCGCATGAAACCAGACGATCGGTTTGGGCCTCCATGACGCGGTGTTTCATGCCCGTACTTGGAAGCTCTCGCGGGCGGCAGTTGAGTCCGGGGAAGGGAAGGCGATGTATATCGACAGCGTGCCGCGACTCGTGGCGGGGGGGGGGGGCGGGAATATTTAACGGATGGACACCCCGCGTCGGCAGCAACCGTGTGGTTTCGCGACATCTCCGTTCAGACCCGAGCAAGAAAAGCATATCCCCTATCCCCATTCTTCCGAGTAACAACTTTTTTTTGTTGTGAAGCTAGCGTCTGATTAGTCTTAATCTCTCATTTACAATCAACTCAAGGTCTTACTTGGCAGAAGAAGAGAAAAACCCCCATTTCTACGATGCATCTACGATCGTTCCTTGCCGTCGGATTAGCCGCCAGCCACGGCGTGCACTCCCTCCGCCTGGGCCTCCCGACCGTCGCTCTCAGCATGGTAAGAAACCCATGAATTCGTCCCCCCCCCCCCCCCCCCCCCCAACACCCCGGGCATCACACCGCGGCGTTCTCCCGAGTTCCAAATGGCTAACAAAAGGACAACGTTGGACGGTGTCCAGGCTTTCACACTTGGTCAAGCGACGCTCGCCGTGTCCGACGTGGCGGCCGACGGCCTTGAGAGGAGGCAAGGGGAGACCGTGTGCCCGTCGATCGACCCCTCCGAGTGTAGGGCGGTGAAGCAGGACAAAAGGGCCAACAATGACGACGACAGCGACGACGACTTCGACGCTGCCGGTCTCGTCGAGGATGACGGGGAAGACGAGGACGATTGAGCTCCCTTCCCCTCTTGCATTTGGACTTGTATGGAGGCGAGCACGGGCACCCTATACAATGAAGCCGCGCGCGCGCGCGTGCGTATCTGGACGCGCGGGCTGGCCCCTAGATAGAAATGTGTGAGAGAAGCTGCCGTCTTATTCGGCCTGCCTATTCAGATCGCAAACCTACTCTTCATTCCTTTCAAATTTAATTTTTTTTTCCATTCTTCTCCGGGACCGCTGTTGTTCACAGTCACATGGCGTGAGCAATGCGGGTTCGATACCTGACACAAACGTCGCAAACACCTCAAGCCAGACGGGTCCGACCAAACACAGTGAACGAAACATTGCAAAGGTTAAGAATTGATGTTCGGCTGGGGCGGCATCTGGTACGGCATCTGTAACGGAACGGGTCGTTAACTTGTAGCTCCCGTCAGACACAGCAGAAACGCAACCACGAATCGCGGCAAAGGCCCGCCCTGGGAGGGGTTACGAGGGCGCTTGAACAAGAACGCACACAACATCAGGAACGCCAGATGGAAAACAAGCCGAGAACGCCCACGCAGAGCACCATCGTAAAAGAATTTCAAACAAGAAAGCTGTAAACCAGTGTTGTTCATCCCCCCCCCACATCGAGACGTAGATCCCGACAAGGGGACCGCCCCCTCAAATCCACCCTGGACCCGCCCGGGCCCGAAGGACCCTCCGCCATGTCCGGACCCCCACTACACCCCACCAAGCCCCCGGAACGCCTTCGCCCGGCGCCCCGCAACGCCCCGGGACCGTCTCGCTCGATACCAATCTCACCTCATCACCCCCAAACTGGACAGCTGACACTTTTGCACCGCCACACACACACACACTCCTTCTTCCCAGTCCAATAACCAAGGCCGAAGCTGACATGCCTGCCTAGCGCACGCAAGCCCCAGGGTACCGGGCCGGGCGAACGTAGCCCTGCAGGCTGAAGTCATACTACACCACTACGCCACCCACACCTACCCACACACACACAGAGAGTGGGTGAGAGAGAGAGAGATAGAGAAGTGGGAGGGGGCTCATATACAAAAGGACAAAGGGTGACATCAGGAATCCCCAATCAGTGGATATTCTCCGGCCACTACCGCAGCTCTCGGCACTGTTGGCTGATGAGGGCTGCTTCATTTGATTCCGTCCCTTCCGCCCGCGTAAGACGAGGCGATCCTCCCTCTCGTGTCCCCCTCTCCGCCCAATCGGCGTGGTTACTGTTTCCTTACTGCAGCGGCATAGCTTGCTGATAGGGCTCAGGTGTTCCAAATCAAACACAAATCCGACACAAAAAAAAGAATAAATCTTGGAACTAGGCGCATATTTGCATGAATACTGGCTAATTATGTACAGAAATGCCCACCCATCCTATGCATCGTGCAAGACGCCAATAATAAGTGTCGATGACGATGAGACAGTAGCGGGCAGAAGAAAAAGGCGCTGGCTCCTGGATAACTCCAACCCAAAGCCACAAACGAAAACTCCAATGAAATGCGACAGCTGTACTGATTACATTATTTATCTCCCAAATAATCGATTCGCATCCCGAAGAAAGAAAATGGTGAGGAGAATGTGTGTGTGTGTGTGTGTGTGTGTATGTGTGTGCGCGCGCCCGACACTCCCTATCGCAGGGCGGGTGTGGCTGCTTTGCGAGCGGGGTGGTTCTGCGCAGGACCATAAACGCCCATATTCCATGCCGTCCTGGACCTTTGGTATTCAATTTTGGATGCCTGATTACGTGATAGTAGATCGAAAGCCCACTAGAATGTATAAAAATGACGGTGGAGGAGGCGTCGGCGGCGCTTGTAAGATGGTGCGCTCGTGTTGGCAAGCGCCACGCTGCAACCTGTCACCGGCCATTGGACGCAGCCGCTGCTGCCTGTGGTGCTCTCAGCCAGCCCAAATCAGCTGCATTTTACAACCCAGAGTCGTGTTGGGGCCAGGGTGCTGTCGGGTAGTACTTCCTCCACGCATCGCAGGTTGGTGCGAGCGCACCCAAGTCCAAGACTTTGGAAATGTCGTCCTTACGCTCGAGGAACTGGACGCTAAGGCCCATGCTGACATGCCATGCGATGTGGCAATGCATAAGCCACGCGCCCGGGTTATCCGTCTTGAAGGCGATCACCATCCATCCGCCGCCGGGGAGTTGCGCGACGTCTCTGCGAGTGGGGTTGTCAAAATTCAGAGTCTCCGAGCTGGTGAACTTCCCGTCACCGATACCTAGCAAGAGGAAGTCGTGGCCGTGAAGGTGGATGGGATGCGGAAGGACGAATTCGTTCTCGATGACCCACCACGTCCATACGGAAGCCTGGGGGATCTCAATGATGTTGGCGCGCGTCGGCCAGGACGAGTTGCCCTCGGCGACGTACTCGAGGGTTGGCTTGTCCCACTGAATGTCAATGGAACTGCCGCTGACCGTCCAGCGGAAGACCTGGGTGCCGTTAATGGTCGGTTGGGCCAGGTTGACGTCAAGAATCTGCTTGTTCGGGTCGAACTCGTCTTTGGGTGCGGTCCTAGGGAGGATAGGGGTGAATCCTGTAGTATCTACGCAGCCCAAGTCGGCGGGAGGCGTGCCCTGGTCGACGGGGAGTCTATCGGGAGCACCGTCGTAGAAGAACACGGACGCGGGATGCGGGTTCTTGGTCACTCCACAGAAACCACCCCCGCCGACGGTTGCGTTGAACCAGTAGTTCTCAACCGCCTTGTTGGCTTCAACGATGACATCGTATCGCTGACCAACAGTCATGAAAAGGCTGTCTTTGACGACGGGCTTGACAGGCACGAGATCAGTGGCAATTACGGTGAAGTTGTGGCCAACCAGTGACACAGTGAAGCTGTTATCGACAGAAGTGTTGATGAGTCTGAGAAGGTGCTTCTTGCCCGGTGTCAACCTGGTCTTCTGATACTGACCCCCCGGACCGAAGGGGTTGATGTTCTTGCCGTTGAACAGAATGTTGTCGCTGGCCGGCGGACCCCCGCTCGACACGAGCTCGGCCTGGCGCTCGAGACGATCCGCGGTTTCGTAGTACCAGTCGGTGATGGGATACGGGCCAAGGTCGATGTCGTAATCTGCAGACGCCGGGCCGTTGATCTTGATGGACCCGACCACGCCGTTGCCGTACTGAGAAGAAAAGTGGCTGTGGTACCTGCGGAGGGCGGGTGAGCACGCGGGTCCCGCAACTTCTTGCACAAAGAAACACGCTTGCTTACCAAGATGTGCCGTACTGCGTGAGCTGGAAAGAGTACGTCCTGCTCTGCCCGGGGGGGATGGGGCACTCGGTGATACCGTTGGCGCCATCCTGGTCGTTCGAATTGCGCTGGTGCATGCCGTGCCAATGGAAAGAGGTGCCATTGTTCTGGAGCTGGTTGTGCACGTGGATTTGAACAATGTCGCCCCAGTCCGCTTCGATCGTCGGACCGGGGAATTGGTTGTTAATCAGCATGGCCGGCTTATGGACGCCATCTGGTGCGATGTCGGTCAAGTTGCTAACGGTGAAGTCAAACTGCACAGATTTCAGCACATGCGATGATGCGTCGGGGCGAAAGAGATTCTTACTGATCTCAACTTTCCCTGGGGCGGTACGGCGATCTCGAAATCCGTGTTGATGTCAAAGTTTCCGTTCCAGCAGGCCCGGTTACCGGGACCATTGGAGCCGCAACCTGCCTGCCTTGGTTCGACCGAACGAACGGGGTTGGCATGGGCGAGAGAAGCAAGGAGAACAGCCCCGAGGCTGGAGCGCACCAAGGTGGAAAACATAGTGAGAGTGGAAGAACAGAAACGAGTAGGAGATGAGCGAGTGAGTTGATGATCTGAATTGTCGTCGAAATATCGGACGGATAGAAGGTGTTATATACACATTGTGCATCAACACGATGCCTCGTCGTACTAGACGTGAGGACCCTTTTCGGGAAGGAAAGCAATAGTCTCGACGCACTTGCATGCCCAAGGACGCCGGCGGAGTGGCATGCGGCCTTCCAGCTATGCCATGATGCAAGTGAGAAGACGTGTGAGTTGAGATGAGGTGCATCCACCCCTGTCCCTCAGGCAGCGACCTAGACTCCTTCTGACATGGAGGGAACAACAAGCCAAGGCCTTTTGGAAATGGGGACGATCGTGCGGCACTACGAAGACGGTGTGGTCGATGACCCAGGCTTCAGGTCAGCTTTGAGCCAGCAATAGATTTGTGGTATGGAGACGTCGGTTATGAATAATTGCGGGTGAGGCTGAGCGCCGGCTTAGCCAGGAGGGGGGGGGGGGGGCTGTAGCTAGGCAGACGGAAAGCAACAGACTTGACCAGGGGGGAACCGATCGTGTCAGATCCCCAAATTGGGCCCAATATCCGTATTTGACGACGCTAATCTGCCCTACGAATATGAACCACAGCCGAGCTTTGCCTTGTTCGCGGGGCGGAGGCAGAGAAGGGGTGAAGGAATGTGCTGACAGGCCTCTCGGAGGCGAGCCATATGTCATGGCATGGTCCGGCACTCATGGATGAGTATACGCCAATCGGATCGCAACGTCTCGGCGGGCGCTTGGCTCGACTTGCAGACGACTGTCAGCATAATATCCGCCATGACTGCCAACTTGCAATGATAGTTTGGAGGTCCCGAGGTGATCACGAGAGAGTAGATTCTCGTAGCGGCCAGTAGGGGAATGACCGCATTCAAGAAGCACACGGCGTGACTGGCCGGAAACCGGGACGGGGCGGAAAGTCGGCATCACATGGTGATGCATAGATGGGAGAAGCAGCAGCAATAGTGGACCGTATCAGTCCAGATGTATCCGTAAGCCTTGCAGGATTCGGAGAAACGCAAGTTGGCAGGGGAGCCCGTTAGGCCGGCAAGCCAGAAACGGAATGCATCAACGGTGTGAAGGCGTCATGGCGGCCCATCTGGCAGAGGGGTTTGGTGGACAGAAGTCGACCGTAGCGAGACCAAAGTGCTATTATTGTTGACAAGACGGGTGCTCGGCGGTGAGGTGGGAATGGATGGCTAAGCAGCGGGAGGTGAACTCAGGGACCAGGTTCGCAGATACGAGGGCAGAAGATGGAAAAAGCAAAAGCATGCTTCGTGATGCATGTCAAGTGGTGAGTAGGGTGGTCGGGCCCTAGAGGAGCAGAAAGATGGAGCCAGTCCAGAGACGGGAACGTCGGACCAGGTGAATTGCACCCGGGGCAGACCAGCACCATCGAGTGAGTGCAGGGTGCTGCATGGTCGGTAGGCGAATCGAGGTGTGTTGAAGCCAGTCCTTTCCGGATCATGTACTCAGCAACATGGCCGGTGTCTCGTATTGAGCGCCATCTGCTCTGGTTATCTCAGTACTGGTAATCAATCACTCGACTGTTGAGGCTGCCATCCCGAACATAGGGTCTTTGGGGGCTATTTTTGGGGTTAACGAGGTAAGATAATGCTCAGGAGGGAATCATCCACCACGTCGTTGGCACTTTGGTTGTCGCCCTGCAGCACACTACCTAGGCTGGCTACTAAGTAGATGGTAGTGCATCGAGACGAAAGAAGACGGGACCAGACGATGATGGTCTGACGTAGAGAGGAGGAGTCAGCCGCTTCTCGACCAGGATACCTTGACAGGAGTCCAAGGACATGGGAGATGGGATGATGAGGTGCAGGACGCAATACCGGTGCTTGGCGAATGACATTGAAAGGGTTTGAAAAAAGAAGCTTACTTGAGTTGGCGGGTATTGCGACGCGAGGTCGGGATTGGGGTTGTTGTTGGTGGGTGGTAACCGCGGGAAGGCTGTGACCGGGGCAAAGCTGACATGAAGGAGTACCGGTAGCTACTACTAGCTACGTACATCGTAGGTATGGGGGGGGAAGGAGCGCGTGCACAGTCTGCGCAAGAACGGGCACTGTGACACGGCGCGAGAAACGTGTGACGGCAGTTGGCATGTGTCAACAGCCACACAGTGTAGGTCGGCACTTGCTCCGGGCTATTAATTTAGGTAAGATAGAGCAAGGCGTGGGGGTACGTACTCAATGTGGTCCCTCTTACATACTGTAGGTAGGTGCTCAAAGGTGGGTACCTTACTACGCTACTACTAGTATACTTAGGTGGGTAGGTACCAGTAGTATGCCGCACAGGCAGGTACGTACTGTACTGACGCGCCCCCCAGCATCCATGTCAGAAGAGCTTAGTGCCTTGCGCCACAGACATAAGACACAGAACAGACTCACCGCTCAAGGCCACCAAGGCGATGCAACATTTCAGTTGGTGTTGCCGCCGTCGTCGTCGCTGCCTTCAGTCACCTTGCCTTTTTGGACGCTACGGCAGCGGCTCAAGCACCGGCTCTAGCTAGTGTCTGACACACACACACACACACACACACACACACACACACACACACACACGATCGTACTAACGAACAACGCATGGCGCACGCAAACTTGAACGGGTTGGAACGACGAGCTCCCCTTTTCTCTCTCTATTGCTTTTCACTGCAGAGCTCGGCCGAATCTCACAGCGTAGTATTCCGGAGATGTTTCTCAGCCGCCCATGGAGGGCAGATAGCTCCGATATATCCGTACTGTCGACCACGGCACTGCGCCAGCTTCTCGTGCGCCCGGATTACGACCGCCCCGCACCGCCTGTCAATTTTTTTTCCTTATTATTATTATTCTTTTTTTTCCTGTTCCCGTTAAGGCTGCCGCATTTTTTGATTAGGTATCATTTTCTTTGCTGCCACTAGCGTTCGTTTGTGGTGCTCTCGCTCACCTCATTTAATCACCCCTGCGTCGCCGGCCTGTAAGCTTTGTCTTCGGCCAAGTCCACCACTTCACGTACCCTTCGTTCGTACTCCGAGGCCAAATCCGACCCGTTTTCCGCTCCGTAGTCCTTGGGCACCATGACGTGTGTATGGTTCGAACGTATGGACTCTGTTGGCAGATGTTCGTCAGATGTTGCACCACAGTCGCGAGCATACCCCTTCTATCGATCCATGCCACCTTTGCCAATATTGGCGTTTTCAGGCATCCCCTTTTTGGTCGAAGGAATTCCGCCCCCCTCAGCACTACGGCAGCTCGTATCGCTATCAACGTGGCCACACGGCTTGAGCCAGTCTCTCTCGCCTGCGATTCGCCTCAAGGTCGTCGGCTAGATCGTAACATTATAGGCCCGAACAATATCGATTGGGCCAGCGAACGATAGGATTGCTCCCCCCCTGCTGCTTCTTCCTGGCTGGGTCATCGGGCACAATCCAAGGTACTGACGGGCATGTTTGTCACCCGCCATGAGGTCCCGCCGTTTCCGCTCCAGAAGGGCTGCCCCGGGTTCTCCGCGGAACCCCGTCAAATCTTGTGCAGCATCTTTTGGCGTTATGTTACTATACAATGAGCCTTCGTGCACGATCTGGTCTGAGCTGACCATCGACTGCACCCCGCTCGGTTCGAAATACGAGCTTTGACCCCAGCTCTCGAAACGGTCCCTTCTTTCTTTTTCCACCTACGTGTCTCCCCAGCTCACCGTTGTGGCGTGTCTCATTTTGGGCAGGGTTGTTACCGGATTGCATTCCTGACAGCCTTTATCAGAGGTTATTGGCCCTGCTAATGTTTCCGAGGTCTGTCCTTTAATTCTACTCCTTCACATCAACGCTTCAGGTTCTTGAAGGTAGGCACGCCGACAGTGAGGCGCGCTCTGACTCAGCTGCCACCACCTCGATGATTGCACGGCATGGAACACGACGCGGCCAGAAGGTCCAGTGTGCAGCTTCCCTGACGGAACACGATCCCAAGTCGCATCTGGCGTCGAAATTTTGCATGAACCGATCCAGTTTCTCGTATGCAAGGAACCAGGTGCCGGTGCGTAGCATCATATAGGCCCAGGATGCACTGCCGATGCAAACGAGGCATATCGCATATAAACTGTCCTAGGCCCGATCAAACCGTTTAAACTCCCATCTTTCGACCGCCACAGCAGCCGCCAACAATAAGCTAGAGCATTCATTAGGTTGTGCACCAAGGGGACGTTCCAGCGCCACCTTGCCTTCTTCAAGGTTGCCCCTTTTCCCGACCCAGGTTGACATCTCTCTAATTTTACTATCCCAGCCGTTTTTGGTCAAGTACCTTCTCCTGGCAGCCGAGCGGCAACGATGCCTTCCTTGTTCCGGCCCCATTCTCGCATCACCAGCGACGGACGCCGGCTTCCGAGCTGGTGTGTGCACCGGTCCCACTCTGCCGGGTCGCCGCTGCCACCTTCCGTTTTGGGTGCGGAACCTCCAACTCTAATCTGAACGACTTGGCTTTTTTTTTGAGCCGCAATTGGGACATCGGGGGGGTTTTTTTTTTTTTTCTGTCAAATCCTTTCGCGGCTGACCAGCGTTTGGCCATCTTGGCCCATCCCATATATTCTTGTGTCCCCGCGTGCCAAGATACCCGCCGGAAACAACTTTGATCTTCAAGTCCTAGGCAGGAGGGGAAAGAACGCTGATTCTGCGGCTGGAACGGCCCAAATACCGTGGTCCTCGCCCTGTTCTTCGCGCTGTGGAAGTAGATGCATGCCCTCGCCCTTGAATAATCAAGAATAGATGGTACAAGAGCACTTTGACGAGCAAACGGACGTTGTTGTCCTGGTTCGCGCCTGACTGGGAGCCGCCCCCCCCGTAGTATCACAGTACAAGACGGGAGCGCCCCTGGCGCGAATACACCCCAATCTACTAAAGACGACATCACAAAGCGTGCGAAATGACACATCAGCTGAGTTTGTTGACGGCCTGGAACGCGGCCTGTTCTTTCGCATCGCCCTCCTCCATTCCATAGAGATCACCACCACCACCTCGACGTCCCCGCCCTGCTCGCTGCCAATTGCCTCACTTGGTAAGAGTTAGAAAAGAGGCGCATCTTTGCGACTGGTCTTAGTGCACTCTTGTCTTCTTCTCCAGTCAGTCATGTTGCATCTGGTGGCTTGGTTGCTGGCGCTTAGTCGGTGATGCCTGCGCAACCTGTTGCGTGTCGGAAAGGAGCATGGACGTTGGTACGAAGGTGGATGCCCCAGATGCCCTTTTCTTCTTATCCCTCTTCTTGATATATATATATATATAATCATATGCAAAATAACGAAAAGAAATGTGGTTTGGTCAGCAGCGGGCACGTTTGTAAATCATAGGGAAGAGAGGCGGTCCAGTAGCGGTTAGCCACCGAATTTCTTCTGAATCAGATTCCCGTGACCGTTCATGCGGAGGAGTTGAGTGAAAGATTCGATAGCCAGACCTTTTTTTTTTTTTTTTAATCAAGACCGTACAGTGTGGGGGACATTGACACGAATCGGAACGAGACACCTCAAGCGAAGAACGGGTCTGTCAGAAAAAGAGTGTCAATTCGAAAATCAAAAAACTATTATATCGTGGCATCATCATACTCCACAGAGTCTTGGGTCGAGAAGGAGTGACGCCCGGAAACCACTGAAAAGCACCAACCCTCCGAAGAAAACCAGACGACGGCAACCGGGTACGGGACATCAGTCGACGATCTCTTCCGAGGAAGACGAGGACGACCCGGAACAGATGGACGAGGCGTCATCGTACGACGGAATCTCTCCCGAGTCGGTGGTGAAGTTGGTGTCCGTGGCGTTGGTCCACAGAGCGACCCACGCTCCGAGGTCCTTGCGTTCCTCGCCGAGGTCCTCCTCGCGGGTCAGAGGGGGGCCAAAGTCCGGCTCGAAGCCAAGCTCGTATCCGGCGGCGGCCTTCTGGGCAGTGCTGACAATGAACGGCTGCGTAGGCGGCCGTGGCGGCGGCCTACTCATGCCTGGCAGGGGCCTCGAAGGGGGAGGGAAATTTCTCGGCCCCATATGCGGAGGCATACCTGGAGGTCGGTAGCAGGCCGGCCTCCCCAAAGGCTCGGCCCAGGTGAGGGGCTCGCATCCTTGATTCACGTGCGTGAAGATTTTTCCGCTGTCGCTGAAGGCTGAGACGCGCATCTTGACAACGGCCCCTGGCTTGATTGTTGTGGCCCACGCCTCTGGTATTATGACGGTGTCGCACTCGTCGACAACTTCGAAGGCTCCATCTCTGACGATGGACCACAGCCTGTTAACATCTCTGAAGCGGTCGCGGATGCACATGCGCGCACCCTAGCAGATAAATGCATGTCAGTTTCTTACATGGTCGACGCATGCCATCTTGGGAAGTGAGCTTACTTGAACAGTCCGACACATCTCATACGGTAGGTCGTACTTGCGGCCAAGAACGTCTGTCATGTGGATAGGCTCGAGGGCGGGCTTGACAGACATAAAGACAACGGCGACATCGGTCTGGGTTGTGAGATCGACAGTTATCAGCTGTCTCACCCTTCCGTCCTTCTTCTGAGCACGCAGGAGGGCGTTCGAGACAGCTGAGCGGAGCTGGCTATCTTGGGGGACCAACGCATCATTGGAGGTATCGGAACGGCGCTTCAGGATGCGCTTCAGCTCCCGGCGCAGCATGTTTGGCTCAAAGGCCATCTGATCGTAGAACGGCCCGTGTCTCAGAATGGTCGCCTCCAATTCCACGTCGTCGAGGCAAGGGGTGGTCTTGCGGCGAAAGAGACCCTTGACCCATTTCCCCATGCTTTTGAAGACTTTGACCGGGAACCGGGGCTTCGGGGCCAGCAATTTTATTTCAACAGGGCCGGCATCAGGGCCCCCATTCCGCGGCTGGTGCCAGATACTTGTTGGAAAAACATGCGGAGGCGGAGGTGGCGCGATAGAATTCGAGACAGGAGGAACATCAGCCTTCTCAACTGTCTTATCGCCACGGATGGACGGCACGGTTGAGTCTTTGGCCGTTTTTCCGGACTTCCAGGATGCTGTATCATCGTTGGAATCGTCGCCATTTGAAGACGGCGCATCAGAAGTAACGCTCATGGTGTCAGACTTGTCTGACAATGCCAGTCTCTCCTTCCTCTCGGCAACTTTAACAATTGACTTGGTGGCCGCGACCTTGCGCATCAGCATCCGAATTGCTAGCGCCCTCGAGGCTAACTCATCGTCGAAACTTCCAGGGGCTCTGAATCTTCACGGCAGCGTTAGCAACACAACACGAACAGGTCGACAGGTAGCTCACGTGGTCTGTAGGTGTGCGATATTGGCCACTTGTAGGTGCAGCAAAAGACTGGGCTTGAGCCAGCGCAACTGGTCTCTGCAGTCGTCAACAGCGTCTGAGATCATCTCCCACTTCATGTTGGCCTTGACGGCGATGAGCCTGGAAGGTTTCAGATCCTGGGGGCCAAGTGCCTCAAAGTCAACACCTTCGACCACCTTGGCAGAGAGACTGGCACGGTAGATGGTGCGGATGATAGTGGTGTAGACTTTGCCGCATCGCGTTGCGAGATCTTCAATGGCTTCGCGGCCGGCACGCTTGTAGACAGGTGATGCCGCGCCAGCGTCAGAGGCGAGGAACTCTCGCAGCTCACCGAGTGCTGTTGCGGTTGCAAAGATATCTTCGACCAGAAACGGGATCGCAGAGAGTGATTCGGACGTGCCGATCGCGTAAGCCACCAGCTTCGTAGCGAGTTGACAGCCTAGGCTGGCGATGCCGGCCATGTCAGGAGAGGTAGCCATCTTGCACAAGAGGTCGTTCATTGCGACTGAGTAGGAAGCCAGAGGATGACAGGGACAGACAGTGCTGAGGAATGCCCGATTGCCCTGCGGTTTTGAGGTACGATCAGGAGCGGGGTATTTGGACTGTCAGAACTGCAATTCTGCCTTGCAAGCCTCATTTTGGCATTTGTTTTTGTCTTGTCGGGTTCAACAGGCTGCAAATGTCGACCTCTCGTTGGCCAGTTGGAACCATAGCCAATGAGCCGCATAAGCTCGGTGCGACTAAACCCTCAGATCTGGTTTCTTGTTCGCAGCGGACGAGCTGCGAAACACAAGAGGAACCAATGGGCCAGTGGCCAGAAGCAGGCATTGCAACCATGAAGCAGTCCATCGCTCCCTCCCTCCCGTACGGCATCGTGATGCAGCTGCCAGCCAATCGACCGGGTGCCATCGGGTGGGTAGACACCGCCCCGCTTCCAAAGTCGGCGTCAAGCATCCTCGTGTGATGCCGTGAAGGGAATTCCGTCGCGGGAGCCATGCAGGCTCCTCATTCGATTTGATCTTCCCCCGGATCACTAACCTGCCCGGACGCCTCATTCGCTCGCGAAGCCAAGACATTGAGGCCATCGCTATAAGCACATTCCTGCACAGATGCGTTGGCAACCAGAAGCCTGCCTGAGTGGCTGTAGGCTAGACGTCTCGGATCTGGGCTGCGGTGGTTGCTTTTTCTCTTTGGGTGTCAAAACAACGACGCACGAAAGTACGATGCAGCAGTAGCGGGCGTGGGGTATGGGCTGACGGTACCCGTTATGTCTTCACGTGATCTGGTTACATCTTACAGGTTTGTCTGCGCAGTGCAACGCGCCTTCCCCCTCATCCTCTTGTCGCCTCTCTTCCCGCGGTGACACTCGGAAGGAGGGAAGGCGAGTGGCACATGCCGTGGCCCATCTACCACTTCTGCGGATTGGTAGGCTCAGACAGACGAGGCAAGCAAAACAACAAGCCAAGCGGATTTAGCATTCAATGCACGCCTGGACTACCAAGTTCGCCCTGATTCAGCTTCATCTTACCATCTGTTGGCCTTGGCTCTGTACCGCTTTCGTCAGGGAGATCTCGAGGCCCCCTCTGGTATCACCTAAGCTCGGGGTTGTCGCCAAGGGCCTCGGCGTGAGCGTGAGTCTGGGGATGCCACGTCTGTCCTCGAAGTGGGTGTGTCGATCCTGGTGGTCTGGACCAGAAGCACACAGTCGTCCTTGATGCGTTCCAATCCGAGCGAGCTTTCATCACCTAGCGCCGAGTCTTGGTCGAAATATACTGAGACTTCCGAAGAACCATCGGGAAGTAGATGCCGTTGCAATAACTGCGCCTTCTCCATGTCCCTATCGACGCTTCAGACACATCTGCTGATTTTGAGGACGATGCGGCAATCGTTTATAGGTGTCCCTAGAATCGAGGGCCACGTGTCAGCCAAAATCCATCGCAGGAGAAATTCGAAAGTACCTGCTCTTTGCCCGATGGTCCAGCGAACGCTGTGTCTTTGGTGGAAACCAAGGATATCTCCATTCTCTTTCGACTAGGTAAGGATAGCCAAGGGATCTCTCAGGAGTCCGGTCTCCTGCTGGTCTACCGCGCTGGCCGACAACAACACGACGAAATATCACAGACACCGGGCAGGTTAGTCCACATCGCCAACATGTAGCTATCCAGCTGAGCGTCAAGATGTCAACGAACCCTACAACGACGTAGGCGATTGAAGGGGTTGGTTCCTTGACACAAGTAGTCTTGCCGTCAGGCTGGACATCAGAAGGCCGGCATTGAAGACGGGTTATTCTCAGGAGGCCTAACTCAAGAATTACACGACATCTGTAGAACGTCCTGCCGCCCCCTTGTTAACAAGCTGCAGGTTTTTTTCCCCACCGGCGACCATGCTCCCATCTAAGCCAGAGCCAGCATACTCCGGCATACTTCACGACTGAGTTCACCTACACTTTTCTAGCTCATGTGGACGTCTCTCCAAGCATTACCGGAAAGGAGTGTTGTCATGTTGCCGTGAGACGGTATTTCGTCTTAGCCATTAGGCCCAGGTTGATGGTGGTGCCATCCTGGATGCTTGTGACACCAAGCCTTCAGCGCAGAAGCCAGCAAAGGGTTCAAACAAACCGATATATCCATGATTGTGAGAGCGTAGATGTGACAGCTCCTGATTGTGGACTTGCAACCTAGTACTGCCATAAACGCTTTCACGACTCTGGAGACTTCCTCGGGGTGACCCGACTGCACGGTGGCCCACGGCTCCAGCTCGGCCATCAACTATGACTAGTACGTGGCATTGCGTTTGCCACAAGACCCCCCTCTTCATCCGAATAATAAGAGACACCGCCCAGGCCAACTGCTCTAGGACTTCTGATGCCTGGTCTAGCAGTGGTTTCCGGCCTCAAGGATTTTGGAGTCACAGTGACTTGGTCTCTTCTCAGCGCCAACAGAACGAGGCACGTCCAAGTAGACACAGATTCATATTCGTCATGACCTTATTGTTTTATACCCTATATGTGTTTGCTTTTACAACGTAAACAAGTGTTTACGCGACGTTGGTGATCGCTGCCGAACTGCCGAGCAGCCCCCGATGTTTGCTTCAAGGCCAACATTCAAGCATGAGTGAGCGCCAACTAAGGCGCGTTGCTTCACAACTGGTAATCATTCGGGGAGCCCTCACAGGCTGGTGGAGAGAGCCACACTTGCAGGCAGTGCGGAGGCATCTATCCAAGCTCTATGGAGGCCATCCCGGCTACGCATGCGCATGCAGGATGATTGGTATTAACCCCGGGTGTAAGCCAGAGAGGTCTTTTGCTTCGCACCCAACACCACAAAGATATTTTCCAAGACGCCCCTCCATAGAGATGCGCAGAATAGAAAAAAAAACAAATAAAACCTATTTCTATTTTCGACCACGGAAGTTGACAATGTCGACTACATAGACTTTATACTCCTGCTACAATCTCTCGAACCGACCAACCAACTGCGTGAAGCTCCCAACCCCTCTCCCACCACACGTTCGAGTCAGAAACTCAACGTCCACTACACCTCGCTTGAAAAGGCGAGCTTTCCTGTCCACAGCGCGCGGAGAGGTGGACGAGCGAAACGCCGATTCCCTTCCGCAGGAGCGAGGCGTTCATCGGGCGTCTGCTCTGTTGGCCACCGTCGCCAATGCTCGCACGTGTCCGAAGAGTTCGCGCGCGCGCGGACGCGCGCGAGTGTGTGTGCGGGACCGACCGCAAGACTGATTCCTTTCCCATCGCGTCCCCCCCCCGCGTCCAAGAACCGGTTTACGTGGAAGTGAATCAATCTGGAGTCTTTGTTACCATCAAATCAACTCTGCCTGAGTCAATTGTGTCAGGGAGAAGAAAACAAAAACAAAAGCTTGTAGTAGCCACACGGTTTAGGACAACCGCCCGAGGCCCATTGCCGTATAGCCTTCGCGGCTCCAGCAAGGGACCCGGCGATGGTCTTGGAGGTTTCTAGACGTATCCGTCCTCCGGGCTACTCTCGTCATCACTTCGCCCGAGTGCCTCATCGTGTACGCCAAGCTCAAGAAAAAATAGGAATAAGCAGCGCATCTGCAACGAGCACGTTGTCGCCTTGACAGCGGGCCATTAAGCGATGCTACTTCCGCATCACCTTGCACGGCTGAAAGCATCCCGAGTCGCAGCAAACCGGGATGTCTCAACTTTCTGGTACACCAAGGAAGGGAAGGGTAGGGGCCCGACTACGGACGACTACCTATGGAGGTAGGACTCAAGCCCCCCCCCCCCCCCCCCCCCCCCCCCCTCCCTTCCCATCCCAAAGATCCCAGTCCTTCTGCATACCTTTCCCCAAAAAGCTAACTTGGATCCAAAGAAGTTGGGGTGTATCACTCGTAAGTGGTGGTGGTGGTGATGATTTCTGGTGGCCATCTCAAGCACAACGATGTCCCAGCGATGACATTCCCCCTCCCCAACGCAGCGTGGAGATCTCAAATCGACCGCCATTCCCTTTCAAAAAGTCTCAATGGCGAAGTGCCGCCCCGAGACACTGCAGCTCCCTCGGACCGGAGGGAAGAACGCTGCTTCGTCGCCTAGGGCTGCCCGTCCAACTGGAATGTCCTCCTCCTCCCTCCCTCCCCTCCCCCCCCCTGTCGCGCCATCCGATCTGGCCAAGGGTTTCTTCTCAGACCCCGATCGGGAGCGTCTCACGGATGAGGGGCACGTCACCGACGCGGGGATCGAACGTTCATCGAGTACCTAAGGGGGGCGGGGGGGAGGGACATTCCAATCGGACGGGTAGCCCTAAGCGTCCGCCCGGTTCCCGTTACGGTCATGGTCAAATGGGGAAAATGGAGCGGGTCGACGGCCGAAGCAACAGCCGCGAAGAGGCCCGGTTCACCTGGGACTGAGTCAAGATGGGAGGCCAAGAAAAATGCCTTCGCGGACGCACTAATTACCGTTATCATCATCACCACTACCTCCATCTTGGAGTGGCGTCGACCCAAATCGAAGACGCCCGACACTTCTCAGCATAGATATCAAAAGACATAGGAAAATCAATCGTCAAGACTGGAACGAAGAGCTAAAAAAAGCCAAGCGTCCCCCCATGTGAACCTTTTCGGCATCCAATCTTTCCGCCCGAAAACCGACGCACGTAGAGTTTTTGATGGACTCTTATTTTTTTTTTCCGAACTGAGAACCAGAGACAACAACCCCCTCCCCTCCTGGGGAAGGCAAAAGCTACGGGCAGGCAAACTTATGTAGGAAGGGCACGGCAGGGATGCGTCAAATAAGAAAAGACTAAAAAGACTAAATATTACATCATCACGAATCAGCAAAAGTCAAAAAAAGACCGATAAGGCTCGTCCATACCCAACCATGGTGTCGATGCCATCGGACGAAAGAAAGCTTACTGACGAGGTTGGAGCGGCAGATGTTGTTGCTCCAGCTCCAGGTCCGTCCGTCCGCCCCCACCACATACGGCGAACAGGAGTGTAATCCGGAGACTCTTGAGTGGGGAGGGGTCGAGGAATCGACTCTCATGTTGGGGTACTTATAGCGTGAATCCTGGAATGTCCATCATCCAATGACCTACGGCGTTGTGGCAGAGTGGTCTAATGCGCAAGACTAGAAATCTTGTTCCTTCGGGAGCGTCTGTTCGAATCAGGCCAACGTCGATAACTTTTGAGTCTGGTGCCGTCGATCCCTCCGGTGTCATCGATTCGCGCTTTTTTGTCATCTTTTTGCTCCTTCTTGAAACCATATAGATCAAAACTAAGGGCCCCCTTCCCCATCATGTTTGGGGGGCATGTGTCGAGTCAGTTGCGATTGGGTTCTCACATGGAGGCACGGGCTCATCGCGCAACGTGCGATCAGCTTGTCACGGTCGCGGATTTGACGATCCGAAGTTCTTCCCAGGGTGGCCCCCAAGGGGTTTTATGCGAAGCGGTGCGGCGTCACGGAAACACGCGGTTTCTGGGCTCGACGAGAGGCCAGACGGCCGCCCGGAAGCGTCCGGTTTCCGACGTCTCGAAGGGGGACCAGCACTCGGGACCAGGAAAGGATTTTACCACCTCAACTCAACATCCCAAATCTGGCGGCGCCCTTGCCGCCAAGGTAAATACTCAATGCAAGTGTTTCTCATTGCGGATGCCATAATATTGACCTGCATATCTTTGAGTCAGGGTGCGTCGGCGAAGGACCTGCTGGCAAGGAAAACAACAAAAAGGGGGGCGGGATGAGTGACAAGTGAGCGATTGCCAGGTTGATTGGAGATCCTCATCAGCGAGCTAGATAAGCTGGCAGGTGATGAGTGGTGGCGTACATCACGCAGGCTACGCCGCTGACAACATTCCTCCCCCCCCCCCCCGGAGGAATAATCCCGCGGGCGCGGCGCTGCAATCTCTGGCAGGTTTCCTGTGGAAACAAGCAGGAGATCACCCGGGCCCTGTGACGTCTCCAAAAAGGCCGCGATGGTAACAGATTTCGGGTCGTGCCATATAGCGCCTTGGGTTAGGTAACGAATGGCGTTGAGATTTACGCGTGCCAGCATTGGCGCTAGTACACGAAAGCACGGCACGAGGGTTGCCAATACTAAGACTTGCTTGCGGCTGGCGGTTCCCAATCGAGGTGATCTTCAGGTTATTGGATGGATGTAGTAACTTCCGCTTGACCAGATCGGAGACGATCCAAATGACGAGCCGTGTATGAACGGGCCTTAGTGGTCGGCGGCCAAGTGCAATTTCAGGGCGAGCCGTCATGTCATGTCGCGTGCACGGCGTCTAACAAGCCCCTCGGCCCCTAGTTCCACGAGGGGCAGAGATCGTGAACGTCGCCATGGCAGTGCAGGCAGGTCAGGTCTCATTTGCCGCTGAGGGATCTATCAGATGATGATCAATGAGGGATATGGGGGTATGGGGAGAGACTAAGATGAACCTCCACCGCGAGCCGTTGTGGTAGTCTCGGTCATCAGGCTTTGTGCATCCTGATTCGATGCTGGAGAAGCTCGATAATATTGAGTTTGCTGAAGAGAAATGGCAAAGAGGTTGATGATCGGCCAGTGAGCAGACAGGGAACCTCTTTTGGGATGGGAGGCGGACCAGGGGGGGGGGGGGGTCGCAAGAACGGGGGTGGGTGGGTGGTCAGAGCAGAAGGCCAGACCTGCAATCCGTTGGACGAGATGCAAAGACGGTTTTGTCCATGTTGGATGCCAGCTCCGACCGCAGCAGAGCCCGAGTCCATCTTACACCACCCTCTTCGAGGCCGAGCAGTAACGCGCGTGGCGCTGGACTATGGCCAAGAATCGGCCAAGAAGCAGCAGGCGCCCAGGAGGCTTCGCGACGTATGCAGGCCGGGTTGGAGGAAGCCGAAGCATTGGTGCAGAGTTGTGTAACGCGGCTTGGGGACTGTAGGTAAATTGCGGTGTGGCGGGTGACTCCCTGGCGAGGAAACCCTGCTCTGCTGGCATTGACATTGGCATTGGAGTCGCAGTTACAGTCTTTGGGGTGGGCATTTGCTCAATGCCGGTTTGGTTATCCAGAGCCCGCCCACCTGCGTAGTAGACAGACAGACAGACAGACAGACAGACAGACAATGCGGCCGCATTCCTTGCTACGCAATGCGCAAGCAGTCCGGTATGGGCGTCGCCCAAGGAGCGCCATTGTCTCTCGGGGTTCTTCGGTGCTGCTTGTTTCTTGGGCGAGCTGGTGTCGACGGCGCAGCGCAGCCTGACTGACCTGACCCGACCCGGGCTTGTTATTAGCAGAGATGACGTGAACCGGATTTTGCATCCCCGAGGGTTCCAATTAAACACACGATCTGCCCACTGGGGTTTCAATGATGACCGGTTGTCTCCACGACGGCTGAGACGGTTAGAGATGGTACTATAGTCTATAGGCGCATAACAGAACAAGATCAACGTTGCGACTATGTTGTTTTATTGGGCTTTCGGCGGTGGGAGGGGGGGTGGGTGTCTGGATGTTGTTGGTGGATGGCTCCCTATTGCAGAATGGTACTCCGTACGGTAGGTGGAATGCGACAGCTTGACCAACGGCAGATGAGTACAGATGAAAGGAAGCGTGTGACGCATGGATAAGGCTCACGCGAAGGATGGTGATTATTGACTACTAACCTACGATATCCGTACTAAAAAGGACGTGGAGGTCGAAGGCAGCCCCTGGAGTAGCGTCGACGATCCGAAGTAGCGCCGCCATTGTAGTTAGCAGCAGCGGCAGCGATGGATGGGGGCGGGCGAGTGCAAAAAGCAAGTGCCAATGCCAGTGCCAGTGTGGGTCGGCGAGGCTCAGAGTTGCAGTAGTAGTCGAAGGAGCCTCAGTCGCAGTAACATTAGCATTTGCATTTGCGGTTACAGTTACAGTTGCAGTCGCAGTCGCAGTCACTGCCGCTCAGAGAGATCTGAGCCGAGAAATCTACCGCTTCGGGAAAGGTACTCCTTGCACTCCCCTTTTGCATTTGCAACGCAATGCAATCCAAGCCTAGGTAGGCACGGATACACAGCCACTCGGGTGACAAAAAATATGGCCGCTTTTCCTTATCACTACCAAATTGCGACCGGTCATCTTTTTTGTCACCCGAGTGACTGCATAGCATAGCAGTACTTATGGAAGGAGGTGCACGAGTGATGGTGAGATTGGCATTGATTGAGAGAAATAATGGAGCGTACGATGTACGATGTACCTCACTTAATACATCGTGGGTAACCTAGTTAGTGTATCCGTAGACCAGGCCCGGGCTCCAATGTGACCAATGCCCGTCTAGCAAGGGGAAGCGAGGTCACTAGCAGCGATAGCCTTCTGGGGACCACGAGGCCCCACGTTCGTATCCTGCAAGGTACCCGGCCCTCCAAGTTGACTGGCAGCAAGTGCGGTCGGTCGTCGGTACCTAACTCGCGTGAGGCTCTCTTAGACAAATGAACGGTCGCATTCTGCAATGCGACTGGTCACTGGAGGAATAATGTGACATAAGAGAAAAAAAAAAGCGGAACGTGATTGAGGAGGGGGGGAAGGAGTGGGAAGAGGAGAGAGACGAGACAGAGAAAGAGAGTGAGCTTAGAAAAAGACGAACCGGAAAAAAGGGTGGGGTGAGTAATATGGGATTACGAGTCCAGACGCAACGTTGAGAGCCAAGCGGTCAGTCAACCCCCCCCCGCGGCGATGAACCGTTTTGGGCGACGCCGTTCGTGGTTAGGTATCCGTAGGCTACTAAAAGCTCTCAGAGATGACGGCAAACGCATACATTCATTTGTTCACCTGATGTCGTATCCGCGTCCCGTTGGAGCCGCCACAGGGAATCCACATCCGCTTCTATTACATTCGTTGCCTTCCTCTTCGTATTTCCCCGTCTGTCCGTCCGGGCCTCCCGTCGATGCCATCCTCGTCCTGCCCTATGCCACCTTATCTCGAACGGCGGCTTTCATATTTAGAATCATACCTCGCCGGATTCCGAAAAGCGTGTCATGCCGAGTCCTAATTATGGACCGGGCATAGTGTATACTGCACAATGACTAACCAGATGGGTCGGGTTTGTTTTATCACAACCAACCTAATTTGTAGGTAGGCAGGCAGTATGTGTAGGGATGCCTTGTTTCTGATCGTGTCCTGCGCTATTAGGGGATCCCGACCAACCATGCCCGCGACCGCGGCTTTACCTGTAGGTAGTGCGCCGCGCATCCCATCTGTCAAGAATTCTCCGATTCCCGTTGCGTGTCAGCGTGTCAGCAGGACAGAGAGGCCATGATGCCGAGTAGATACTTATTACCGCCACGTATCCGCAGAGTTCTTATTTATTTGCTTCTACTCCGTACAAATGCTATGTAATTATATTGCTGGGCAAGAGAATCTGAAACACGCGTGCGCTGGGGAGGGCAGTCGGCCACCCCCTGCTCGTTTTGCCTCATCCCTCCTCCCCCTTCAGAATGCGGCGTGCCCGCTATGCTTACTACATAGTATGTAGAGAGAGAGAGAGAAAGATAGAAAGAGAGAGAGAGAGAGTACCGGTAGACTGACTGTAGGTTTCTGCACAGTACCTAACCTAGGTAGGTACGAATACCGGTATTGTAATTAATGAGCTTGTTTGGAAGGTGCTCTCCACACAATGCCAGTTGCCAAATGCACGCACGATAGGGGGTTAGCGTTCGAGGAAAGGGGGTATTCCAAGTCTTTGCGAGGCAAGAACGAACGCCCGAGGGGGCGGATCCACCCCGCCGTCTCGCCTCGCAGTGTTCCTTCATTTTCTACCCAACGACCGGCCCTCTTGCAGTTTTCTGCATCGTTTCCTGCTTCGTCGAATCGCCCGCGCCCCCTTCCCCCTTCCTCGATCGGACCCGTGGATGCTTCTGGACCCTTTGCTCTCCGTCTGTCGCAGGTGAACTCGTCTGCTCCTTGCGCAATTCAATTCAATTCAATCCGAGCGAGGGGGCCTCCATGATTGATCCTCGACATGGCCCATTTTGCCTAAACCCTAAACAACGTGCAGGGACTGCAAATCACCGCAAATCTGGACATCAAATCAAGCCTGCCCCCCTCCGCGCCCAGTAGACGGGCACGCGACAGCGGTAGCCATCTATCTGTATTGTATCACCTGACCGACCCTTCTCTTGTCTGCCTGTCCTGCGTTGCGTTTCGCTGCGTCTCGACACATAACGTCTCTCGATCCGTTATACGTCGCCCACATAGCTATTGATGCACCATGCCATGTAATCAACCCTGGTTCCCTGCTTGATGCTCGACAACCCCCAGGCTCAACCTGGTATTGCCCGGACAGGTCCACCAGGGGGGCTTCTCGAAAAGCCACCGTCTGTGCTTACTTGCTTCCTTCCCTGCAACCACCCACACCGCCAACAGGGGTCTTGCTTCTTCACTCACTGACCCTGAGACCAGTCCTTGCTGCTGCTCGACTCCCCCAAATCCACCTCAAGTCCCGACACCCTCTTTCTCAACTTCGAGACGCGAGTCGCAACATCTCTCCTCCAAGCGACTCATCCTCAGACCAGCCTATCCTGTCTTGTTTCTATCCGTCACTCTTCAGAGCCCGTGTTTCCCGACATCTGTGCTTCTCCCAAAACACGCTCTAGCACTGCATCCTTGACAGCAACCAAGATCCCGGGACTCGTGCGACTTTGCACCGCAGAGAAAAGGACCTCCAAACGTCGCTTGGTCACACGCTTCACCTTTTGCCCTCGCTCTCGACCCTCACGCTCACGCCTGCGTCCGGGTCTTCGCCTGTAACCTGCAACAGGGGGTTTCCAACTATCCACGACCCCGTCATATCGCAATCCACAGAGTGTCCGATCCTGGACCTGGGAAACGCCCCGATCGTGCGCCCTATCACTCTTAAGCTTCCACCAACAGCGTCAGCTCGCCTCATCCTTTCTAGAAGTAGTCAAGAACCGCTTCGTCCCCGCTGCAACTCTGTGCGCCTACATCTATTTCCCGCTTTTCCCGTCTTTGGTCCGCACCTTGCGCCTACGGAATACTATCTGATGCGGCCTCAGATGCGCCTGGAAATACCGACAACTTGCTCTTAGTGGACACTTAGTGGACACTTAGGAGAGCTTTGGGAGTCTCAGCAAAAGATCCGAACGAGTCCCAGTCAAAATGGCTCTCCCACGAGAGTCGACCTTCATGCCGACCATCAAATGCTCGTCATGTGGCCGGCAGGTGGAAATCTCCATGATGGGCGAGCACATTTGCAGCGGCCCGGGTGAAGAGCGTATGTTGGCCAAGACTGTATGAAGAGTATGATAAAACTAACACGCGCGACACAGCATCACCGCCGCCAGCTCGCCCAGACAGTATAAGCTCATCATACGACCAAACATCCCCTCGTGACAACAATAACAAGTATGGGCGCATGCCGCCTCCGACTCTGGATACCAGTGCCGCAAGTACGTTGGCGACCCTTGGGATCCTTCGTGTCCTCGGCTAACACAGTACTAGATCTTCGATTTTCACGGCAAGGCCAGCTCACACCGATAAGCACATCAACTGGCTCAATCAGCATTTCACCCAAAACTCCCAACAGTCAGGCCGCTGGCCGGTCGGATGATTACTTCCAACCACAGATAGCAAATGATTACAATTCGAACCAGCAATCTCGACGTCCTGGGGGTTATGGAGGATTCGACGATGGGGAAGATTTCGCGTCGGACCAGATGTACCCGAATGAGCAAAAGAAGCAGGCACCGAGCCTCCTTCAACGTATGAACACGATTGCACCCGGACCTTTCGAGATAGGCAAGAGGCCTGGTGCGCGTGCGGCTGCGAAGAATGCTTTTGGCCCGACTCGACAGAACTCGTTGACGCCCGAGGACAATTTCATGAATGACCGACCACTAACATCAGCATCCAACAACTCGTTCATGTCTTCCGCGAGCAGTAACGGTGGCGGCATTGCGCCGCCAAGACCGCCGAGGAAGAACGGCTACGGAGGGTTCGGCCCCCCAGGAACGATGCCGGATGAATTCGAGCCCGACACATTTGTCAGTCGAGCCGGCACCTTCCCCCGCCCCAGCGAGCCTGTTGAGGTGCCATCGAGGGCTCCTTCGGCACCCGGCGTTCGCCCGGACAGGTTGATGGGGGAGCCCATCAGTCGTGGTGAGCACGAGAGAAAGGTGTCGATGGGCCCGGATACATCAAGGCCACCGCCTCCAAGAAGGAGTCTCCTACGCCCGAACACGGCCGGAAGGGATGGACCGCCGCCCGTCGATTTGGCCAACGAGTTTGGTACCTCGAACCCGTATCACACGCCCTCAGCTTCAACGTCATCTGGGGCCTCCTTGTTTAGCCACGGCCGCCAGGCCAGCTCTCAAAGCAGCTCACAGTCCAGCCCAGGAAACCCGCGCCCGCGCCGCAAACCGTCCGACGTGAGCAGTTTTGACAACTTAATGAACGACATCGAGTCGTCGATGGCTGCAATGCAGCTCCCGACAGATGCCAACCCGCCGCCGCCGCCGCCTCCCTCAAAATCCCCGACAGATTTGTATCCCACTCGGCGTGCACCGCCCCCTGCGGATCTCCGAAACGACCCTGCGGTTCAAGGTGCTCGACAGCGTGCGAGATCGCCATTGGCGACGCCAGATTACAACTACAATCCCCGCGAGCCGATGGACCGTCGCAACCAGCATCAGCGCCAGCCCAGTGATGCGCCGAGCGTTTCATCCCCACCCCGCAACCGCCCCTCCCGAGGGAACTGCAAGTCTTGCGGTGATGCCATCAAGGGCAAGAGCATCTCTTCCGCCGATGGCCGGCTGACTGGACGTTACCACAAGGCCTGTTTTGTGTGCACGACCTGCCGTGAACCCTTTTCCTCGGCCGAGTTTTACGTCCATAACGACAGACCTTACTGTGAACTTCACTACCACAAGCTCAACGGTAGCCTGTGTGGAACTTGCGGACGCGGCATCGAGGGTCAGTACTTGGAAGACGAGGAGCGCGTCAAGTACCACGTCGGTTGTTTCCGATGCGGCGACTGTGGCATGTCCCTCTCGAACGGCTACTTCGAGGTGAACGGCAAGGCGTACTGCGAACGGGACGCCTGGCGCCGCATGCAGCCGCCACCACTACGAATGGCCAACAGCGACCAGCGCGGCCGCGCACCCGGTGGTCTCGGTCCTCCGGGAGGTCCCGGACAGGCCGGCCGCCGCCCCAGCAATGGCCAGTCTGGCATGAGACCACCCGTCGGCCTGCCCCGCGGGCAGAGAATGCCTCCTGGCGCCGGCCTTGCTCCGCCAATGCCTCGCATGAACAAGCGCATGACGAGACTCGGCATGATGTAAGCTGCAGGCATCAAGCCTAGAAAGGCAGACGAATCGCTCCATATTCGTTTCGCCGTATATGCACCACCATTTGTGTTGCATTTTGACATTTACGACGAATTTCATGACAACGACATAGCTGCACCACCACTACCACCACACACTCTTATTTTCTTCTTCTGCTATCTAGAGTTTTATATACCCAGTCCCATTGGACTCTGTTGATACCTGCATGAGATGACGCTTATTGCTCGTCTTCGTTATGAGCGTTGGTTGAGGGAAAGGCCCTGGGACAGGGCGGCATACCCTGCATCGGACTTGTTGGTACCGTGCCAGACGAGGTGGGGAGGAGATTTTGCAGGCAACAGCACGCACATGGGTACTCCAGACGGAGATGCCGGTGAAAGTTATGGGACGGCGGTCCATAGCACAAACCTAATAACAAGAAATACTTGAAACTAATTGTTTGCCAACGGGATGTGACGTGTCGTGAGCTGTTGCGTCGACGCAGCCACGTGGCTTTGAGGGGCTGTGAGAGCCCAGGCTGAGAGTGAGTCCAACGGTTTTTGGTCTCGGGAAACTGCGTACGAGCCCAGCCAGATATCTCCCTCCCCCCGGTATGTGTGACCATTGTCTTGCTCGGCCTGGTGACGCCGGAAGAAAAACGGGGGAGTCTGTTACACGCAAACGGCCGGGACGGGACGGTGCAGCTCTGCGCGCCTCGCTCGGTTCGGCCTCAAGAGGTGCGGGCCCGACGGAGAGATAGATGTGCACGAGGAAATAGGAGGGAAACGGCACGGGAGGGGCCAGGGTTTTTTTTTTTCTTCTTTCTTTCTTTTCTTTTCTTTTCTTTTTTCTTTTTCTTCTTCGGTTGTTTGGTTTCTGGTCCGGAGCACGCGGCCCCCCTCCCGAGAGGGGCGGGCAGTGCCGAACATTATTCTTCCTTTCAGCCGATGCGTGTTGTCCGGTGGCATTGTGTACGGTGTCACGGTGTCATGTGCTTTACGTGGCATCGCGGGGAACCGCTTTTCAGTAGCGAGTGTGCAGTAAGGGGTGGAGGGGGAGAGGGCGTGAGAGAGAAGGGGAGACCGAGAGACAAGAGATAGAGAGGGAGGAAGGGAGAAAGCTCTGGGCTTCGACCAAGAGATTGTGAGGGCGAGAGGATCTTCCAAATCATCAACGTCCGAGACGCATGTGAGGTTCCCTTTTTCTGCTGTCTCGAACGGGGGGGGCTCGTTTCGGAATGGGTGTGTGTGTGTGTGAGTGTGAGTGTGTGTGTGAGTGTATGTGTGAGTGTGTGTGCTTGTCGTGGGGTTTGCTGCCGCTGTGCCGCGCAAGGCGACTCGCACGGTGGTGGGTGAAGGGAAGCGATGGGGATGGCAGGCATAGTGACGGTGGTTTCGTCCACCGTCGTGGTTTGATGGAGTTAGTTGGTAATCGCTTCGTCTCGACGGTTTGGGATGAAGGGAGAGAGAGAGAGAGGACGTGGGACGAAATATGGCATAGTATGGCGTGGTGTGGTGGCGCGGGGGTTCGTCTGTCAGCGGGTTTCGTGGGTGGGTGGTTTGAAATAGAAGCCCAATGAGATGTTTGGATGGATCGACGGGCTCGTGAAACGGCGAAGTAAGGCAGAGAGGGATGAATATCATTTGCGCCGTGCTGTATGACGGAGGTGGGAGGGGGGGGAAGGCATGGGACTCATGGATCACTTTCTCTCCGTAGTTTCATACGCAGCAGATGCGATTTCGAGGGAGGATGGAAAGGGGGAAAGGATGTGGCTGCTTCTTTCGCCTCTATCGACAAAACATGCAGCTGGCGGGCGGGTTTGCGCATCGCATGTTGTCTTCCTCTTTTTCTTTTTCCCTTGTCTATCACCCTCCCTTTCCCCGGGCCGATCATAGGAAATGACTGTGTCTCGCAGTTTGGTGCGGGCGCGTGACGAGAGACGGGAAATAGGTGGCGAGACGTTGTCTCGGTTCCATCGAGGAACTGCAGAGACGCGGCGGCGGGATAAGAACAAGCATGTTCGAGAACTGCCTTCGGCGGTCCACGGACAGTCCGTTGTCTGCGGACGCGCAAGGTGAGTTCAGCGTAACGGCGGGAGTCTGTGGGGATGACTAAACCTTCTTATATAGCCTCCCCCCCTTCTCGACTCCTTCGACCGGGACTTGCCATTCGGGGACCTGCCCGATTTAGAAAGTGCCTGTAAAGGTCTTCAACTTTTTGGCTTCGCCAGGTGAATAGGTAGGTAGATTGCATGTACCTGCCTACCCACTAAGACATGTTGGCGGTTCGCCCCGCCTCGGCGCCCCTTACATATAATATATGTGTAGGTTGCGTATGCCAGTCAGTGGAGTGGTTGTTACATTAGAGCAGTTGAGCGCCGTGGACAGAGAAGGGACAGAGTCGCGGTTCTCTCCATCATTACATATTCCGGCCGGTCCAGGTGTAGTGTAAATAGCCGTCGCCGCCTCGTCGACCTCTCGAAACAGCCAAGGCAAGTCGCGTGGAATGCACGAAAAGGGGCAGTCGTCGTCGACTATACTATTACCTATGCTCGTGTCACGTGTAAAGTGCCTTCACCTCATGTTAAGGGGTGATAATTACCGGTAGGTAGTTCAGGGAAAGCTCGGGTTTCTCCCAAGTTAGTAGCGAGAAGTACCTTTGGAGCCAAGCTTGTGTGTCTCGGTACTTGAGGAAACAACCGAGCTAATTTTGGCTTGGCTTCTTCTGGATCGACAGGGGAGGGAGGGAAAAGGGAGGCCCCCCCCCAAAAGCCACCCCTTGACGCCACAATCTGCTCACGCGTGTGTCCAAGACGACGTTGGAAATGGCTGTTTGGGACATCAACCAAACGGGATCCTATGCGGTTTTTTTTTATTCTCTTCTCAATTCAGAGGCAAGCTGTTTCCTTTGATTGAATTGTTTCATGAGGCCAAACGGCGCGGGAGCTATGAACTGCTTAGAGTTGGTTGCACCACCAAACACTGCGCCGCCACGAGCGCGTGGGTTTCGTGGGCTACCTTGGAAATGTCTCAGGACCAGTGTTTCTTCCTTTTTTCCCCCTTCTTTTTTCCTTCTTCTTCTTCCTCCTTTGATTGCTTAGCATGGACTGGTCCGGTACCGCAATCACGGCGTAAGATTGAAGCATCCACTGATCGCTGGCCCAGCAGTTAGGCCACGAGCAAGCCTGACCCCTCCCCCTTTTATCTTCATCGAGAAGATAGCATCACGTCAGGGCCCCCAGGGCTAAGGTACTACAGCAGGTTGGTAGCAGAATAAGTCCCGTCGCACAGCGCATGTCGTCCCCTCTCTGCACTCTGCGTTTCCGCGTCCCGCTCCCGTGATGGACTGATTGATTACGGTGACGGGCACCGGAATCCCGTTTTACACGTTGTTGCAATATCCGAGGTACGTAAAAGGGAGGTAAGGGGCCAGTCAGTAAACGCCATCCCCTCCTTAAACTGAGCCACTCCGCTGCTTTACAAGTGGCTACGTACGTAAACTAGGTACCAGATAGACTGAACTCATGTAACTGGGTAGTGATCTACACACAGCCGGGCTTGTCAGCTAGCATTGTAACTCGGTATTTGGTTGGCCGGTACCGCTCGGCTGTGTATGTTTTCCACCTGCAGGTATCCGTGGGGCCTTCCCCCTTGAAGATACTTGCGAACATATACTGTACACCGGTCCTTACTACCCAGTTTAACCCACCGATATCTTGCCTGCGAGCGAATGGAATGGCGCGCTGGTCCGGTTCTTGCTGGCGTTGACATCCGTATACACTAGACACGGAGCAGGAGAGCAACGTACCCTGCGGACAGTGGCGTCTTGCCCGTCCCGTCCCTGAGCACCAAGGCAGCGACGGGATTGGTGATTGGTGGTAGTTCCCTCCCTACTTTCAAACTTCCTTGCTTGGCCCCTTCCACCCCTCAACCTCTATCCTCTCTTCTTCTGTCCTCCTCTCAGCGTCTCCATCTGCGTCGTCATCGTCACCGCAGACCTGTCCCTCCTTTTCCTTCTAATCCCTTCATTTCTTCCATCTGCAAACCTGCGCATTCGTTGCAACCAGCGGCGCTTCTGGTTCTTTGCTCGCTTTGTCGACGTTTTCGTCGTTTCGCTTCCCACCTCATCTCGAATATTGCCGACGTCCCGTCTTCTCCCCACGCTACCTTGCTTGACCACGTTCCCCTCCCCCCAATCCATCTGCATCAAAGCACAAACCCACCCCCGAAAAAAAAAAAAAAAAAGCAACCAGGCCTTCTTTGATAGGAGCCGCGTGCTCATCTTTAATCACCGAGGCTTATCCAATCTCGCCAAGCCCCTGGTACCTGCAGTTTAAGCCAGGTCCGTCGATTAGCTCCACGAGGATCGCGAGAACCAACGCACCGTCATCCTCGACAAGATTTCTGCGCATCGCGTTCGTCATTCTTTTGATCGTGTGTGCGTGTGTTTTCGCCGCCGCAGCATGCCTCTATAGCGCCGAGGCATACATTCCAACTCGCTCACCCAGTCACTCGCCTGACGAGTGAATAGACGACAAATCTGTCTCAAGCCGCCTGTTAATCAAACCAGTCCTCTCCCGTCGCTGCCGCTGCCGCTGCCGCCGCCGCCGCGCTGGCAATGATGACCCTGCTCAAGCAACAGTCATCCAGAGGCTTCATCGCCCCGAGGGCCCGTCCCAAGACGCTACTCTTCTTTGCCATCGCCATCATCTCCGTTTACTTCCTCGCGACCCGCGGCGCTCCCGCTGGATACCACGTCGTCCCTTGGAACCACGAAGGCACCGTCCCCGCCTCCGATAAGGCTGCCGCGCCCCCAGAGCCGCCCAAGTCGGAGGAAGAAAGGAAACAGGAGGAGGAGAGGCAGAAGCAGGAGAGAGAGAAACACGAACAGGACCTGCGAGACGAGTTTGCGCGCGAGTATGAGGCCGCCAAGAAGTACGTGCTACCTTATTTATCCCCTATACCTCAACCAATGCTAAAGACTGACTTGATACACTCTTACAGGCTACCCGGAAGCGATGAAATCTACGGTAACACGCTCAACACCTTGAAGGATAAGGAGAACAGGACCGCCGAGCATGCTGCCAACCTCCGAGAGTCTGGCACGCAAGAGGAGGCGTACACGAACCAGCGCCCTGTCTACTTCAACCCCTATCCCAACTACAACAGCGCCGAGTGGAACAAGACGCATCGCGCCCCCTACGTGCCATGCATCGGTGCCACTGGCGAGACCGTCGAGGATCTGCTGGTTTTCAAGGGTCACCCCGCCAAGTTTCCCAACCCGGGCTTTGGGGGCTTCGACATCCTCAACATGGACGGCAACATCTGCTACGAACGCGAGACCAGACTTGGCCCCTACGGTCTTCTGCCTCAGCTCAGCAAGGCCGGTCTCCGCATCGACTGGGACAATGTCAACTGGGGAGATCTCCAGGAGAAGTGCATCGAAAAGAACGCTGCCAGGTTCGACAAGGGCATGCCCAATGAATACATAAAGACCGCTTATCCCGATATCGCAGAGAAGTATGGCAACGAGGTCAAAGAGGCTGGAAAGAAAACCGAGAAGCGCGGTCTCGGCAAGCTCGGGAGCGGCTCGAAGGCTGCCAAGGCGACGGGACCCGACGCCCGTACCGCCGTCCTCTTGCGAACCTACACCGGCAAGAAGTACACCGAGAACGACAAGCAGGTCATTCGCTCCCTTATTTCCGAGCTTTCCCTCCGATCCGGCGGTGAATACCAGGTCTTCCTGTTGCTCCATGTTCGCGACCAGGCCCTCGACATCTGGAACGACGAGGCCACCTACCAGTACGTGCTCAACGAGCACGTACCCCTGGAGTTCCACGGCATCACTAAGCTGTGGAACGACCAGGCTGTGTGGAACGTCTACCCTGCTCTGACGGACGAGAACGAGAAGAGCGTGCACTCTGCTCAGTGGCTGTCGGTGCAGAAGTTCAGCCAGGACCACCCCGAGTTCGACTTCATCTGGAACTGGGAGATGGACGCCAGAATCATTGGCCACAACTATGATTTTTTGCAGCGGCTTGCCGATTTCGCCAAGAAACAGCCTCGTAGAGGCCTGTGGGAGCGTAACGAGCGCTACTACATCCCCGAATTCCACGGTGACTACGACACCGACTTCCGCAAGGACGTCGAGCGGCGCACCCGCGGCAACCAGGTTTGGGGCCCGCCCAAGCTGCCCTTTATCAACCCCGTCGGCCCCAAGCCTCCTGTTGACAACCCCGAGAAGGACCCGTACAAGTGGGGAGTCGGCGAGGATGCCGACATGATCACCGTCGGTCCGATTTTCAACCCGATCAACAGCAGCTGGATTATCTCGGACCACATCTGGGGCTACAGGGACGAGCAGTTCCCCGACCCCGCCAAGACCCTTCCTCGCCGAACCACCATCGTCACCCAGTCTCGCGTCTCTAAGCGCCTCTTGGACATCATGCATGTTGAGAACCTCCGCGGCAACCACATCGCGTCAGAAATGACCCCCCAGACCGTTGCCCTTCTCCACGGATTCAAGACCGTCTTTGCGCCTCACCCTACCTGGTTCGACCGTCCCTGGAACGGCACCTTCCTGGCCAAGTGGTTCAACCCTGGACCCCGCGGCGAAAGTGGTGGTGAGGGCAGCCCTATGGGGTGGGGAAGGGAGCGCAGATATCAGGGTATGACCTGGTACTACCGTGCCGAGCCTCCACCAAGACTGTACAACAACTGGATGGGTTATGTCGACACTAAGATTGGAGGCAAGAACTGGGAGAAAGCGCACGGTCGTCCTTGCTTGCCGCCCATGATCCTCCACCCCATCAAGGAGGTGAAGCCGACGGAACCTGGCTTCGCGACCCAGTTTGAACTGTTTTACGGCTAAACGCACTCACGCGGTATGATGGTGTATGATGTACGAACAGGACTTGCTTCAGACCGGGGGCTCATGGGCTCGCTTGTGAAATATTGGCTGTGCGGGGAACGAAACATTGGCAGTTGAAGCAGCGGGATACGAAGCATTTGAACCGGACCGAGGGAGATATTCCAATGACCGAGAATTGTGTTCTTCGACGCCAGGCTTGCCGCTACGAAGAGACGAGCTTCAAGTGGGCGCGAAACAACTTTTGGCCCATTCTGTCTATACATATTAGGGCTTCGAGGCTAGATGGGGAAACCGGCACAATGTCGCCGTCGGAGCGAGGCGTTCTCTCTTTTGCTGCTTTTTATCCACCTATGGAACAAAACCTTCTATGACCTTTCAGGTGTTACACGTCAAAACACATACGACATTTGTTCCTATTATTGTTCTATTATAAACATACACATATCTTATTTGTCCTTTGTTCAGCTTTTGGCACGTCATAGCGAATAGACCTTGGGCATTTCAATCAGAACATCCCAAAACTGTCATTGGAACGGTCGGCTCTTGGATTTGATCTGTACGAAGCATGGGGGGTTGAAAGGCCGGATTGACGGGATAGAAAGACACGCCTGGCTGAGGCGGTGTCGGGCAGCATAGTATCATCTTTTCATGTATAGAGGCGGGAAAACATAGTAATCCAAGTTGTCGTAGGTTCAAGTGCCCATCGTCCCATGTGCCGTTGATGACCAATGGTAATGATTCGCCGCCGCCGCAGCCCTGGACGAAGGATTGCATGGTTCCCAAGCATTTATCAAACTCGGGGCTAGCCACGGCATCATACGCCCACCGGATTGTGGGAAGGAACGGGCAGTTGGAGTCCATAAATGGGCACGCAGTCTCGGCACGGTGCCAGAGGGGGGAGGGGGGGGGTTTCCCTTCTGCAACATCATTATCCGGACCCAATACGACTAGCCATCAATCAGGACCAATCCATTCTCTCCCCATCAATCGGAAATGTTATTATCGTATATAATCCATTTATGAAACCTCTATCCAAAGGTTCGGGTCATCGATACGTACCCTGCAGTCCCCCCCCTGCGGATTGCTACAGTTACTGATCTTCGATGCTTGAAGGACATGTACCACGTCAATTCAGGTCAAAGTCGCACACATCCGTTCCGGAGGATCTAAACATCTTCTGTATTCAAGAAACCCGTTCTAAGTCGGTGAACGGCAAGGCATGTGCAGAGAGCCAATCAGCGGGATATTATACCACGGCCAAGACATAAGCACTAAAGAAGAAGAAGAAGAAGAAGGCGGGGAATGCATCCTCATCACCATGCCGTCGCATCTGTTGCGTGGCGCAGTCGGAAGGGCGCTAGATAAGCCGGGCCGTGTGCGATCATGAAGCCCGGAAAGCTCACGCCATTCCACAGCACGGGGAAACGCATGCCTAACGAGAGAAAGTCATCACCACAGGCTAGCACGCATTCACTCGGACGAACTTTGCCAACACCTTTCCCTAAACCAGGGAGCCGTTTCGTTCCAACGTCCCCCACCCTTCATCGACCGCAATGACTTCGCTGGAAGCAGACGAGCGGAACGCAACACCTCTCCTCCCCGACGACCCTGCGGGGTTCCTCGACGACCCACGCTTCCACCAGACCTTCACCCTGCCCGCCGGCCCCGACCGGCCGCACCCGTTCCAGGTGACGTACTGCGACTACGGCTACCGGGACCCGGAGAGTCCGGAGCGCGAGCATGTCCTGCTGATCTGCGGGCCTCTCATGGGCAGGTAAGCCTCTCCAGTTCCTCCGACCCAGGCCGAATGTCTGACAGCCGTCCCCAGCCGCTTTCTCCACGTCGCCAAGGACGCCCTCGCCAAGCAGCACCACGTCCGGGTCATCAACCTGGACAGGCCGGGCTTCGGCGGGACGACGCCCGTCCCCGCGGCAGACCGCGTCCGCATCTGGCTCGAGATTGTGCCAGCCCTCCTGCACCACCTCGGCGTCCGCCACGTCTCGATCGCCGCGCATAGCTGCGGCACCATTTACGCGCTCAACATCGTGCTGCACCAGCGCCGCCTTCTCTCCCCCGCGCGCCCGTACGTCGCGCTCGTCGTGCCCTGGGTCCACCCGTCGCACTCGGGCGTCGCGATCATGCGGGCCGCCGCCGCGCTGCCCGACGCCGTGCTGGGTCGGTTCCACACGCTCACAGGCTTCTTCCAGCGGAATGTCGCACCTGTGACCGAGTTCAGCGGCGTCGGCTTCCGCGCCGTCAGCGAGATGCTGCCGTCGATGTGGGGAGCGAACCCCGCCCCGGCGGCGAGCCCCGCTCAGGTGGCGGCCACCGCGGCGTCGGGGGTTGACGCGCGCATGGCGACGTTCGAGCAGGCCATCTGGAAGCGCATCATCGACAAGGTGTTTGTGGAGAGTGTGCAGGGCCCCAGCGAGGAAGCCGTCCTGCTGCTGAAGCGGGCGGAGCACCCCGGGTACTGGGGCTCATGGGAGGACCACGACCAGCTTGTCACGCTGCTGGCCGAGGGGGAGGCTGAGTTGGGCGCCGGCGGCCCGGCGGCGGACGGCGCGAGGTTGAAGGTCGACGTGTACTTTGCGGAGGAGGACCACATGATCGGGACCGGGAAGGGGCCCAAGTGGTTCGAGGACTGCTGGCGGGCCGAGCGGCGCGGCGACCGCATCGACTTTTCGAGCTGCGTCGTCCCCGGTGCTGAACACGACAACATTGTGGACTTGGGGTTCGACGTGTTTGAAAGGATCTTCCGCCAGGTGGGCTGGATGGACGAGAGCGGAGGCGGCGGCTCGCCTTCGCTCGATGCAGTACCGAGTCCCAAGGGAGGAGGAGAGGCTCCGGTTGCTTGAGGTGAGTCATCCTCGAGCCTAATCGGGGGAACCGGTGTCCGCCTCAGTTCTTGGGAGGGATCGGTTATCAGTGTCTGTCACGAGGGCAGTCTGGGCATTTCCGAGATACTTTCTAGTGCTTGTCATCCACGGTTTCTAGCAACCCTCGCGGAGAGAGAAAAAAATCAAGCCGCCGGATGGGAATCATTATTCGTCGATTACCGGGCCAAGCTTTGGTCTTAGAAGAGAAGATTCACTCAATACGTCGACCCACTCCCCTCCCTCTCAGCCCCATAAAGTGCTGCCATTGTCGTGAGCCTCATACCAAGCCTTTGGCCCGTCAGCGAGATGAGACTGGACGGGCCTGTGGATATATCAGACGGTGCAGAGTTCACGATAACGGGCCAGAACATAAGCTTTTTTTTTTAGTATGTAGGTAAACTCTAACGGCCGCCCCAGCTTTCTGGATTGGCCTGCCCGTGCCCTTTCGTTGGCACGGGGAGCCTCGGCAGATGACTGAAATTTTGAGGAAAGACCATGCGGGGAAGCTCGGCGGACCAGGCAATTGGGTTTTGGAGTTGGCGTCTGGCAGCGCCCTCTGAACTAAGATCGACCGGGTGACCTGAAGCACCCGGGGGGGGGGGGGGGGGGGGGGGGACAGCAAAGAGCTCTCCCCCTAGCTCCCGGTACATGTAAGTCCAAGCCGGACAGAGAAATGGGCGACCTCTCATCTGCGGAGGCAATGCCCTTTCTGCCCTTCTGGCCTGCATATGTACGTGCGTTGGGGACGTTTGGGTCCCCTGAAGTTGGGAAGTCCGAGACAGTGCATTCCAGAGTTCCGTCCGGGATGGGGGGAGTCCCGCCCCCCGGTCCCCAATACCGTTTTCGACATGAAAAAAAGAAAAACAGGACCATCGGCGAACAATTGCTCAGCACAGATAGCGTCTGTTAACGATTCCACACCCGAGCTCCCCGCACCCTTATCGTGTCCCATCAGACCCCATGCGCTGAAGCTCGGGGGACCGACACGCACAGGCCAGCCCCCAAAGCGGGAAGCTTTCCCAATGGGAGCGAGCTCCCCACTCTCGCTCTCTCACTCGATAGCTCTACTCTCACTCCGGCCTCAACCCTCCCTCTCATCCCCCACCTCTCATACCCGATTCTCACTTCCAGTCCCCGTCAAGCTCATGCTCCGGGCTCACACACGCCCTCACTCGATCTCGCATCAGGAAACCAAAGAAGAAGAAGGGGAAAAAGGAAAGGAAAAAAAAAATAACCGCCCTTAAAAGAAAACAAAACCCCCAAACTAAATAAACAAATACAATAACCCGCCCCTCATGCCTCCGACAAGACTCACAATCCCCCTCACCATCCTCGTCCCCGCCGAGCCCCTCACCCGCTTCTCCTTCGCCCCCTTCGGCGACGTGATAGAGAACCCCCACCCGGACGTCCTCCCCGCCGCCTCCCTCCCGCCCGCCGTCTCGGCCTCCTTCTCCGCCGTCCCCGCCAACCAGGGCACCGCCATCAAGTACCAGCACGTCTCGGCCCCGCTCGACCTCTACGCCCAGGCGCCCAGCGGCGCCGCCAGGCCCGTCGTCAGCCTCTTCTCCTGCGCCGCCCGCGCCCTCGAGCCCGCCCGCCCCGCCGCCGCCGCCCCGCCCATCTCCACCCTGCTGCCCTACACCACCTACGCCGGCCCCGAGCGCGGCGGCCGCTTCCGCGTCGCCGTCCTCGAGCGCCACCCCTTCACCACCCAGACCTTCGCCCCGCTCGCCGCCTCCGCCGGCGTCCACGCCGCAGCATACCTCGTCATCGTCGCCCCGACCCTCGCCGCCACCTTGGGCTCCGAGACCGACGCCCTCCCGGCCCCGGCCACCGGCGGCAAGGGGCCCGGCCTGCCCGACCTCAAGGGCCTCAAGGCCTTCGTCGCCTACCCGGGCCAGGCCGTGACCTACGGCGCCGGCACCTGGCACGCGCCCATGGTGGCCCTCGGCCCCCAGGGCACCGCCATCGACTTCGTCGTCACCCAGTTCGCGAGCGGCGTCGCCGTCGAGGACTGCCAGGAGGTCGAACTCGACGCCGCCTCCGAAGGCGCCGGGGTCGTGGTCCAGGTCCCGGAGAGAATGCCTCCAGCTTCCAAGCTGTGAGGGTAGGGGGTGAGTTTTTTTTTTTTTAGTTTTTTTTTCCCCCTGCTTCGGAAAAATAAACGAAAAGAAAAAAACGCGAGAGGCGGCGTTTGAAAGCGAAACTGTGACAAAGACATTAGCTGCGTTTGGATCGACGATTGAGGGCTTGTACGATGACCGATTGGATGTGTGAGTGCGGGCGTGGCTGGTCACCCCATCAGACATGTTCGTGGAATGAGTAGACGGAGGAGTGTTGTTGGGCAAGAGGGGGCGGGGTATCAGGGTTTGTTGAAATACCTTTTCACCAGATTGCTCAACATATCACAGGATTTGGAGCTGCGAGGTATAAGAAGCGACTGGATGCGTGAGCACATCACATGTGAAACCCGGCCGGCATTGGTGATCAATAGATCTTTTATTGTTTTCTGTGTTTTATAGCCATGGTGATCCGTGTTGAACCCGTTTCTTTGCACTCTGACAATCCTAAACCTCAACCCAAGGCCACTTCTCGTGAAGTATACTAAAACATGATTAAGAGCCCCCTCCCCACTTGGTGAAAGCAGCTCCCCAGACCCTCCCGACACCGCCTCTGGGTAACTTCTGAATCTGTCCTCTGGAACCTGTGTCGCACACTAGTCTGTCGTCTCTCATATTCGCTGCGTTTCATTCCTAATAGCAATCTTCGCGGCGACGCAACCAAAGAAATCCTTCACATGTGTATCTGGCTCAATACAATGTCTCTTCTTAGCCCTCAAACTCTTCAAACTCGACGGATCGAAGAAGCTTCTCAACTGTGGACTCCTCAAGATAAGGGCGGTATCGGAGGGGGTATGCCGGATCGACGCGAGCATCGTCTGGGACCGGGAGGCGGATCCGGCCATGTGGGTGGCCCCAATCGCGGATTCGGCCGCCCTGTCTCTGATTGAAGATGTCGAACTCCAACGTACCCGGCGATATGAGGTGATATATGGCCACCTTGCGGGTCTGGCCTTGTCGAATCACGCGGCCCTTGGCCTGGTTCATGTACATCGTGTAGTTATCCGAGTCCGTGAAGAGAACACCGGCGAAAATCACATGGTTGGCCTCGGTTAGGTTGGTTCCAGCAGACTCTGAGGACATGAGGCTCTGGATTAGTACGGCCTTTCCTTGGTGGTTCTTGAAGGAGTCGATGGTTTGAGAATCTTGTTCTCCACCATCCGTCATGTAAACTCCGACAGTATCGTCTGCACCGTCGAACAGCTGGGTGTGGATTTCTGACTTGATGCCGGCATAGGCAGCAAAGATAAGAACTTTCTCGTCATCTCTGACCTCTTCAAGAATGATTTTCTCAATCTCCAGAATCTTGGAACCCGGCACTACTTCCAAGTCCGTGTCGATGTTGTTGTTGCCCTTGGCCAACAATGTATCCCAGGGCACAAATGACCCCTGACTAAATGCCTGGCAACCTTCGACTGGGCAGACGCGAGCACCACCCTCCTGGAAATAACCGTGGCAACTGGCGCAGAGTGTGTGGCCACAGGCGATGGACAGGAATCCACGCCGCGCTTCCTTGATGATGTCGCGGCATCCGAAGCACTTGAGGGGAAGATTGTCATGGGCGTTGAACTCCTTCTTTTGAAGGCAGTCTTCTTTGAGAACGAAGATTTGGTGCCGCCAGGCTTCAACCGTGGTTTTGATGCCGGCTTGAATGCTTTGGATAACCAGCATGAAGCAGTTGAGTGTCTCGTCGATTTCCTGTCCTCTGGGCTTGACCTTTCGGCCCTTGCGGGGTCGGTGGGCAGGCAATTGTACGCCAAACTCAAAGTCATCCTTTGCGAGGCCGCCAGCCAGATGCTTCTTAAGACGAACTAGAGCGTCGTCAACAACGTCGTTTGTCTTCAATCCAACCCCGAGTGCCATCGCTTGGTGGAGTCGCTGGCTGGGGTCGAGCTGCTTGGCTCGGATGATACGGATTGCATCGTCCTTTGTGTTGACGGGGCCATCGACCGGGGGATCGACCCAACGGTGCACGAGAATCTTGAGCTCCTCCATGGGTAGTTCGTCGTCTTCTTCCAGAAGCCACCAATCGGCAGGACCGAAGACTGCAGGGCCGCCGTCACGCTCCGCCCAGGTCTTGATATCCCAAAGATCGCGTCTCGTCGACTGCTCGTATGGACCTCCCGGGCGTGAGATCTTGTCAATGATGGCGTTTTTGATGTAGACGAGGCATTGCCGGTCGCCAACGACTTCCGCCTTATCATGCCTGAATATGTCGATTATGTCTCTCATATGGCCCATGTATGCTTCTTGCTTGGCCTTCCAGGTTGCAGTGCGCTCAGTGTCGTCCTTTTCGATGAGGTTTGCAAGATAGACCATCTGGTCGAACTGCGAGGCCAATATCTGCGAGCAACGGTCAACGTACATGGCAGTTGCGCGGCACGCGCGTGAACTCAGTGTACGGAGAGTAAGCTCGTCCGTTTCACCGATCCATTTCATGGCTTTAAGGCCAGAATGACTGTACGAGACGGAAGTGGACGAAAGCAAAAGTAGGACATCAATGGCGTCAGACCAGAGCGATTTTCCCGAGGCCTTGACCTTCAATCCAGAGCCGGCCGCCTTCTCTTTGTTCAACACGTCCTGTACCAACAGCGCGAAGTGGCATGACATGTCTTGGACGTCAAACTTTGCGTCGTAGAGCAGCTGCTGCACCAGGTGGTAGACAAAGGCCTCCTGTGGCTGCATGGCAGCAAAGCGCATGTATTCTTCAACTTGCAGATTGTCCACATCCGTCTTGTTTTTGCGGAAGAGGTGCGAGATAAACCGATGTGCTTGCTCATGGCGCTCGATGGCAAGCTGCGCAGAATGGGGCTCTACGTAGCTGTAGTACTTCTCGGCGTCGGTCTGCTCTGAAATTCGGGGTCCGGTCGTAATTTTCGGGAAATATGCCGGCATAGAGGGCGTGGCGCGAGCAACGTGGATATTGAGTAGCTTGCCAATCTCGCAAATCCGACCAAGGTCGGCCGTGGGGGGTGTTCCGGATAGAATCCATTTCGCTGAAGCAACGGCGTTCTGGAAGAAGGTAGTAACAGGGGTGTTTTCGTATGAGAACTCATCGAGAACAGCTCGCTGGAAGGTGTACATCTCGAGAAGCTCGGCCTTTTTGAAGACCTCCATTATGTCGATGGCAACAACAGATTTGGCCTTGGCGTTAGGTCTCGGGCCCGGTACTTTCTTCTTGGAAGTTGTTCGCGCAGTCTGTTGGGTCTTTCGGTCGCTAGGGCCCACGTTGTTTTCTACGGCCTGCTGGGTCCAGTCGTTTGTAGTCTCTCGTCGACCCTGCAGAACGGTATCGAGCTGCATATTGCTCATGCTGTCCGGGTTACCGAAGTCGAAACCTGAGTGTCGAATGGTCTCGACGGCCTCGTAGTACCAGTCATTGTGGTCCCGGCCCTTGAGAGAAGACTTTTTGTGGTGGATAGGCGGAAGCTTAGACACCGCTGCAAGCTTCTCCATGTTCTTGTCCGAACAGATGAAGGTGCTGCTGACGATAATGATGTCCGCCGCGACCAGTTTCTCTCGCACTACATCCGTAGGTCTCGTGATAACGTGAACAGCAAGAAGGCCATTTCCGTGACGTCTCGAATTGCCTCCAATGAACTTCGTAGCCTCGTTGGCCCACTGCCCAACAATGTGAGGTGGAACAATAACCAACGTTGCCTTGAGGTGGATGAGACTGGTGTCTCCCAGCCACATCATCCGATCCCGAATGGAACTAGCTTCATTATCAGGATTGGCGGTGGAGATATCGACAAGACCAAGCGTAACGATAGTCTTGCCGTAGCCGATGTCGTGCGCCAGAACGCCGCCACGCGCGAGGTTCTCCACGCTGGCCGTGGCATGCAGACGCACATTGACCGACGGCAGGAGACACTCTTCGAACTCCTTCTCGATGAATGTGTCGTTTGCGCGTTCCCGCTTCAGCATCCACTTCACAGCCTCCAATTGATCACGTCGTAAAGCCATGTCGTTGCGAGCAAAGCTGGGGGGCTGCCTCACAATGTCCAAGGGAAAGTCACCCTCCCTGATAGGGGCCAGGCTATGCTTGAACGGGCGCAACTCCTTCAAACTCGGGTCCCAAAACTCAAATTGGACATCAAAAGTGCCGGTTCCTTGGAGTGAGCGGAGAAAGGTCGACATGAGGTCCTTGTCTTTGGGAAAGTGACCGAATGCTCGGTGCGCAAGTGCAACGGGTCCGAGAAGAATTCTGAAGCTGAGGATGCTCAACCGACCAGCGCCTCCAACGTCTGGATCTATCCAGGCCTGAATCTCGTATGGTGCCGGTCGCTGCCGCAGATATTGTTCAGTCCGTGCAGCCATTTGCTCATCTTCGACGCGTTCGATGTTGCCATTCTCGTCCCAGCGATGAAGAACCTTGGCGGGCTCAGGTGAGCAACTGTGACACGGGTTGCTTGCGTCAAGTGTAATGTTTCTGACATTTAGACTGCGAACCTGGTCGGAGTATTCAGAAGTTCTCTTGATTTTGTTGACGGCAGAGGAGAACAAGGCCAAGGCATCCTTGACTTCATGGTTCGCAACTGGAACCCAGGGTTCATTACCGTTATTGTTGGGATGCAAAGAAGCGGTCCATTGAGCAGGGAGCGACTTGACAGGAAAGTGCATGTTGGTGTTGTCAAATCTGACCAAAATAGACGGAATCGAAGATTGGCAGTTGCCCTGGATGGCTGACTGCTCCGCCAGATTACTGAACCGAACCGTAAGAGCTGAATCGCGGTCACAGATGGTAAGCCGGTAGTCTGACTTCAGAGGCATCCACACGCCTGGTACCGTGGCAGGAAGTTCCCGAGGCGCTTGTTGATCAGCAACTTCTACGAAGTGGGTGAAGTCTTCGGGGAATATGCAAATGATGTCTCGTGACTCGTCCGGCTCGAGCTTTCTGGGGTTGCTCGTCAGGACCCATCGGTCGCTGCTCGCACTTGTCGTACTGTTCGTGTTCAGCATGTGGTAGACACGGCTGCGGCCTTCATCTTTGCGCGTATAGAGAATTCCAAACGGAGTGCCACACGTGTTGGTGAAGTGAAAATCTCCGCGAATGTTCTCAGCAACCTGGTCCATCCAGTGAGGATAATCAGGCAGACCGACGATCTGCTGGCGAAACCCTTCCGAAGGACCCGGACCAGGGCTAAATCGCATGGGCTCCTGGAGGATCTGAATGCCGATTTCTTGCTGAATATACAACTTCTAGTTGTCCTCAGTGGGGATAATGCTGGCTTGGGGGTCGGAAATGACGGCCTTCAAAAGAGGCTTGCTAAGGTCATACTGCAGTGAGTTGAGTTGATAAGTGGCGTTCTTGGTCGCCTCATTCGGTTCCATGGAAGGATCTGTATGATCGAAATAACTCTGTCGCACATGGAAGTTCCACGTGAGCTCCTTCTCGGTGGCAACAAGAGTGATGTAGGAGTCGATCGACTCGTAAGTCACAGTGATGTCTTCTCTGAACTTGAGGCTTGTCTGAAAGTAGTGCTTGGAGCCGCAACACTTTTCGATTGCCAGTTGCAAAGCGGCGCGGTGGTGATGGAACTGGTCATCATTGGGACCGTCGAGGATATCTACATGGAGTTTGGCCATGTCGACAAACAGATGGGCTGGGAATGCGACGGTCGCAAGCTGATAAGCCACACTCTTGTCAATGAAGCGGGTAGAGTCGACAGGGTGAAGCTTGTCAAAGTTGTGCTCGGGGTTTCCCGTGCAGGATTCACAGCGAATCTCATCGCAGTCATCACAGCGCCAGTAGGTTCCGGTGTGTTGATGTTTGCGGAAGGCATCGCAGAGACAGTTGCGACGGCCCTTGCCACAGAGGTCGGTGAGGAAGCCAACTACCAGCTTGCTGTGCAAGGTGTCGAAGAGGGCGTTCTGCCACTCCATCTTGCTCGCGTCCGCCGTGGGTGAGTTGTTCGCGTCGGCAGTAGGAATGATGGAGGGAGAAGCAAGTGGCTGAATGCTTGGGTCGACGGGGTTGACGGGGTAGTCGAAATCGTTGGCGTAGATCTCGAAATCGAAAGGTGAATCAGGAAGAAGGTACGCAGGGATCGCTTGATCGGCCGGGCAAGGCAAGTAGAGGCTGGGGGAGGGGGTCCCGACAGGGCCAATTACGTCAGCCGTGGACAAGCCGGGAACGACAATGTACTGACTGCGTGCCTTGGCCACAAAGCTTCTCTCGGCAATGATGGCGCACAAGATGGCCGCGCCTGCGACTGTTGTCGTCATGGCATTGCCCGCCAGGTCTTTCAGTTGAGCCTCCTTCTCCACCGAGATGGATATGCGATCGATCGGGATACCCTGTACGGCAAGGCACTCCAGACCCAAGACAGGACGGCCGTAGAACGACAGAAATGGGTCACAGGACGGCAGAATACAAGGCATGACGCCCAGTCTGGCGCTTTGGCGGTCCACGTTCTGCCCGAGATCGAGAACAAGGAGCTTGAACGTGAAATCGAACCCCCTGATGCTGCCCCTCAAGCAGGTGATGTCCAGGAGGTCCTGCATCCGCGTCGTGATGGCAGATATGTAGCCACGCCAGGATTCCTCGCGAGGCACGACATTACCACGAGTGTCAAGTCGAGTGTAAGGGTGAGTGTCGCCGAGCCCCTCGTTCCGCCGCGCAAGTCGATGGTCATTCTGGCACACGACGGCTTCAACGTCCTTCTTGGGCTTCGACAGCAAAGCCCTCTCCAGCTGGAACCTGGCTTGCAGGACGCGCGGGTCCGAGGGCGGAAGCAGGAACCTCTGCAGGTCCGGGGGGTTCTTGAACCATTGTGAAGGGGCCATGAGTTTGGCCCATTCGTTGACGATCTGCAAGGCGCCGTCACCGTATCTTCTGCCGTCGGCTGCAACCAGGTACTTCCTCTGTCTCGTTTGGGGCACAAGGAAGTTCTTGGAATCCACCTGAACCACGGCGGCACTGTATCCGATGGCGGGGAGCCAGAACCCCTTGAATTGGTTCCACGGTGCCTTGGTGACATTCTCCAGGATGACAATCTTGGGGCGGTGCGCATGGACGTATAACAGAACCGACAAGAACGTCTTGGTCGACTCCCCCTTTTCGTTGTCGATGTTTTCGAAGAGCTCCTTGAGACCCTCAATAACTTCGTCCGCAATGGGATCCTCTTGGCCGAGGACGTCGGTGATGCCTCGTTTCTTGAATTCCTCAAAAAGCTTCTGCAAGCCGGATGCCTTCTTCTTGTTCTCTCGTTGGACGTTGAGGGCTGAGAAGTCTACGCAGGAGCTACCAGCAACGAGAACATCGATATCCGTCGGGATGTCTGCCATAGCACCGGATGCCGTCATACTACAATACTGTCAGTGATTGTCTCGGGGAGGGGGACAAAACAGGAATTCGGCTCAGCTTACGCTTGAACTGCGCCAGGTCTCCCCACGTCTATGACGTTTCTGAAGATGGGTCCGGAAGGGGGAGAGTTTCTCTCAATGAAAGCTTGCTTGAACGGATCGATCTCAACGCTGAATACATGGTCATAACGAAGGACACCAAGGTAGCCACGCCCAGTGGCTGCCTCGGCGAATTCGCGTAGAGCCAAGATCGGGCCGTCCGTGCCAGAGCACATAGTGGCAACCCTGAAAGCGACGCCGCCCTCCTCGGCGACTTTGTCGAAGCCGAGCTTGAGCGCTCTGTTGAATACGATGCTGAAGGAGTCCCGCGGCGTGAGAACAGCCCGCTCGTCCAAGTCTTCGCAGCGCCCCACTCGATGCCCATTCTGATGCAGCAACAAGCCCGGGACAGGAAGCCGATTGTCTTCCAGCTCGCAGGCGTCTATCAAGACTTTGAGGAGTCCCTCTGGTGTTTGGAAGATTCCTAGCATGTTGATATCCTCGCCGGATTGAGCGTGAGCTCCAAGCAAGATCTGCACGTTGGTCTCGCTGTCTTGCTCACCAGCCGCTCGTCGGGGGGCGTAGAGAAGCGGACCAGCAGACGTAGGGTTCTGAGGCTGATGAGAGGCATCACCAAGAGGAATGTCGAAGCTTTCCTTGCCATCGCCAAAATAGTTATCATCGAAGAATTGGCCATAGTTTAAATCGAAGTCAGACTGATGCAATTGACCTTGGGGTTGCTCAGGCAAGCCATTGTTGATTGGACCGTTGATTGGGATGATGTTTTCATTACCGACCCCTTCATAGTTGTGAGGCTGAAGGTTCTGGGTGTTTTCAAAGGCGCATAATTCTCCCGGTTGAGCATCCAAAGTCTGCTGATTGCTGTAAGCAGAGTAATAGCTTCGGTTTTCTTGTTGGGGATGGACTGCGAGAAGCTCATAGCCCATGTAAGCCGCCGGAGCCACGGTGTGAGAGCCACTGGCCTGGTTGAAATTCGCAGGATAATCAGCCAAATCCTGCGGCGGCATCTGATGCTCAGCGAGTGGCGTGCTCGTGTCAGCCTCGGGCGCCATATCCTGAGCCAACTCGGTCTGGTTGATTATTGAAGGTTGGTCATCCGTCCAGGCGTTGTCGTAGACCGGCTCTTCGCCATGGTACGTTTGATGAGCTGGTATTCCCTCCGCCATCAAAGCCTGAGTGAGCCAACTACTTTCGTCTTCCATGCCGAATCAAGTTGATGCGAAAAACTTGGAGAGGGGCATGGGTGTAGGTGAAATAGGATTTGCTGGGGTGAGGTGATGGTATGAGGGGGCAAAAGAGCAAAGAAGGGGATCCTGAGAAAGAAGTCGAAGCTAAAAACCTCAAAGAACGATGGTGTTCTTTGGTGCTTGGTGATGATCAGCAAAAGACTCTCTCTCTCTTTCTCTCAGCTGGCTCTTTCAGAGTGTGGATGAAGGCAAAAGAAGGTGAATCTGGGTGAGAGAAGTAAGAAAGGTGGGAGAAGTTTTCTCTTTGGGCTCGCCCTCGAGGGCAGAGAAGAGGGCTAGGTCAAAGGAGGCGGGTGGTCTTGGCGAGTGCTGCCCATCACGCACTTCAAGAGGCGAGCGCCCTTGTTGTGAAAAGCGAGAGCTGCCCCTGAAGCGTGAATATGTGCTCACAGATGCTCTCGTCAAACATCGCGAAAGTTTCACTTTTGGTATATCCATGGGAATGGTGCTCAACTGACATCTTGGAGACCCACTTGAAGATACCTGGGTATGTAAGTATGTGCCTTGTCATCAATGGCATACGAAGGCTCTCCTTGACGCCATTGAATGAGGTGCTTTTGTCATCGATGTTTCAAATACCGGGTGTCTAAACAGGAAAAGAATGGAGAGATCTGCTTTAACTCAACTAATTCTTATAAAGCCTCAGCGATATCATGTTTTGTTGAAGTGGAAATGTAATATTCAACCAATTACAAAACTTACACATCTTGCTTTAAGACAAGACAAGATGAGGTCGACAAGGACGTGCAAAGGTGTCTGGCACTTCATGGATGGAGAACTGTCAACCAAGGTCCAGATCTGGCTGCTTCATTGCTGGAGATGGCATGAATCAACAGAGGTAAGATGTATCTGTGGGGGTGGTCTCTGTCTGTTCCCAGAAAGGTTGATTTCACCTTTTGGCAAGCTAGGGCATCGACTCACTCGTGGCCGTCGAGCTCAGGAACTGGATGCGATTCGAACTCGGCGTCGAGGTCAGCGCCTTGGAAGTTACTGGTGCGAAAAGTTAGTGGCTTCCTACAAGTCTATCCTGAAGATGTGACAAGATCACGCGAATGGTTCTGTTCCTGGACACATAATTGAGGGTTGTTTTTAGTCCAGCAACAAGTTGTGACATGATTGAAAACGATGATACAGTGGCAGATAGATTGCTGGGGCATATTGAATTGAAAGAGGCCACCGATCCGAATGTCTTCATTTCTTGAAAACTTGAATTGTTCAATGGCAACACCAGCAGCTGGCCTTATCCACCGCAGATACGTTCAGATAACTACTGCTGCGTTAACTCAACTGCGGTGTTGATCAACTCAAGGAATCTGTCCTCCTCAATGCGGATATCAGCCCAATGCCATCTATCGCGTCTCACCAGACCTCTCTTTCTGCTCTTCTGATCCTCTTCCGCGCCCACCATCTCTGCGTGGGTGCTAACATAATGAACCCCTATCATTTTCGCCAGATTCCGAAAGCCCTTATGGAACATGTCTTCCGGCTGGATCTCTACGACCGCAGCCCCTTCGCGCAGGAACATCGTATGGGTGAGCCCTGCACCATGCACACCAACCAACACATCCGTTGTTTGGGCGATTCGTATTTGTTCAGCGAAGGGGAGCGTCGCAAGGTCGATCAGTTGTGTGTTGATGTCTGGAAACTTGCTGCGTACTGCTCTAAGCAAGGCGTCTTGCTGCAGAAGCTTACGCGACCCTTTCCTATCAATTAACGTAATCTGAAGACTTTTCGTCGGCTTTCGTCCTCTCTCATATCTGATGCCAAAATGCTGCATGATTCTCTGGACGAAAATCTTTAGTAAAGGAGCATTTTTGCAGTCTCTTTCCTCCCAGTCATTCTGCCAAAGGGGATTGCTTCCTCCAGCAAGAGGTAAAATGAGGTTTTGTGGTGTTTCGGCGAACGCTTTTGATTGATTTCCGTCTTCCAAAACTTCCTTAAAACGGACAGGTTTGCGACCTGCGAAGAGTTGCCAAAGCGGGTATAGAGGACCCTCCGTATGGTCATCCATAAAGATAACCTGAGCCTTTGGAATGTCTTCAGGCACGGTAAAGAATGGCTCCTGAGGCTCAACAACGTTTGGACTAAGACGAAGTACATCAAGAGTCATGGTGAAAGACCATATCTCCATGAGTGAATGCCAAATGTTGGAATGGCCTTCGCGTTTGACAAGAACTGTGAAAGGGCGCCTGTTGCCAACGTTTGTGACGTAGTGGCTATCAGGAAGGAGGTCCCTCTGCGAACTGCCTTCAATAGTCATAAAACTGTTGAGCAGGAAACCCGGCCCAGTGTCATACCAGTAGCCTCTGATAGAATCGAATGGAATGAGACCCCGTGAGGATTCGTTCTGGTTTGGTTGTCGGACTTCACAGTCAAGGGTGAATCTACGGTTCTTTGGATCCAAAACTGCCCCTTGGCCAATACAGAGGGAATCGCGGTCGTTATTAGACTGCGTATGGCTGTGAAAACACGTCAAAGTGCTTGTGGATCCTGATGAGCAGTACTGAATGGCGTGGTCGCGGAGATCGTAAATATACTGCATATCAAAGCGGTCTTTACAGAATCCAGGCTCCAAGTGCTCAGACTGGTTGAGTTGGTCGGCTTCCGGCAAGGAGAGAGGCACCTTTGGCATCGGCTTTGTGTGGCTTTTGGGTAGGACATAGTTGAAGGCACGACGGCTGCTGGCCGCATAGTCTGAGAAGGTGAAAAAGATGAGGTTTAGGAGAATTATTAACACAAGCGGCATGGCTCGTCTTTTGCCACAAGGAAATCGACCATGCATATTGAGAAGTTAGCCCTCAAAAAGATCACTTGAAGATGAATTTCCCTGCTGAATGACTGTCTCGACGAGAAAATGTTTGTTTAGAAAAGACGTGGAAGGACGCCGGCTCAACCCCAGCAAGAGACTGAGGCGGACTATTTGGTAACTCCTCCAGTCTTATTCGCTTGATCTGCACCTCCAGATTAAAGCGCGGCAGGGGCAGGGGCGCAAGACCCATGTAGGCAAACTTGCCTAATTGCTACAGTATCTGTCAATCTAATTTGCAAGAGGGTCCCAAATGCGAGCTGTAGGTGTTTGCGTGAAGTCGTGTTCTCATAAGGAAGAATGGCGGTAAACGCATGGGTATAATGCAGCAGCTGCAGATGAATGAATTGTCGTTGGCCAAAAACAGGGGTGAGTCTTGCTCCGGTCCAATGATTAGCATGCGTTCATCGTCAATCTTCCAACAACTGAGCAACAGACCAACTACCCAAAACGCCAAAGATGATACAATCCTGTTCCGCTTCATTTCTTTTGGGCAGGGGGGCGATTGATATCTTGCATAATTCCAAGGCACCTACATCCTCCCACTTGAGAGACCGGGCAGAGAACAACTCAGAGCAGACAACTAACGTTTTCCGCCATTTCTCTCGGGTTCCTTGGACACACTTCTCTCTTTTTCCCGTTTTCTTTTGATTGAACAACATCGTCTCGGTCTGCTTTTGTAACTTGACAGTTTGGTTATTCCTCCAACAAAGACAATAATCATACGGGCTCTCGACAAATTTGACAACAAGGCTGGACTTACAATGGAGCCTTACGGAGTGCTGGCCTCCTACATGTGTCTTGGTATTTACTTTCTTTTATTGTCTTGCTTCACCACACAAGTTGAGGGGGCTTGCGCTCCTTTCCCAATTCCTATCAGGATTGGAAATGTTTCTCTGTCAAACGGCAAGGTGGCAAGGTGGCAAGAGGCATGGAATTGTCGATTGGCGGCCCTGGGCAGACTTTTGCTTTCCTACCTCAATGGTCTGTATCCTGTCATGATGAGGATGCCCCTGGTGCCATTTTTCAATACTTTTATGAATAAAACCGGCAACGACATATACAATATGACCTGATCCATTGGATACCACTACTGGAATATTCCATATTTTCCTGAGCACCTTCCGTAAGTCACTTGATATGCAATAACTTCCAAACATGGACTTGTGTTGACGGAGAAAACATACTGATATAAAATCGTTGAACAGTTATGATGGAGATTTGACCATAAGTCTCTCGTCAGGCCTCAACATACACGTTCCGAACGAACAGCTTGTCCTTCCCAACGTCTATTTTGAACAGCAGACCGGGGAAGTCCTCGTCAATAGTACAGGTCCGGACCTTTTGATTGACTCCATGCAGGATGTTAATGCCAACGACATGGCGCAACTTGGTTGGCAGTTCCTTGCATCTGCATACCTTCAGGTCAATCTGGACGCAGGACAATTCTCGCTTTGGGCTGCAAATCCAACTTCTGCAGAGGACATAGCTGCAATGGATTCTGAGGACGAAGTGATGGATGATTTCTGCGCCGTTACCTCGAATAATGGAGATATCGATGGTGCGGGAAACTCATCTTCTTCCCCAGGCACGTCGCCGTCCCAGCTACCAACACTGTCCCCCGGCAGTGCAGAGGCTGCTGGGCCTGCTCTTCCCACCGGCGCTATCGTGGGAGTCGCAGTCGGGGCTGTCGTTGCAGGTGCAGTATTTGGAGGCCTCGTCCTTTGGTTCTGCAAAAGGAAGAAAGGTGTGTCGCCAGGAATCAGGACACAAACAGGTCAAGTGGAAGGACCATCGGTCGCATATCAGGATAAGCCACCGATATATGGAGGTTGGAGTTATAAGCCAGAGTTGTCTGGCCAGACGTCTCAACCACATGAACTGGCTAATGAGGGCTCTGGACCACGGCCAGGGCATCAGTACGAGCTGGCGGGTTGAAGTCTACCTTTGAGATACTTAATAGACTGCTCTTGATACACTAACCTTAATTTACTATTAAATGTTATCGTCACAGAATGTTTGGGACCTGAGCAGCAAGCGAGGGAATCCGTTCGGTTGTTCTAGTACTGACTTGACTACGTAATGATTCTGTCGTGATATAGGCCGTAATTGCGCATTGGCAATTACAGATCCGCTTTTGTCATCGCAGATTCTCTTGCGCGCAACTAGGCTCCTGCGTCCCCGCTTGCGCCTAGAAGACGCGCCCAAGTACCAATGAACCGAAGATACGCGGCCGCATGACTATGACGACATTTTTAGAAAGCCATTGCTACCTTTCGGGCGACGGGTTAATTTAGATATTACTATCAGGATCTGTACAGCTGTTGAGGTTGATTCAGAGCTGTCGAAGCTGGCTGCCCCTCCCCCGCAATCCACTAGCTAGAAAGAAAGCACAGATCAGCTGTCACGTGGAACGGTGGGTCGTCTGTGAGATGACTAATCAAATCACGGCAAGCAGGGATGCCCTTTCACACGACACGAGCTGTTTCGGTCCTTCGGGAAGGAAAGCTGGGGCCTGGACGCGCGCGGAGAGGGCGGGAAGGAGCAGCGTGAGAACCGTTCGAGGAGAGCTTGGAAGGTGCGCCGGGGTTGTGCTGTGTTGTCCCTTGCCCTCTCAGGAATTGCCGGCGGTTCGCTCTTATAGAGTTACGAGCACACGGGTCACGCACGTCGACGCGATGCTCCTCCCGCACCCTCCCCAACGGCGTCGACGCCTCCCCGTCCGCCACCCCGTCCCCCGCCGTCCGCGATAACAGGTCCGCCCCCCGCTGCTGGTCCCACGCCCCGACCTCCTCCACCGCCGCTTGGCTCCTCTTCTCGCTGCCCCTCAAGCTGACGCTATTACACTGTAAATAAATTATAGGTCTATTCTGTTTCCTATAAGGCTTTGTGTCATACAGTGATATAAGGCGTTAGTTGCTGCCATGCAATTAACGGCGTCGTTTTTGTGTGCAACACTTTGTTAGTAGGACACAGTCTCCTATAGATAAGACTGCCTCACTGGCTTATCTATGAGAGAGCGGACGGGATCCCGAGTTTTCCAGTGGGTATATAGCAGCCCCCTCACTGGCATCACCTGGATGGAACGGAGGAGGCGTTTTTCTTAGTGGCTCCCCGGGCGCTTAAACCTACAAAAACCCCGTTCTTGGCAAGAAATGATAGGTTCTTTACCCTTGCTCTGGCCCTGTCCTCTTCATCCTCTTAAGCCTATTTGGGCGGGCAGCGCGACGCGGCTTTCTCTTGTCCCCTGCGCACCCGCCATTCGCCCAAGATCCGGGACAGCTGGCCACATACTTAACGAAGAAATATGACCACCGCCGCTGCACCAAGTTGGGATAACGCCGCCAACGCATCCGCAATCACGAACATCAGAATTTCAAATCTCTTCTATTCCGTCTGCAAGGGAGGTGGGACAATCCATGAAATGTCTCTCTTCAAGTTGCGGCTTGACTACCCGCTTCTCCTGGCCTTGCTGTTGCAAGCGTGTGGGGACTGTCACGACTTGACCGTATTCCTCGATGTCCTCGACGTATCTCAATTCGACTCAACCGCCGGATGGCGACAAATCATATCGTCGACCCCTATACACAACGACGAAAGACGATGGCTAGCGACCATCCTTGTCCTTCATGGTTGCCAACTACTACTTGTCGCCTGGATGTGGACAGTCTTCCAAAAGAAACAGTCGACACGGCCTGTCAAGGCTACTTTTGCCATGGTCGTGGAATTCTTACCTCACTGGGGCCTGATCCGCGGAACTCATTCGCTGTACTCTCTGATATCGCGAAGACGGAGAGCTACATTGTGCAGCTTTGATGCCGTGTTCACGATGACAATAGGGCTGATTCAGTGGCGGGGTGTCAGAACCATGAGATTTTTGACTCTGGCATCTTCGCTGATCTATCTTGATAGTCAAGCCCTCGTCACCTCGCTGAGCTTGGGAAATACCATTGCCGATATCAGTTTAGTCGCCAAGGGTGTTTTAAGGGCGGCTCCTACCATCATTCGCTGGCAGGTACGTGCCAGGATTGAATTCGCAATGGCTTCACACTTGCTGTTTATGGCCACAATATTGCCGTTAGGACGAAGAGACATGTACTGCACCTTCATCATACTTTTACCCCCTTTAAGTGCTGCAATATTACTGCAGTTTCTACTTACTGGTCACTACATCTCCGGGCCTGTGCTGAAGCCTCTCGAAATATCTCTCTCTTCAACCAATCCAAGCAAAGGGTTCTGCCAAATTTGTCACGATACCGTCCTATCGAGACAAAAGCCAGCAGATATCTCCGATCAACCTACGCACCATCAGACACTTAAATCGCTAAAAACGTCTGCTGCAGAAGGCTGTCGCATCTGCGCGACGGTGTACTACAAGCTGACCAGGCTGAAGCTAAAGCCGCCAAGGTGCTATATCCAGCCGGGACCTTTGACCACATATTATAGGATTAATGGAAGTATATACATTAACTCCCTATGGTCTTTAGGTTTATGCACCTTTACCTCAGTCAGACTAAGCGATGCTTCTTGGGGCAACTTAGAAAACCACACGGGGTCCGAGAGCAGTCTTGGAATGGCCAAACAGTGGATGTCGACGTGCATGCGAGACCACCCTTCTTGCAGTGCTGGTTTCGATTTCCACTTCCGGCCTTCAAGGCTACTATACATCGGCGGCGACGTCCATCAAGTCACCCTACACACATCAATTGACTATCCGGAGACCTTGTCTTACATGACATTGAGCCACCGTTGGGGCGAAGCGCAGTTTATACAGCTTCGACACGGCAATGAAGAGACATTCCGACAAGGCATCCCGTGGATCTCTCTGCCTCAGACATTCAAGGATGCAATCCGTGTTGCTAGACGGCTCGGCTCCGACTATCTCTGGATCGACAGTCTTTGCATTATGCAAGACTCCAGCAAAGACTGGGTAGCTGAAGCGGCTTCAATGGGCAACATCTACAAAAACGCACTGTGTAATATTGCTGCCTCGGATGCCTTAAACAGCCTCGAGGGTTGTTTATATCCACGAAACTCCCGAGTTATTGAGCCAGAACGCCTGCCCTGGGATTCTGATAATTCATCAAATCATTTGTATCTCGTTAACGCTCTCTCTGACGATCCTGACGAACACTCTCGACTATACTCCCGCGCCTGGGTTTTCCAAGAGTTCCTGCTGGCGCGGAGAACTGTGGATTGTGGCAGGGACCAGCTTTTCTGGAGATGCGATGAATTAATGGCGTCAGAAGAATTTCCTGTCGGGCTCACGAGGGACCTTAAGTATCATCATTTCCGTGACTTCTCCCATCCGGCGCGAGAAGTCCTAAAGCATCAAGCCAATCACGCCAGCCTCAAACTGATGGTAGAGAAAATGAAGCGATGGGAAGCTGAGTATCAACCCTGGACCCGTGCGTATAGTGGGGACAGCGAATCACAAATCCATCTGTTCAGGAGGGAAGGATCACCATCAATCTTTTGGACCGAACTTGTGGATCAATACTCAAGCATGTCTATCACCAAGGAAGAGGACAGACTTACTGCCATAGCAGGAGTTGCTGACACCTTCCGTCCATTCCTCGGTGAATACTATGCTGGTATGTGGAAAAGTCTGCTGCCGCTGTATCTTGTCTGGAGGAGCTGGCCAAGAAGGCTTTACCAACGGGTCCCAAGCCCCTACAAAAGGCCGTCTTCCAAAAGAGGCCCTACCTGGTCCTGGATATCGCTAGAAGGCCCCATATCCCATATCTTCTGCAGTACTACGTACAGAGCCTCAATGCTCGCTCAGCTCCTCGATGCCAAGGTTCTTTCCGCCCAAGACATACACCTCCGGGTCCGGGCGCCGCTGATACGTCTTAAATGGATCGACTACGCTACACGGGGAATGAAAGCATGGAGTTCTAGGTCTGTCAACTTAGGCCCAAGAATCAAGGGTTCCGACGGAGTTTCTAAATGGAAGTCTCCTTGGTTCGAGTCCTGTGTCCAGACTAAAAAGGGTGGAGATGCAGAATTATCACTAATATTTGACGTCCCGGAAGAAGAAGCAGCGGCTCGGGACATTGCTCTAGTCGCAATTCGCCTTCGCAAAGCAGAAGAAAAAACAACGGCTCCAGACAGGAGTCCATCCTGGAAAGGTTTCCAGTTCGACGACGTGGACGGTTTAATCCTGCAGGATAAGGGCGGTGGCTTTTTCTCCCGGCTTGGGTACTTCCATACCTCTGAGTGTTCCGATCTGCCTTTCTTGAAATGTGACCAGACGGAGGTGGTTTTGATATGATTGTCATGTTTAGATAAGAGAGCGGTTTAGCGTCGAAATACTACAGTTCAGATAGATAATATTCTATATCTGCTATTTATTTGACTATGGAGTGAACTAAGTCAGAAAGAAAGAATGTTGCGATGTTGACCATCGCGGATAGATATCGGAGTTACCGGGTTAACCCCGATGACTCATTGCCGGCGAATCCTCGGATATTCGGCCATAGATTCTCCGAGGATTCGTGGGCAATAAGTTGGTTATTCAACCAACCAACCCACGATAATTATCCTTCTTTTCTTTACGCATAATAGAGAACCACAGTTACCCCCATTATTCGTCAATTGCCACCGATACGTACGGTTAACCGTATCAACCTATCCCTTGGTGTTACCAACAAAGAAACCTTCAAGTACAGGTATTATTAGCAGTACTTGCTTGCTGCAAGGATGCTACCACTTTTGAGCTTCTATAGGCATAAGCTATAGCGTGTGTGAGACCGAGGAAATCAACAACGCTCACTGCCACCCAACCTTTCTCACTGTCACAAAACCGACCTAGTTGGGATTCAACGGAGATGGGTTATGTTCTGCGAAAAGCTTGGCCAGGCTGATGCCTGGAAGACACCACTCAAGTCACTCAACTACGACAACGAGGGATTGGACAGAGCCTTCTTGCAGTTTCTCATGCAAGATTCGAGGGTACATATTGACTTCTACAGATGCTCACGGTGAACTGATCGTCACCCTCAGAGACATGTGACTGTGAGATATGATTTGGTGGGAGCCGCTTTCAAAGTCATCTAGTTGGCAGACTCGAGAAATGCGGCTCAACCGAACAAGTATCCAACAAATGAAAATTTCTATCAAGTCCATAGGCCCAGGGAGCGAGAGGTACGACGGCAATTGTCCTGCGCAACATACGAGTCTCAACAGGCGTCATCATGCGCCTGCTGCATCCCGCAAGCTTTCCTCCTCAGACATTTGCATTAAAAGTAGTCCAGGGCAAACTATGAGCTAGCAAGCTAGTGGGTGTAGCCTCCTGGAAATGATAGGGAAATGATAGGAGGGGGGGCAAGTGTTACGATATATAAGCTACTATTACTGCCCACGTAACAACAGTATTGTTTTGTTACGTGACAGTTATGAGCCCAGCTCCTACCTGCTAGTATGCCACAATAGTATATGTTTCAATTTTAGATGCAGTAACTAGCTATAGATCTTAAGCACCGTGGGTTTAATTCCTATTAGGATCCCCTAGTCAAAAATCCTACTAAAGTCTATATAGATCTTCACCACCTATGATTAGCGAGATGTACCTAACTAGGTTCTTAAAAGTGTGTTCAGATCTGACTTTCTGAGTCAAATCTAGGGGGTGTGTCACAATATATAAGCTACTATTACTGCCCACGTAACAACGGTATTGTTTTGTTACGTGACAGCAAGCGCTATCGGGTTTTCCCTTGGACAAACGCCAGCAGGAAAGTCATACGCACACTAACGTCCGGCCATCACAAAAATCAAGCCGTCAAATGTCCGGTTGATATTTAGTATACTTGTGATTTGGCATATGGGACTTCGGCATCATGCTAGCCACCCTTTCTATTCATGAACGCTCCTATGGAGCTCTCAAGCTAGGAGGATTGATGTCAAAACAAGAATAGCCCAACCTCGCCCTGCGTGGGCCTGATTGGCTCAGGTCCCGCCGCCCTGAGTCCTAAGATCATGTGACTCCGGTAGCAAACAGCCGATGCCAACCGAATTGGTCATCAAGTCCTGTCCCGACTCACTCTCACCTCGTCTTCCCTGGTTGGTTGGCCCGTCATGTTCGTTGTGATGCGGAAGAGCGTACTGATTGGCGGTTGACCGTAGCCCTTGGATTTCAGCTTTCCAGACCTGCCCACGCCTCTTGATCCATCTCGCCGTGACTCGGCCCGAGCCTGTAAAGAGACGACAAATCCTTGGCGATCTGCCGACTTCGGCCTCAGCATTGGGTGTTGTATGTAGCGTTTGCCGGGTACCCGAAAAAACAACTTCCTGTCTCTTTTTCTCCCCTCGAACCCACAAGCAACTGCCCTTGGACGACGACAGCTTCAACTCAATCCGGCAAACCCCGCAAAGATCGCCAACATGGGCACCCACTTGGTCTCGGCGGACGCCGTGAACAAGCTGCAAGACTTGTCGGGCATCGCCATCCTGCCCGGGCAGAACCCGTACAATGCCTTAATCACGGCCTGCAATGACAGCTCTGTAATGTTGCATTTTTATTTTCCGCCAACTACACCGAAGCTGTATCTGATTAGTATGGAAAAAAAAACGTAGACGGAGATCCAGGCCCTGTACCATGCCCACAGGGTAAAGAGGAATGAGCAGCAGAAGCAAAAGTTCATGGCCCCCGGCTTCGAGAAGCTCGTCATAGATCGCATCCTCCTGAGGCTGGAGAACCCCGAGCTGGAGCCGGGCTTCCGGGACCCCCGCAACTGCTTCGTCATCTGGGCCCGTCCGCCCGAACACATCGTGAGGCTCGCGGCCCACGTACAGGCCCTCCTCAAGAAGGCTGCCCCGAGTGAGACGCGCCAGCCAAACACCCGACCATGATGAGGCTGACACGTAGCTCCCCTCACAAGGCGTCTGGCTCATGCCCCAGCACCGCATGCACCTCACTGCCCTCGAGGCGACCCACTCCAAGACCCCCGAGGAGATCATCGCCTTCACCGACGCCATACGCCCCGTGATCCCCTACATCACCGACTACACCTACTCCCATCGCGCGCGCCTTGTGAAACCCATGGTCTCGTACGACCTCTCCGCCTTCGCCCTCTCCTTCCTCACGGCCGCGGGCGAGCCGCCCCTGGGACCCCCTCCCGCGGCCACCGCGGCGCAGAAGGCCGTCGTCGAGGGCGACGGCTACACGTACCACCACCTCCGTCGGGACATCTTCGACCTGGCGCGGTCGACGGGCGTGTCGATCGAGTCCCGCTACCAGGTGCCGAGCGCGCACATCACGCTGGGACGGTACATCACCGAGGAGGACCACGCAACGCCCGAGGCGCGGGCCCGGTGGGTCGCGACCATCGACGCGGTGAACGCGTGGCTCGAGGGCGAGGTTTGGGACCTCGAGGACGGGGAATGGGTCGGCGAGTGGGTTGTCGGTCAAGAGAAGGGGCTGGAAGCGCGGAATGGGCAGCTGTGGTACGGAGGGGGGCGAACGATCAGGGCCGGGGAGGGTTTCTGAGACGGAGATCTCGGGGCTGGCAGACTGGAATGGGCACGTTGCGGACAGCGCGCCATCCCGAACCAAGATTTAGAAAACGAACGGCATGGCAACCGGCAAGCGGGATTGGCTGACGATTTTGACGCACACCGAACACGCACATAGAGACGACGGGTAGACTGAACCAATGATAAAACGTTTCTTCGTGACTCAGGTATTGTTGTTGACCGGCTGAGCCGCATGGGGGACAATGCATCTATCTTCCAGAAACCACAGCTTTAGGAGCATGGGACAGAGCAGCTCGGCAGGGACAAGGTCATCCCACCTCGAGTGTGAGTTAGCACACCCTCAGGACAACCCGTTTGTCGAGTTCTCAACGCATCCCGCATCTTCTCTTTTCACTTTTTTTTCTCGGTCTCTCTTCCAGGCGCGCTTGCAAGCGCCAAACAGATGGCAGGTTTGAGGTGATGGGAGGGAAAGGCTTGTGGGATGTATGCTTTTTGTTTTGTTTTTGGTATCCGTTCGCAAGTCAGGGCTTTTATTTGTTCCCTATGTAGTGTTCCGCCAATGAGAACTGGTAACCCTCTTCGCCGCCATTGTTCCAGCCTGATGATGATCCGTAGTATGCCGTGAAAGGAGCCATGAAAGTCGGTCGACCGAAAACATAACGCGTTTAGAAAACGAGGGCGGCACCCTTGGTCTTCTTGTCACCACTGCAGAGGCTGTCAGCAATCTCGCTCCCGGGAGGTCAGGGATAGGGTCGGCGTACCCCAACTCAAAGTGCTTGCAGCGCTTCAGAGCGAGCTGAAGCTTGGTCTTGCACTTGACGCACTCCAACCGCAGGACAACCTTCTTGGTGGTCTTAGCCTTCTTGTGGAAGACAGGCTTGCTGTGGTATTGTCAGTCTTGCCCTAGACAGGCAGTCTTGCCCTAGACAGGTGAGGGGACCTGGTGAGAAGGGGGAATGAATGCGCGGTGCAACCATGGGCGTGTCCCCTTCCCAATCAGGGGTCCGTCTTGCGACAGGTGAGTGTACGTACGTCTGACCACCGTAACCGGACTGCTTTCGGTCGTAACGTCTCTTTCCCTGCGCGAACAGCGAGGCCTAATTCAAACAACTGTTTAGTAAACCCGTTCGTGATGGCATCGGAAGGGGATGCTGCGTCGCTCGGTTCGTCGCCGCGCATGGTGTTGAGCATACCTTGCCGGCCTTGTACTGGGTGACCTTGTGCTGGGTGTGCTTGCGGCACTCCTTGCCCTTGCAGTAGGTCATACGCGTCTTGGGAATGTTCACTGGAAGTCCCGAGTCAGCCTTAGGTGTCCCATCATCAAGATCAAGCCATCTCGCAAAAATAGTCTCTCGTGGTCGCAGCCGGATCGATTTCCCTCGAGCCTTGGCCGTCGCGGTATGTGCAGTGCGCTACCCATGATGTTGTGTGTGCCGTTCTGTGTCGACTCGTGATCCGGTGATTGTCCTCCCTCGGGCCCAAAAATTTGTCGGTTGCGCATCGCGGGCAGCGCACAGCCGACGAGAATAGCAATTCCTTCTCTATTTCCCGTGTTGAATCCGACTGCTTGCCACGCTGAGACTGAAAATGCAAAGATTCATTGCGAAAAGGACCTACCCATCTTGGCGGCTGTTTGTCGATGTCGCTTGCCGGAGTGTCGTGACGATGAATTGCTGGCGGGGAAAGAGTAAAATTCGAGGTTTTGCTAATCGCTTGTTTGTGCGGGTAGGGCAGGTGTGCAGCTCCGGTTTGGGAGGATACGTGTGGCTGAGGCGAAATTCAGCCACGCCTCCAGCCATTCGGGTTATCACACGTGACTTAGGTCGGCTCTAGCCTTTGACACCCCCACGAGCCTGCTGTCAGCTGGACGGCAGTGGCTATCATCGGCCGACAACTTGCCTTCATCGGATGCTTTCAGCAAGCCCCGTTGCTAGTGACTAAGAATTCTTCTCGCCAGACCGGCCGCCCTCAACTCTCTCTTCTCACCAGGACTGAACTGTCGGCCAATCCATGGCTGCCGTTTTTTGTGGCCGCCTCAACTTTCTGTCCAAGAGTCAATCGCACAGCCAAACACCGAAACACGCTTCATTCAGATTGTGGGCGGGCTTGGTGATCGCTGGGAAACAGTCGCGCGTCAGAATAGTGTTTCCCATGACAGAACACGCAATCCTCTGTTTCGTTGTCGCCCTATCCGGAAAGCCCCAACTCACACTTTTTTGCGACTCGGATGAGTCATGGCCGAATAGAAACGACAAAGACGGTTGGCAGACTCGTGCCCGTCAGTGCAAGGGACTTGCTTCCTCTCTTCCCTACCCGCCCGCCTCGACACCATCTCCTCGTCAACCTTCGACCTGAACTCTTTCACAGCTTGTCACCCACTCCCGCGGTTTTGAGACAATTTTTAGCTGTCAGACAATGTTATTTCACGGGCAACCCCGCGGTCAACGGTGTCTGCGGATGGAACTGACGTCAGCGATAGCCTTACCTCTGCCGCACCACGGATCCCAGCTTTGACCTTGTAAGGCATTCTATTCGAAGCCCAAGGAGCTCAGTTTCGGAAAAACTCTGTAACCAAACGGTGACGCCTCTGCCTCTGCCTCTGCCTCTGCCGTGGCCTGTGGCAGCCGCCGTCGGCGTCAGAAGCCTGGACGGCATGACGCATGTCGAATGTGCACTATTAGACTCTAATGGCCATCATGGGCTTCAATCATAACCAAAGAAGGTCGCGGCCTGCTACGTTGGGTTCCCTTGTCTGTGGGGGAAGGTTAGTTTAATTGCTCATCTAACGATGAACCCTTCGCCCGGGAGGAGCTCGGTCGAAGACCACGATGGTCTCCGGGGAGAATGCCGTGCACCTAATCGAGTCAACGACTAGCCCAGGGGAGGCGCCACTTGGTATTGCGATGGTCATCGGACCACGGCCTTGGAGCCAAATTAACCCATCAATCTATTTGATGGGCGGCAGTTTGATAGACGGCAGATTAATGGCCACCACGCACGCGGCCAATCAGTCCAAGGATCTGTCGATCTCGCGCCGACTTGTCGAGCAATGGCTCTTATGCCATTGCCTGGGGCAAACATGTTGGCTCAGATCGTTCCGTATGACCAGGGCCTACCTCGGGAGCATTCCTCTGTCGATGCTTGCCCGTTCCTTCTTAGAGAGCGCATAGGCCCCGAAATGGCGATGCTGTGCCTCCAAATAGAAACACAGGGTCTAGCGGTAGGTGGCCTGGTCGATAGAACAGCGGGAGTGCATACGGATGAAACCACGGTTATAAGGAACGAGTAAGTGCCTTTTGGGGTGCAGACGACCGGATCGGATTGCAGGACACAAGGTCACGCATTCCGGCCAAAAGCGACGAACCGAACGGACGACTGGGGAAACGAGCTGGAGCAAGTCCCGACTGGAAGGACGCCCGCCCTGCTTGAACCCGAGACTAACTGTGCTGGGGCAAAGACGCTGAGTGGGCGAAACTCGTTCGGCTCACCGTCAGATGGCTTTCCGGGTGGCGCCCATTACGACGACAACGCACCAGAGATGGAAGTTGGGATTCAGAGGGAGTTTACGGCCAAGGGAAGAAACAACACACGAGACGCGGCGGCGCAGTCGCGAACGAGCCATGGCCTTCTTGGTCCGGTCTTTCAGAACATCTACAACACCAACAAAACCCGAGCCGCAACAGGGACGATGTACAGGTAAATGGGGGGGGGGTCGACAACGGCAATCGACTCGCGATAATCTGTGGCGTACCGGTAGCGTCAAGCAGGATGGCAGATGGCGCAGCCCGATATACCCAGTGAGAAGCCATGGAGTGAACCGCGCCGCAGCGACGAACGGCGCCGTCCCAGCACCGGTTGCCCCTAATCCTCCTCCCCCCTTGAACAAAGAGCCCCAAGACTACTCATTTCCGGTGTGCCCTAGTCTTGACAAGTTGACAAATTGCACTGCGAGATTCGCAACGTGGGTTGAGCCCGGTTTGAAACGTCGCCCAACGCCGCAACGTCGACGGTTTCAGATCCAACACGTCCCGTGCGCTTGAGCCGCGTTCCTTGCATGCTCACACCTTAATCAATGCCCGGACTCACGTCCCTATTGCTTTGTTTAGCAGCAGTCTACAGCCCCCTTCCCTGTTCCCATCCGCTCTCCCTGTCGCAACACGACAACGATTCGTAGGAAAGTCGGAAGAATTGTACTCGCACCAGCTTAATTACTCGAGTCCTTGATTCTATCGGACGGAACATGCGGCATAAGCCAGCGCCCCACAGGGGACGCGCAACCCCCCCTCGTAGCTTGTCGAGCCTCTCTCCGTTTTCCTTACCACCCAGATACCGATCCCATACGCTCTGATACAGCTTCACGAAGCCTGTCTTGCGTGTGCAGCGCCTTTGTCTGTCCAGTTAGCATCCGCCCTCCGGCGGTGGCGGGGATCCGAAGATATTCACCATCTTACTTCGGATTCCCGCATGGTGTGGGCGGCCTGGTGTTCCAGAATGTTGTCTCTCTCCTCTTTCCCCCTTCGGTCACTCCATCTCTCTGTCTCTCGCGCGCGTACCGTTCCACTAAAACTACATTGCCAGTAAGGCGATGCCGGGGTGCGGAGAGACGCTTTGGTCTGGCTGTTGAATACGGAACGTGCTAGGCTCCGTTCAATTCAAACGAAACGATGACGGGAAGAGAATTGGGGTAAGGATGCAACAATCGCAGAGTCCGCGACGCCTGAGGCTCTGCAACCCCTAATCCTGGCTTCCAGCCTCCCGGCTCACCCTTGCTCGCTCCCCGCGACGTTGGGAACTGAGACAGGTTGGCGGGAGAGTGGCCGCCAGTCAAGTCAGAGCCAAGGTGTACTATGTAGGGAGAGGACTCGGCAGCCCCCGAACCCTGGATATCGTAACTAATACCAACTCTTGAGCTCTCTCTCCGCAGATCAGCCCGGCCAGACACCACCACCACGCCACCCCCCTCCCCTTTCTCTCTTCCCACACCCCCCCCCCCTGACGGCCGACTGGTCGGTCCCAGTTGCTGGCTCTAGTATGATGTGTAAATGGCTTGTGTCTTCTTTACCTTCAACATTGTGTGCATGGAGGTCGCCTGTTTGAAGACTAAGGTCTGAGCCGGCGTAAGGCCGCGGAAGCAAAAAACGTCACTTGCATATAATCGTCTCCTTTTCATATAGTATTAGCCTTCGCCCATTCCCCCTCCTTCCCGCAGTCCTCCTGCGTTCGATCTTTTCCCTCCTTAGGCCAAGTTCTATCACCAAATGTTTTTGTTGTGATACCCAGATACCCAACCCTCTCACTCCGGTAATCATGGAGCGAGCACAGTCCCTTCTCAGCAGCACCACTCTATCCATCAGCAGCTCCCGATCCAGTACTCGCTCGTCCCGCTCGAACTCATTACTGAACACGACACCCGGCCAGGAGAAGGGGGAGTTCTTTCTCCCCGCGCCAGCCACTACGATCTCACAACCGAAACTCCGGGTGCGCGCGATACTGGGCCACTGCCTATATCGCAGGGTTGTGATATGGACGGTAACGATATCTATGCTGATCTGCCTCGCGTACCTCAATACGCCGCTGTACACACGAGATGGCAAGGTCCTGGCAGATGACTACAGGATAGGCGGGATTGGGGACCCGAAGAAGCATGGCAAGCCGGCGCCGGTTGAGGAAGACCTGATCATCGAAGGTGACATGCCGCCATGGCTCAAGTTCAAGCAGTAAGTATATCGTCGCGCAAATCGCCGCTTGGAGTTTTACTGACATGCCAAAAACCAAAGTCTCAACGGTTACTTCAATGGTGTCAAGTCGATCGTCTCCATCGCCAATCACACGCCTGAGTATCCCAACATCTCTCATCCGGCACCGGTGACGAACGTACCGATTTACCATGATGCCCCTCCTACACCTACTGTCTACGAGGCTCACCCGAATTACGCATCCGCTGAGTACCAGAGAGAGCATTACCCCGTTCGCGAATGCTTCATCGACCAGGACGACAAAGTTGCCGTCCCGGATATTTACGCTTTTAACGGCGTCCCCCAGAACCAGCCCGATCCGGCCATGGGCTCCTACACCGTGCTCGGTCTTCGCAATGACGTTTGCTTCGATCGTTTCGGACGCTATGGCCCCTATGGCCTCGGTTACAGCATCAGCGAGGGCGGCACGTCTCAGGGCCAGGATACGGAACATGAGGGCGCCGAGGCTGTCTGGGCCAAGACGGGCAAGATTGACTACAGCCGCGTCGACTGGGGTGCCGCCCAGGAGCGATGCGTGGAACGCAACAGCGCCCGCTTCAGCAACGGCTCTTCCGAGGACAACACCAATGATCCGGTCTCGACGGATCCCGAGGAAAACGCCGGCAAGGGCATCAAGAAGACGGACCGTATCGCCGTCGTCGTCCGCACCTACGTCGGCTTCCAATGGACCCAGCTCGCCATCGTCAACTTCCGTGCCATGATTTCTGAGCTATCGCTCAAGTCCGGCGGCGAATACTCTGTGCACTTTCTCCTCCACGTGAAGGACAACGAAGCCCCCATCTGGTCGGACCCCTCTGTCGTGCAGAGCATCCTCGATGCCAACGTGCCGACCGAGTTCCACTCCATATGCACTCTCTGGTCCGAGGCGGAGATGAGGCTCTACTACCCCGGCCATTTCGCTGACGCGATCGAGAACCCATCCAACGGTGACATCCACGGTGTCTATCGAAGCGCGCAGATGCCACTCCAGGTCTTTGCCCTCCAGCATCCCGAGTATGCCCATTTCTGGAACTGGGAGATGGATATGCGCTACATCGGCTCCTACTATGAACTTCTGGACCGCCTGGGATCGTGGGCCAAGGCTCAGACTCGCACCCTTCTCTGGGAGCGGTCCGCCAAGTACTACATCCCCGCCGAGCACGGCTCTTACGAGGAGTTTGCCGCGATTGTTGAGAAAGAGCTCAACGCGTCCGGCCGCCGTGCCATCCTTGGCCCTCAGATCTTCCCCGGCCGCCAGTCCCTCAAGAGCGAAGAGGCCGGCATCTCGATCATGCCCCCTTCGTGTGCCCAGGGCAGCAAACCCGAGGAGTGCGGCGTAGGCGAAGACGCCGACCTCATCACCCTCAATCCTCTCTTCGACGCCGACGAATCCGGCTGGGTCTTCGCCAAGGACGTCACCGGCTACGAGATGGTCTTCGCCCCACCCCCGCGCCGCTGCGCCATCGTCACCGCCTCGCGACTCTCTCGCCGCCTCCTCGCCGCTATGCACGAAGAGATGTGGCGGATGCACCACAGCATGTTCTCCGAGATGTTCCCCGCCAGCATGGCCCTGCACCACGGCTTCAAAGCGGCCTACGCCCCACACCCCGTCTATCTCGACCGGGCGTGGTACCCTTTCAACACCATCGAGAAGGCCTTCAACGGCGGCCGCGACGGTACTTCGGGAGGCCACGGAAGCCCCTTTGATCTTAAGAACGAGCACAACCACAAGGGCACGAGTTGGTACTACAACTCCGAATTCGCCGGCCTCCTGTGGCGCCGGTGGCTCGGGTACGCCCAGATGGACGGCCGCGGCAACAACGGCGGCCGCGCCGGCGAGGGATCCCCCCGCGGAGGCATAGAAGAGGAGTCCAACAAGGACAGCTCGGGCCGTCTGTGCCTGCGCAGCATGCTTCTGCACCCGATCAAGTGGGATAACCCAAGTGAGAGGACATAAGCCCGCGCCGCGCGTGTTTCATTACTGTTACTACTACTACTATTACTACTACCATTTACAACCACTGCTGCTGCTGCTGCTGCTACTACTACTACTACTACTACTACTACTACTACTACCACTACTACTACTTAGCATCGACAGCCAGATTCAAAGTCTCTCCTTTCTACTGTGGGGGCAGAGCTTGTGCCGTCATCTCGACGAAGAGCGAGGGCAAAACTTGTCAAGGTTTCTCTAGCTGCAAAGTTTCATTTCCTATCTTGTGGTTGGTTTACCCCAATTTTTTTGCATTTACAAAACCTACATAGACTGTACATATCGGAGGGGCCACAAACGTTACAGCACGGATTGGGGGACGTTATACCAGCCGCTGGGGGTGTGCGTGGGAGGGATTTCATGACTCAAACAAAGCATTTTTTATTATTATCTTCATTTCCTCCAAAGATACGCAACTGGGGTCGTTGATCTTGTCATGTGTTTTTCTTTATTTTTTTTGTTTTCCCCCAAAAAAATAAACTCCCGTTCAAACACCACGAGCCGGGCAGTTATGGGCGGGCCGGATTTGCTTTTTCCTTGTACATAGACCGCGAAAACCCACCGCTCCTTTCCTCGCTTTTTGCTGTTAGCGGGTGCCTCTTTTGCTCATTCACGCACAACAGACGCGACATTGAAAGAAAAAAAACCAAAAAGATGAAGGGTTGTGTTGCGGTGGCGGCGTACGGGGTTGAATTGAATGGGATTGGATCGAGGATGTTTCAGCTTTTTGGCGTTCGAGGGGGGTTCTAGGTAGCAATGAGCCCGTCAAGAGACATTACATGTGGCCAAGACACTCGATCCCTTGCAAGAAAACGAAGGCATGGCGAATGTGACCATTGGTTGACAGGACGCCAAACGGTGAGAGAATAGCAAAACGGGCGGCTTGGGGGACTCTGGTCCGACTCCGATTCGACTCTGGCCCGCCTCCAGCTGACAGGGCGTTCGTCGCAAGACGGATAAATGGAGATCGACAAGAGGTAGAACAGTTTGGGAGCCCAATGAAACTTCGCCATCAAATGTTAACCGCCATTCCAGCTCTAGAACGTTCTGCTCGTCTGGCATGACTCTCTCCGTCTCTCACCACCTTTCCCCCCTTTCTATACGAGTACGTCTTCCAACTCCGGCATCCCCTCCCATTCCCATCTACGAGCTCCACCTCCGTCCTGGGGAGACGCTTCCATCTTCTTACATGGTTGACTGGGGTTCGGCAGACCACCACGGTCCCATTAGTAGACGGCACCTGGGCGGAGGGGAAACCCATTATTCTGCCCCCCCCCCCCCCCCTCGTAGCTTCTCATCGGCAGATGATCACTTTGGAGAGGCGTGTCTGTACTATGGGGGTGCCAGGAGCGGCCCGGTGAGTAGAAGCGAGGGAAAAACCGGTGGACTGACTCTGGGTAACTCTACACTAAGGGAGGGGTTGACGACGGGAGCGGCAGGGATGCCCCGGGACGCCGTCCTACCGGCGGCTCCTTGCGTTTTCTTTTTTTGTTCGAGGGGAGAGCGTTCTAGAAGAATCAAACTGTCATTGTGAGCGCGTTGGATTTATTGCCTTGGCGATGGCAACGGTATACTCAACTCTCGTATAGTTTTTGTTTTATAGAGTTTCCCCCCCCCCCCCCCCCCTTTCAACACAAGAAAGGCAGGTGTCCATGCGGTGTCAAAATGCTTTAGAGTTCTTATTCCATCCCAACACCCGCCGAGCCTGCCGCGAGGATTTCGCCGTCTGCGCGCCACCGGGACAGCCCCCCGGCCTGTCCGTTCCCTCTCTCGCCCCAGTGGCGGTCGTCACGTTGTTTGGTCGAATTATGCGTTACGGACACAGCCCTGCGGGTACCTGATCGACTGCCCTTGATCGGCGCTTGCGCTAGACGGTGGTAGAAAGTCCAGGGGATCTCACTAAGAGCGACTATCAGAGAAGAACCCTGGGAGGGGGGGGGGCGGGCGAAGTCCGTGGGGGGGCCAGGTGAGTTCAGAGACGAGGATGCCTTGGCAGCACTGTAAGACCTGGGAAACGTGGTCGTAAGCTTGGAAACAATATACAGGTAGGAAGTCATATGTTCGGCTTGTTAAGGACACGCCGCTGCGAGGATCAGGCGGCAATCTGCGTGTGTGGGAGACGGCGGCTGGTGAGCGAGGGTTTCCCTAGATGGCGAGTCCGAATGGCCAGGGGGCTCCGTTTTGTAGTCGGAGTAGGCGACACGACGGACAATGCGGGCGTAAAAGAAAACGGAAGTCAGAAATACAGGCAGATAGAGGCACTTGTGAGGGTAGACAGTTGGTAGGGGGGTATTGCAGCTTCGGGGGGGGTGTCCGGCCAGTGGGGCAGAAGTTCAGGGGGGGGTAAAGCCCTAAGCACCGTGTGGATTAAAAAAAACTAACTAAAGGATACTTAGCATATGCTGAGCATATGCTAAGTATATACGAATAAATATAGTGTCTACCTTCTATAAATATAGAGGACTTAGTAAGAAGACTTAGGTCTAAGTCCTCTATAGTTATAGAAGGTAAGTACTATATTTTAAAGTATATACTCAGCATATGCTTAGCATATCCTATTAAATATAGTAACTAGCCTCTATAACTATAGTAGACTTAGACCTAAGTCTTCTAACTAAGTCCTCTATATTTATAGAAAGTAGACACTATATCCATTGGTATATACTTAGCATATGCTCAGCATATGCTCAAGCTCTCGCACTTCTCACACTCTAAGCTAAGCCTAAATAAGCCTGATAACCCTAACCCTAGCTACTTTACCCCCCCGAACTTTTCGGCCCCACAACGGATACCCCCCCCCGAAGCTGGAATACCCCCCTACCAACTGTTCTCCCGCACTTGTGAATGCTAGTAGATGAGAGATCGGCCCTTTACCATGCTGAAGTTACTGATCGTCTCGACAGCGAGGCTTGTCCTCGATCCAGCCGCAAGCTTATCTTCCACTCCAGTACAGGTTTCGAGAATGATGCCCTCGTCATATAGTGAAGGAGAAGTACTTCAGAAGTGAGCGGATGACAAAGAATTCCCTCCCGATTTAGCCGGAGGTCATCTTTTCAGCGATGTGAACGAAGATTCGTTGAAAGGATACTCCGGCTGAAAGCAGACACATTAGGAACCATTCTATTCCCGTCTTCAAGGCCGTTTAGGCGCAGAAGTTCGCCAATATTCTCTTACCGTCTCATGCTGTTTTGCCCAACAGAACTTGGCAAGTCTCGGGTAAGCTCGAAACGGTGCAGGACTGTCCATCGAACCAGAGCTCATCAACCTCGGCTCAGCAGTCATGCTGTTGCTCCCGTACAAGCGGCAGCTGGTGCCGGCATCCCGGCACGTGCTCCAGACAACGCATGTGTGATTGTCAGCTGGGTTGAGAGGTGATGCCGCACAGCACGCTGCCGCTGTGTGAGGCAACAACGTCCCGGGTCACGACGTGGCGGGGCTCACCGTTATTTTCCGCGGCTGTGGGAGAGCTTGCCGTATTTCTCTCTAGAAGCCGCGGGGCTAGAACGGTCCCGCGGCAAGTTTCAGCTCCGCCTAAGCGTGAAGACGTTCTACCGGTTACGTGGTACTGGTCAAGACAGGCAGGGTCAAACTTTGGCAGCCTTATGCAGTAATAAAAGCAACCAAGTAAGATAATAATAATGATAATAATAATAATAAAAGTCTAAAAGGCACCGGCGGTAAAGTAGTGAAGGGCAATCTAGAGAAAATCCGGCTATCGCCGAGTACCATAAGGCGTCAGAGGGATTAAGTTGATTGGCGGTTGAACTGAAAATCAGATTTACAAAATCAAGGTATCCTAGGTGGTATATGTTGTATGATTAAGACTAGTGTCAACATCAACACCCAATCAAAGGGGAGTTAAAGGTAAAACAGGGGCCATACAATTTGGGCTTGCATGAAAAGGATATATCGAGGATACCAACAAACGACCAATCAAGTAAAGGCCCTGTTAAACTATCTTTCTGGGCCTTCTTACATGAGAAGCAGCTCGATATTTGTAGCTCGGGGCAACTGTTGTCAGACGAACGCGGCCTTAGCCTCACGGGGCTGGACTAATTAAATACTATAATTGGACAAGCAAAACTGACGGTCACTCATGTTCTTTGTTCTATCTTCCTCGGCGACGCCTAAGAGTCCTCGCCCCCGGCCGTCACCAAGCTATCAAACCGGTTCCCTCTCCCCGTGACGAATTTCATCTCCTCATCCATGTGGTGATCTCCCAGCGAGTCGCCGGTCCTGTCCGGCAGCAGATCCTCGATTGCCCACGCGATCCTCTCGGCACCCGCCCTCGCCCCCGCCAGGTTGGGCGCCCCGGGACCCAGCCTGAGAGCCGCCATGCGCCCCGTGACGAAGAGCGGCACGTCCTGCGACCACATCAGGTCGTCGTTGATGCACGGCAATCCGCCGTGCCCGTGGAGGGGGTGGTCTCTCAGGATCGTCTGCAGGTACGGCAGCTTCGCGTAGTCGGTCTGCACGCCCGTCGCGAAGTAGATGTAGTCCATCCCCGGCATCGGCTCCCCGGCCGGCTCCGTCTTGACGTCCCAGACCCTCCTCTCCCCGTCGTAGCGCGCCTCGGCGAGCCTCGTGTTAGTGCGCAGCTCCAGCGCGCCGCGCGCGATGTGCTGCTTCAGCCGCTTCTGGTACGGCGGCGTGATGCTGCCGCCGCCGCGGGCGCTCTGGATCTGCTGGAGACGCTCCTCGTCCGAGTCGGCCGACCAGAAGTAGGCCTGCTCGACGTTGCGGAACTTGCCCATCCACGCGAGGTCGATGTCGAATGGCTTCACCCGGCAAGGGCCGCGCATGAGGTGCCAGACCTTGGTCACGCCGCGGCGGAGGGCGAGGTCCGAGAGCTGCGCCGAGGTGAGGCCGCCGCCGACGACGAGCACGTTGGTCGGCTTGCGCGCGGCGATCTTGGCCTGGACGACCGGGTCCGGGAACTTCTGGATCTGCATGCTGTGGCAGACCTGCGGAGGGGCCGCGCCACCGGGCTCGCCGGCGAGACCCGGGACGGGAGGGATCGTGGGCGCGTTGGCCGGGCCCACGGCGAGCACGACGGCCCGCGCGTAGTGGGTGGTTTTGTTCGAGTGGACCGCGAATAGCTTTGAGTCGGGCAAGACGTCTTTGATGACGCGGTACTCGATGTCCTCGACCTTCTCGTTCCGGATGAGGCCTTCCCGAAGGCCGTATCGGTCGACTATGCATTCGCAGTGATTGGCAAAGAGTGTCGTTGGGGGTGTGAAGTAGTCTTTCCGGTCCCGCTCGTCCACTTCTACGACGGCATGCTGTCTTGGACATGTTAGATCAGGGCAAACGGTAGTTTGAGAGGGCAGTATCTACTTTGGGTTGCGCGACTTGAGTCTCGCCTTGCGCAGGTGCTTGCTGATTTCCTTGCCAACGCAGGCCCTCAGCTCTTGGAGCTCATGCTCCTGTTTCCGCTCGTGGGCTCTAGCCAGCAAGGCGTCGCGATCGCAGGGGTCCACGTGGAAGAACATGGGACTCCGGAGGTGAGTGATTTCGAAAGTCTTGAAGAGACGGTTCCAACGGTTTAGCCACTCGTCTCCGGTGGCGTCCAACACCAGCGTCGAGTAGCGTTGGCCCTGGCTGGGCGTTCTCTTCTCGATAATGCTGCCATTCTTTCTGTTCTTCAACGTCATCCGACGGCCGTACTTGCGGATCCAGTGGTATCTCTGGTGCTCCTCGTCCGTGAACAGGGCCGAGGGTGAGTGCTCGCACAGTCGGGAAGCCACGGCCAGGCCACAAGGGCCGGCGCCGATGATGATTACGTCGTGGATGAACTGTTCGGTCATTTCGAGCTACCAAGATGCTCAAGATCTACTCGCGGGGTAATGGAGAGCAAGAGGGGTAGCAACGTAGGTCGCCTCCGCCGCGGGAGCAGGGTGAGTTTTGACATCCATTGTGCCGCCTCTTCTGCCGGACCTGCCTCAATCAACTAGCTAGTCACGAGGGGACGGCTGGAACCTACCTTGATGGCCAGCGGTACATTCTCGTCAAGGCCAATTAAGGGATAATGCGGGCGTGATGACCCCTGTTTTGGGTGTTTCTGACAGCACTGGTTTGGGTTGAGGACCTTGATGGACAAGAATATATGGGGAAGAACGAGGCAATGACATTTGGGCCGGAATCGATCTAAACAGTCCGTGGATTCCGCATGCTCTCTTACCATACTTCTGAGAAATATATATCGTAGCAGAATAACGTTCAATATGTCGGCAACATGTTTGCTCGTTGGGCTGACGCCTAAAGCATCACATCAACGCGAGCATAGCCCAACAGTATGGTGTAAGGTGATGGACGGCCCATTAGTCGTGACCCGAAACAGACGCATCTCGGAGAAAAAGTCGGGTTGATTTGTCTCTCAGTGGCATGCGGCTTTCACAGGGTCCTATTTGAGTCTCATCGCGATAGAGTGGCCAAGCTGCGGACTCCATTTCCACGGCCCAGGCCGGTGTGTGTTCCGGGATCCACCGCCTCCGATCATCGGGCCACCGGGCCCAAATCCAATGCTCCGCATCGGGACTCCCGCCCCGACTCAAGTGAACCTTCACCGACCCAGCCCGAAGGTTTCCTCGGCGGCAGATGCGGCCGTTTGAAATTGCTCAAGCAACCCTCGATTCATGCATCCGTTGCATCCAGGTGAAGCCACAATCCCAATGTGGGTCGAGAGCAAAGATGCATTAATCGGTAAATTTGATTTGATGAAGCCTGTATTGTGAACATTTTCCGAAGCTGAGACCATGAAACCCAGGGGAGATAGAGAGAGAAGGGAAAAAAAAAAAAAAAGCCGCAGGTTCGATGAGTTTCGATGCAGGAGAATGTCACTGTCACGGCCCAGCTGGCGGGCTGCATGCGCTGGGGCTGCCAGCTGGGTGTCGCATGTGAGTTGGACCGATGCTTGATGAAATCTCGATCTCCGTCACCTGACATGTCACGCTGTTATCTCTGAAGCCAAAAAGGGGATCGGGCCGAAGTTCAGCCAGGCGAACAGACCTGTCCCAGCTGGCATACCGGTAACTGTCACGGATGAATAGCTCGGGAGCGGCGGCACGTAACGCTGTCTCCCCTATCCCCTGCCTTAAGCAAGATGAAAAGAAATAAAAATAAAAGCCCCACATCCTCCCCAACAGAAATCTCGTCATCCCTGCTAGACTCAAATGACCCGCAAGGACTTTTTGTGCTTTCGCCGACTGAACCCATTGGTCGGATGCTAAGGCCAAGCCACGGCTGGCCTCGAGGTCCTCCTGGACGTAATTGTGCATACTGCTCAAGCCACAGCAGGATGACGCCACCAACGTTGCCAAGTATGACAGGATTCCATCTTCTCTCCCTGCTCTTCCTGTCATGTACTCCGTAATGTAGGTATGTACTGCTTACACTAGGTACCTGGGAAGTTAGGTACATGTCTCGAGCACGAGCCCAAACTTCGGATCGCAGCACAAGCAGAGCAAATTTCCCTTCGTCTTCGGGGAACTTCATGCTCCCCCTAGCCCGAGCCCGAAGAACAATGGATTAAGGACAGGGGGAGTACAAACGCGGGTCCAGAGTAATCTGGTTTTTTTTTTTCTCTTCTTCTTTTTCTGGACGTTGAAAATAGGAGAAGCAATGAAATGGCATGGTGCTGCTGCCACTGCTACAGCTTACTGTGGCATGTTCGCGCACAAATGGAAACCTTGTTTTGTGCTATGGGCAAATTTCGATGGACCGAGTGGCATTTCCGCGCTCGTGACACGCGACTGAATGAACGTGCCCGAGTAAAACAGCAAAGGAGCACTCACTAACCGGGAAAATCAAGCTCTAGTCTAATTATCACAAGGGAAACCAGCTGCTTGCTTTCTCTTCCAACACCGTTCTGCATGCAATCAATCTGCTATCCGCGTTTGACGAGCTTCCATTGCTGTCACAAGTCCGGCTTTTTTGGTTAGAATCGCGAGTCTATTAAAGTTTCAATCCCCGCGGTCCGCGTTACCCCCCGACCGGAGTAGAGTCTCCTCCCCACCACCGCTAGCTGCAGGTTTGGTTCCCGCATCATATGCGCATTTGGTTCCATCCTTCTCCGATCGAGCTCACGACCTCCCCCATCACCCGAGCACTTAGTCACTTCCTATAGTAGGTACTGGGCTGGCTACTCCCGTAAGTCTATGCTTCCATCCTCTTCCGTAGCCCCCCAGATTGCATTGCCTACACTGCACCACCGGCGTTCGGCGTTGGTCCTGCAGCTACTTTGCTTCGCTGGCATTTGACACCAAGCACAAGTCCAACCCTATCCCTCCCCCCCCCACGCCCTGTTCCGTTCCTCCCTCTTTTGTGTGTCTCTGTCCTTTCATACGCCCACGACATACATCATCATCATCATTACCTCCACACACCCTTCTAACATCCTGAACCAAGGCACAAACACTTGTGACGCCCACACGCCCGCGGCAAAAGACCTAGGCCACATACGTCCTGCAGGCCAACTTTCTCGACTACCCTACCTGTCTACGACATAGTCTGCCGATCTCCTGGAAACGCCTCCAATTCGACCCATACCAGACCCTTTTCCTTAGCGAAGTCGCAAGTAGTAACTCCACGCGGGACAAGGCACTTGTGCAAACGACATTCCACTCCACCGCCAAACAATTACCACCTCCCTCCCAACACACCTTCACACAAATAAAGACCGCAATGTCCTCCCCTTCCGGCTCCTCAGCAGCAGGCAAGCGGAAACGCACGACCGCAACAATGAACCCCACAGGCATGCCAGACGCTGCTGACGACGCCGACGCCGGCCTCCAGGCCTCCTCGCGCGACGCCTCTGGCGAGGAGGGCGACAGCACCGCCCCGGAATCCGGCCGCGTCGGCGGCCACCGCAAGTCCGACTCCACCTCCGCCGGCCACCCGTCTAAGCGGCAGCGCGCCGGCTCGGACCGCTCTCACGAGACGACGAGTAACAACAACAACACCCAGTCCTCCGCCGCAGCGGCAGCGTCGGCGGCGCAAAACCACTCCCTCGACCCGGGCGAACCCAGCGACACCACCGAGGCGAGCGTCGACATCGCCGAGCGCGTCGGCCGCAAGAACAGCCGCAAGCACGTCTCGATAAAGGAGGACGAGGACAAGGACGAGGCCATGCCGCCTCCGCCCACCGGCAAGCTCACGCACCCTGTCGGCTTCAGGACCAACGATCCTCCCGTCGGCCGCCCTGTCCGGGTGTACGCCGATGGAGTGTTCGACCTCTTCCATCTCGGGTACGTTGACACGACTTCCTTTCGCTCCTCTCCTCTCCCCATTTTTCATATACACACACACACAAGGATGACGCGTTCAACTAACCTCCCCCATTTAACAGTCACATGCGCCAGCTCGAGCAGGCCAAGAAGGCCTTCCCCGACGTCTACCTCATCGTCGGCGTTACCGGTGACGCCGAGACGCACAAGCGCAAGGGCCTGACGGTCCTCTCAGGCGCCGAGCGCGCTGAGACGGTCCGCCACTGCAAGTGGGTGGACGAGGTCATAGAGAACTGCCCGTGGATCGTCACCCCCGAGTTCCTCGACCAGCACAAGATTGACTACGTCGCCCACGACGACCTGCCCTACGGCGCTGACGAGGGCGACGACATCTACCGCCCCATCAAGGAGGCCGGCAAGTTCCTCGTCACCCAGCGCACCGAGGGCGTCAGCACGACGGGCATCATCACCAAGTAGGTCCCCGCCCCTGGACATCATCCCCCCAACAGAGGCCCCCATAAAAAAGATTGCTGACATGTGCTCCGTGTGTGCCCAGGATCGTCCGCGACTACGAAAAGTACATTGCCCGGCAGTTCAAGCGCGGCACCTCGCGCCAGGAGCTCAACGTCAGCTGGATCAAGAAGAACGAGCTCGATCTCAAGCGCCACGTCCAGGAGCTGCGCGATAACATCCGCACCAACTGGTCGACCACCGGCCAGGAGCTCTCCCGCGAGCTGCGCCAGTTCTGGCCCGCCTCACGCCCGCAGTCCCCGGCCCCGGCCGCCCGCACCTCGTACATCCAGAACGGCGACCACCTCGCCGCCTCCAACACGAGCAAGTCCCGCCTCAGCGTCGACATCCCCACCACCCCCGGCGGCACGCCCGCCGCGACCCAGTCCAACGACTTCATCACCGGCTACGCCCTGGGTCTCGTCGGCGGCGTCCGTTCATGGGTAAGTTTCTCTCCCCCTTAAAGCGAACATTTTTTTCCCATGCCACATGAGACCACCCGCCGGAACTGGAGTGTTTGCTGACGCGCCTGCTTTCCTTTTGTGCAGATGACCAAGAGCAAGAGAAGCGAACTTGACAGCCCGAGCCGCCGCAACAGCGACGATGACTCGGAGAGCGACGGCAAGAGCCCCCGCGGCCGCGTCGTCCCTCAACAACCGGCCGCCGCCACCGCGAGCGCCTCATAAAAAGGTCGGTGCCCCTTTTGCACGCGACGTGCCTTGGGCCATCATCACCAAAGGCGCATTATATCTAGCATCAAAAAGTCCGCGTGACACAAATGTCTTAACCTTGCCCACCCTACCCACCTTCACCTAATTATTGTTGCGCGGTAAACGGGATCGTTTTGGTCTATGGGCGAGGTGAGAGTTGAAGGAGAAGGGAAAAGGAGGAAAGGGGAAGGGGGCAGAAGAATGAAAGGACGGAACTCGGCTACACGAACAAACGAAACATGGTGGAAACCGTCTTGGGGCTTGCTGCTGTTTTGTTTGTTATTGCTACATTTCTCGTTGATCAGAGAGAAGAGAGACGGGGCGGCGTTTCGAGTGTTGTCTGTTTCGTCACTGGAGAGAAAGCGAAAGGGGGGGAGGGGGGTTTCCGGGGGACTTGTCTACACGATAGAGGGAACCCCATTCTGACTGAATAGAGATGTGCCACTACTACATAGGTTACCTGTCGGGGGGAAAACCCTCCCTAAATTGTCGAAGAAACAAAATCAAAAAACAAGAAGGCTAAGCGGGGTTGGCATACTCGTGATGTGGGCAGTCGTGGTCAGTGAGTGCGAGCGAACGAACGTATGCCTCTCTCGCAACCACACATGTGTTGAGAGTCCTGGTGGCATTCCTCCCCGGCGTCGACGGCGACGACGACGACGACGACGACGAGTATCGTTTGGAAAAGGTCTCTGTTCGCGGGAGACGGCTACGGCGGTAGAGAGGTGAGTAGAGCGTACCCTTCCCCTCCCTTCCCACCATGACAGGTCAGGTCAGGCAGGAGATGAGGGACTGGGCGGCAGGTAGGGGAATCAGTTCATCTCGCTGTTAACCCCTCCCCCCCCCCAAAGTGTGTTTATCAATCGCATCTCGCGGCTGGCAACCAGAAAATCTCTCGTCTTAACGCCCCGTGTTCACAACCGGCCCCCTTTTTAGCACTCGGGGTTTGCGCTCGCAATAGGAGAAAGGTGGCAGGTGATTCTCCTTACTTCATCCCATCTCTAACCAATTGCGCGCGGAAGAGGGCCAGGGTCTGTATCGTGCAGTAGGCACTGCCCTTCCCTCATCCCCCTCGCCTTGCCTCTTCCCGCATCCTCATCCTCGCGAGCGCGAGGACGCGGGACTAGAGCAAAGACCAGTCACTGCCCCATGCCGCAACCTTTACCCCCCTCACCCCCCTTTTTCCGTCGCCCGCCCGCCAAGGCTAGTGGTCTACGTCATAGGTCCCCTTCGGACTCGGGATATTCGCCGTCATCACGCCCGTCGCGTCGTGTGACGATCTAACGCTGCAGCAGCCATCTGCCTATCCCTCTCCTTCAGCAGCCCACACCCAGGGCCGGACCTGCGTCTATGAGGAGAAAAGGGGGGCGTGGCGTGGTGTGCGGTGTGAATCTCGCACTCACAAAGATATCACACTGTGCGTCTTGTTGGCACAGAGTCTCATCGGCGTGACCAAAGTCCCAACTAGTTCCGGTCTGTTTTCGGGCTCAGTTGGTTTCTCTGCTATCATGGGGTCGGGAACAGTTTAATGTTGAAGCTCGCAGGCTTCCTTCTATGCAAGGGCGGGCGGGCCCGTCCACGCCGCACGGCGCGCCGTGAGGCTGGGAAACGTGCATCAACGAACTCGCGGTCGTCAGTAGACGCACACTTACGACCTGCTTGGGAACGGCTGCGGGTGGCGGCAGTGCCCACCCAAACATCTCAGCAGCCCTGCCGTGGACGCAGTAAGACGCCCAGCACGGGAGGCTGAAGATACGGCCGCAGTAGCTCCGCCTGCCGGCACAGCCCACGGCCTGTTGGCCGGGCCCCAGATCCAGTATCAGGCCCCGCGATGTGGCTTCGAGTTGAAGAGGCTTGGGATGATGAGACAAACGCACGTTGGGTGAAGATCGATGGGGGTTCCAGGGACTCGCACTCGGCTTTAGTGGCGCTGGGAACGGTTCTGTGGGGTAGTGGGACGTTTGTAGCCGCTAGCTGACTCCTCTTCAACGAGACATGACTTGGCGGGGAGCTGTTGGAAGCTGTTTGTTCCAACGGGCACATCGTCCGGGGGAGGCCTAGGCAGCAGTGATGGCTATCTATGTCAGGTACGGTCAAGGCAGTGTTACTCTCTCTCGATTGTGATCAGCTCTACCACCCACTTCGAGTGATGATGAGCCTACCCACGACCTTACGGCCGTGAACGAGTGAAGCAACGCACTCGTGCATCATCGCGGCCCTAATTCTCCGTTATTTTGGAACACGGGATTTGATGCTGTCACCACCGTTCAGCTCTCTGTTGGGGGCCAGTCTCGAAGTTGCGACGGGCTGAGAACGGAGATAGTCTATCGCAAGGCTTCCGTGCATCGCTTGTGATAATGTCTGCAACGGATGATCACGAACATCGAACCAGGTGCCATAATGACACCAATCGTTTGCTTCGTCGGTGCCTTGAATTCGATGCCATCAAGCAGGCACACACTCAGCCAAGGCTCGAACACGAGGTGCGGCGCTTACTTTGTGGCATGCAGTAAGGAGGAAACATCCCAGAACGGAAATTGCTGCGCTTCCAGAAAGTATGATTATGTTTCTCCATGAATGAAGCGCCGGCTGCGCTAATTTTGGCGCCAGGCGCGTCACTCGATAAAAATCATCCTCAACTTGAAGTAACATAAAGACATTTTTGGACGGTAGCCGAGAGGTGAGATGAGTATTCTAGCCGCCCATGGCGAGCGCTAGAGAGCCGAGTCTGACGCTCGTGATGGGATGTGCGTGACGGGAAGGCTGAGCCAAGGAATCCTGCGGGTGGTGGACGGGAGTGTCGATATCCAGAGCCGCGCCGCATGTTGCCCCACGCGCAGAGGCGACTCAAAAGCCTTCCAAGATCTTTCTGCCGAGCCACTGCCCCCAAGAGTGAGGTGGGGCGCATCTCAAAACCTGTCTATAATGTCAGTTCGAAAAGGCTGTCGCGAGAACGAGACGTTGGGTCCGTATCCCACACCACACGTTGGCTGAGTAAGGCTCTGTCTAGCACGAACACCGTGCGCCATTGGTTGAAACATGTCGTCTGCGTGGTTGGTCCCATGCCATGTGCTGAACATGCCCGACCTGCTTTAGTCCGCGGGAACACGAGGAATCCTACGCGCCGGGCCGCTCAGACGGATCCAACAAGCAGTGAAGTTGTCAAGGCATCGACCTGGACTCGGCCGTGACCTTGTGGTCCAACTCAAATGCGAACCATGACCCACCCAACTTCGCTTGGCAGTTGCCTTGCGCGCGCGTGCGCCTCAAGCGGCAAGTAAATATGGCGGGAAGTCGACGGCCGATTGTCGATGACGTGAAGTCATCTCTGATGGCGGGCAGCGAGGCAGCGAAAATAGCAATCTACGTCGATAAAACTGGCGTGATGCGGCCAGTTCCGGTGGCTGGCGATTGGTGGCCGACGTCGACCAAAGATCAAGCCTTGACGGAGAATGCAGTGCAATCGATAGTGGAGGCTGCTGGTTGGGGCATTGTTCGCCGTCCGGCATGGGACAACCGTAGCTGTGGGATGAGTAGGAAGATGCAATGCAGCGCTGATCAGGCTGTGTCGTGGGCGCTTGAGAGCAGCAGGTACAAAGCACGATCAACATCAGCAAGTGCAGTGTGGTGTGCCGTGCGAGCGAGTCTGAGATGGGACCAGCCGCAGAAGGGCTGCCCTGGTGTATTACCTGGCACGCGGGCCGGGAAGCACTGTGATAGTTCAGATGACAGTCGGCAGGACCAACTGATTGGATCAGGCTGCATGCAGTGAGACTGGTCAGACGAACGTGGTGCGTAGCTAGATTAGATGCGCTTACCGGCGAAGGTTGCCGTGCCTGGCATCTAAGAGTTGGCAGGTTGGAGGTTGGGAGTTTGACGAGAAGGATGGTTGGTTCTCTAGGTACGGATAGATGGTTTCTCTTCTCTACCTACCTACCTACCTAGCGAGGTGGGGGAGACTTGCACTTCCATGGTCCGAGATGCGGGTCCGGGCGCACAGCGAAAATTGATGCTCGATGGACAACGACGTTATCGAGATGCAAATTTTTTCATCGGTGATGGATTTGGCCCGTGTCGACAGGCGGAATGCGATCGATGGTGGTGCCCCCCCATAGGGCCTGCACGGCAGACGTTAGACGGGTCGTTTCCACATTCATGCTTGATGCTTACTAGTAGTAGTAGCGTCTAGTTTAGATAAAACAAACGCTTGAACAAATGGGGACTCCGTGGCCGTCGACACCTGGGTCTCGGGGTGGTGCGTGCTTGGTGTGCGGATGCGCTGATCATTCCCTGTCGGATTGTCATCGGTGTGACAGCCAGCCAACAGGAAAAAGGCTGATGACGGAGGAGGTCCCCTAGCTAAAAATACATTATACCTCGCATTGTCTTTGGGTTGGTTAAGCGCCGACCCTTGTCCCCCCTCCACTACCCCCTCCTTTCTTTCCCTTCCCTTCCCTTCCCTCCCTTCCTTCTTTCCTTTCCTTCCGATAGTGCCTGCCGCCTGCCACCTTCACCTAGGTACCTCAAGCCGAGGCTAGAACCCTGTCAGCAAACTAGATGGCGGTAGGCTCTCCCGGATCAGCGCGGACAAACTCAATTTGCACTGTCACCGTCGGTCTGCCAGCATCTCGCAGCTGCCACCGACATGCTAGCTTAGTATGCTGCACCTTCATGACTTGTACCGCCGTGATCGAGCAGATGGCGTGGTGCATCGCGACTTGTGGTCTGTTCGGCACGGTGACCAAGGTACCCCAAATCGCTAGAAGTGCGGTGTGGGAAAAAAATTGATGGCTGTCAATGGGCGGTATCGGATAAACGTCGGTCATGGATAGCAAATGTACCTGCAAGCACTGCAACTGTGCAATCGAGCCTCACGATACTGCAATATCCAACACGAGACGTATCGAAGCGGGCCAAGGCCCTTGCCTTTACGCCGTAGGTTAGGCAGTCTCCATGGCAAGGCATATTATCCCTACGGCAGACACCGTGGGAAGGTGAAAGCTTTGTCAGGAGGGAGGTGTTATCTGCAGTGCGCTTTCCTTCAAGGTAAGCGAGCAGCTGGATTGACAGGCACGAAAAGATCCATTCTTGCTACCTTGGGTAGGTGCCTGCCTACTCACGGAGATTGTACGGCTCCAGTAGGGGAGGAACAATGGATCAGAGTAACAATGGCTTAGTCGATCCTTCCTCTACATGGGTGACAGGCCCTCCACCTTCCAACTCCCAATTCCCGACGTCCAACTTCCATCCGAGCGTGTGGCTGTTGGAAGTGACGGCCCTTGCTTGCCCTTAGCGAAAGAACTAGTGTACAGGCAAGTACCTAGTTAGTGTACAACTCCAGCTCCAGCTTGCTGCTAAAATCACGGCATTTTTTGCCCACGTTGCTAGTCAAACGGGGGATGGACGGCATCCAACCCCCAGAATTCCACTCCTAGCAGCTGCGAAGAAAGCCCCTTTCGCCATCCTCGACTGGTAATCCCCTCCCTCATCAACTCGGTTGCCAAACCCTTGGCGACTTACTTACGCATATCGGTCCGCTTCGAAACATCAGCCCCGAGATATCTTATGTTGGTTCATCTCTTCCATTCCAACACCACGACACCCATTGACCCATCCTGGATCGGCGAGCACTGCAACTCTACATGCGATAATAGCTCGTATCGGCATCTGAAACGGACCCCATCAACACACCATGCAGCCTGCTCCGAAACTTAAGGTTTCGCCAATATATCCCTCATCCACCATCGTCGGTCGGTCCGGCCCCCAACATACGGCAACGCGGACCAACTCCCTTCCTGCCCCTGTTTTTGACCCGCGAGAGCTGATCTTCCCCGAGACCTGTGGGTCGCTCTACAAGTGCCGTCGTCTCCGATGCGTGCCGAGGCGCCTCCGGCCGCCACCTGCCATGTATCCGGTTCCGACCCCAAGACATGCGTTGCGGGCTTTCACGGCAACCTACCCGTACAACCAATGTACGCATACAGAGCACGCAGCAACTGAGACACTGAAGAATTCCTCTCGCCAGCCACGTATCTCCCTTGAGCGGCGCTGTACCGCAGCCCGGGAACCATCCGTCCCTGCAATCGGCTCAGGCCGTCGGTGTGGCTCCATTCGGGAAAACCCCCACGTCCAAGTCCATATTCACCCGACGTTCGCTAAAATACCACCTCTATTGGGGGAGACACCGACGCTCGTCCGAGATTGTGAGCGTTGTCTGCCACCCCCAGAACACACGGTTCGTTTCGCCAATCTACTCACCCGCTTCGTCCACAGTCAAACCGCAGCTTGCCATCGTTTCAAACTTATTGTGACAAACGGCGCAGTTGGAATTAGGAGGAGCTTGATGACATAAAAATAGGTCGCTGATTCCAAGCAGTTTGTCGCCTTTGCATTGCACGCAAGCCCTTGTCGCACCCGCTGATTCAGGGCTATCCCTGTCATGGCTTCGTCTCTCCCCATGTATGTTTTTCAGCGGCCCGGATGCTGCATGGTCCGCTTGGCATTTCCCGTCCAAAATACCCTAGGTCACTTGCCGCCATCATCCTTTCAGTAACAGTGCAGTGTCAGACAATACCATACTCACGACCACCGGCGAGACCTGGTTCCCGTCCGCAATCGGAGCCTTGATCCGCCTCCACAACCCAGATTTTTCCCCAAGTCTATCGAATAACAGACAACGGTTTCAAGCCCCTGAATCATGGAAGAAACTGGTCAACACGTTCAGCTTATTTCGTTCAGGATCCTGGGTCCTCGGCCAGACTGGCATCATCAGACGCCATACGCCAAGGTCCAACGATCTCCATGTGTAGTGTAGGAACCGTGCATGAGCGTCGAAATAGATATGGCAGGACTCGGTCACGAGTACGACGCAAACCTGCTTATAGCCGTGGGTGGGTGGTCATAAGGCAAGTGCAATCTCTGTCACTACGATAAGTCGAAGCAACCACACAATGCAGTCAGACGGAGCCTCGACGGTAGCAAGTGTACCTTTCTTTGGCACGGGTCGTGCAACCGAGACGCACGTCGTCAACAGGTCGGGGCCTTAGCTGCCCTCGGTTGGCAATACGAAGGCTGGCAGGCCCGGTCCCGCTAGGGCGGATCTTTGGGTGCCCTGCAAAAAGTCAAAATCCCAAAAGGGCAACCCAGTCTAGCAGGGGTTGTTGACAGGGCAGCCGACTCATGCACACACACGGCAATGACAACGGTTCCCTTTACGGTCGGAACTGCGCCTCATCTCGTCTGACATTGTGCAGAATTCTCAGTGTGGTTTCTGCGGCTATTCCCCCAGAAAAGGTACAACCTCACTGCCACCTATTGCCCACCCTCGGGCGCTAGCGGGCGCTAACTGTGGAAAACGGAATGGCCGTGCTCCATTCGGCGCTGTTTCTCTCGTATCTACTAGTATGCAGTGACGCCATTACCGCATGTTTGCTATTCCCTATTGAGACCTCTGGCTCCCTTTCCTGTGCGAAACCACTGCCTTGTCGTTATGCGGTGCGGGCATTCCCACCATTGGCAGTCCCGGCAGGCCAGCTAGCAACATACAGAGAGATGTTGTCTCTCCCCATGGAACTTGCGGGGGGAGGAGGGTTCAGTCAAATCTGTCTGTGGGTTTGGGGTCTCGCCGACGCATGCGATGCGGTCGATCTTGTCGAGATCTCAGACAAGGAGGAGAGACACGGGACGGAGAGACATTGTCAAAACGGCAAGCATCGTCACCCGTTTCGTCGCCATCAAACGCGGTTACCTCATCTTGCCGCGGCTCTTCCGTGGGCTGGCAGACATCCCAGACGCGCTCATTCCGTAACATCGCGGCAATTTCACACTAAACTTGGAGAACTTGGGGGAGAGAGACGCTGCGCGGAGCAGGGGGCCCATCTGCCAGCCTGAGAGGGCTGAGTCGTATGACAAGCATCTGGCCGCCCTACCAATTAACCCGAGGCCAGCAACGATGGCGGGTGACGGAACCCCAGCTCGGTTGATGCCCTTTGAAGGACTGCCTTGCATTTTTTCCCTAATAACCTCCGTGCCCAACACCCTTTGCACCCATGCTCGCAGCCGACAGGGGAAGCGAGGCCTCAGAGAACGGCGTCCTTGAAGAGCTGTCATCCTCCCCTACTTCTGCCGCTCACTCGCATCTATCTCTTCTCAATATAGCAATGTCACCAACAACGAGTGATAGCGGACGCACCACCACTATCTTTATCTCTTCTCTTCGTCTAGTTCCATTGCGTTGCTGTCTCCGCAGACTACCAACCGCTCTGCATCTCACTTCAACCCCCCACCCACCTACCTGTTGGACACTCACTCTAGGCTGACAGACGCTCGAACAACCACCCCTAGGCTTTTTTTTTCCCCTTGCCTTGCCTTGCCTGCCTTACCCGTACCTGCCGTACCTTACCTGACTGCTGCCTTTCCATCCCACCCCGGGCAGTTTACTCAGCCCTTCCTTTCTACGCCGACACCCCCTTCTTGGGCCCTGACTGCCCCCCCCCTATTTTCACACTGCATCTTCACCTTGGTGTTGGGGGTTGATTCCAACTACACTTACTCGGCACTTCAGTCTATTCCAAGGAGGGGTCTTTCAGCCGGGGCTGTGTATTACTAACTTTGGCTTTGTTGCTGCCTCTGTCTGCAGTTCCCTCTCTGGGCACAATCATACTGCACCTCTGTCTTCTTCACTTCCCTTTTGGGAATCTCCAACCATGGCCAGCCTCCAGGACATCATGAACGCGGACGAGGACCAACTCGAATCCCACACTATTAAGAGCAGCCGGGACCCGGCTCCTTCGGCCGGCCATCATCGACCCTACTTGGCACCAAGCGCACCACCGTACAGCTCGAGCTATGCGATAGGCAGAGAACAAGCAGACAGTTCAACCACACAGCAAGATACTAAGCGCAGTTCATCTTCTCACACCACCAAGTCGACCCCTCCCAGCTCGTCGTCCTCGTCCAGCCGGCCACCAAACATCCGCCGTCGAAGCAACGTCAGCACCGATTCCATGGAGCAGTTAAACTACGGCTACGGTCACGGGTCGGCCTCTAGCAGCCTTGATCCCTCTGGCCCGTCCATGCGACCTTACGGCCACGCACCGACCGGAGATGTGCCCGTCAAGTTGACTCCCATCACCGGTCGAGTCAGTCGCGCAAAGAAGGGTATGAAAGTTCATACTTGCGACATTTGCCGTCCTTCCAAGGTATACCGTCACACCATTCAGGAAAAGAAGTCCCGGAGCATCTACTGACGTTCTATAGACGTTTACACGCGCAGAGCATCTAAGGTACGGTTGTGGCATTACGCCATCATGGCCCGCAGGTCACTGACAAACCCAACCACAGAAGACACCAGCTTAGCCACGAGACCCCTCAGTATGCGTGCCCCATTCTCGGTTGCGACAGGGCCTTCCACCGCAAGGATTTGCTGGAGCGTCACCAACAAAGACAGTACGTTTTCATCCCTCGAGAAGAGTTCCGAGTAACGGTGAACCGTAACTAATTCGTTCTCAGCGAACTGGAAGGAGACAAGGTATCGAGAAGTAGAGGGACAAGCCAAGTCCGCAGAACCTCCGCCACTTCAATCGAAGGGGGGGTTCGGACCTTGGGGTTGCAACATCCCATGCTCGGGTTCCAGCCGAACGCCTCGGCCCCGATCCAGAGCCTCCCAATGACGCAAAGTATGTCCCATGCCAGTTCATATCCGTCCATGGACGCAAGAGATGCGGGCAAATCAATGTCGCCTCATATGGGAAACGACGGCTACCGTACACCGTCAGGTGATACTGGATACGGCGGTAGTTACTCCCTGTCCACTGGGCCCGCGCAGCAGCCCCTGATGCAACAGCCAAACAATGGTTTCAGTACTTCTCCTCCATTCGGTTCTGTCGAATACCAGCCTCGTACGACGCCCGGTTTCCCTTCGTTGTGTCTCCAGACTGAGGGACTTGGGTTGCAGATGTCATCGGATGGTCCGCCTGAGCTCTCGCACGCTCAAGACCACGGTTGGCCGTCCTCGGCCTCCGACAGCCCGTACTCGACGCCTTCCGACAACTCGCGACGCACATTCTGGCCGCCGGCAAGGGCCCCTGTCACCGATTGGCCGACTGGTCTTCTTTCACCTTATCCGGGTACCGGATTCGATCCCATGGCAACAAGCAATCCCTTGCTCTACCACTACCCGACCTCCCCCCAGCTCAGCAACCCGCAAACGTATCCGATGCTCGATACTCCCATGTCCACATACGCGGGCGAGCAGACAATCTTTGACCCCCACCAACAACCCCGGGTCTCCAACACTGTTCGTAGCCTGTCCCCGCCGGTGACGTCGGCATCGGCTCAATCTTCTGAAACTCTAGTCACTCCGTCGACAGCACTACCGTCGGACCGGATGATGAACTCACTTGCCTGTATGGGCCGTCAGAAGGAGGTGGCGTTGGGCCTCCTGGCGGCCCCGGCCCTGGTGCAGGGCTCCTTGCCTCTGCCTCCTGCAAATGTCTGCAAAGCCATTCCCGCCTACCTCGAGGTCTACTGGGAGAAGTTTCACCGCTCTTTCCCCATTGTCCACAGGAGGACCTTCGAGGCCGCGGCGGAGCAGGCTGACGTGCTCCGCTGCGCCATGGCTGCAGTGGCTACTCAGTACATGAGTGCTAAGGAGGACCGCATCAGGGGGAATCAGCTGCATGAGTACGCCTGGCAACAATCAAGACGCGTAAGTCAGAAAAATCTCAGGGTCAAAGGGTGGCTCGCTAATAGCAGCGTGGTTGCAGTTCCTCCAGTGGGATGTGCCTGTCATGCAAGCGATTCTGCTATGTGAGTTTTTTGCACGGTTTCGCGGCCGGCGTGCGGCCATCAGGCCATCAAAAGAATTCGAGTCCATCTACTCAAGGGTGAGTCCTCTTCAGCGTTGTTAGTGAACGACATGTTGCTCTACTTCTTTTCTTCTAGCTCGCCAGTCTATTTGTTCTCTGGCCTTGTTCCCTTCTTCCCCTCTCGGATTCTTCATAGTATCAGGTTCTAAAACATGATTCCAGGTTTACGACAATGCCGTCATCTTCGGGGCAATCCCTCAGACAGGTCCCAACAGCGTCAGGTGGCACACCTGGCTCGATATCGAGACCCGTCGCCGCCTTCTTTCTGCCTGTTTTGTCTTGGATATCCACAGCTCGGTCTATCTGGAACAGCAGCGCGTCCGCAGCTTCGACGTTGCCAACGATGGCATGCCGCCAAAAATCCCTCTCATCGGCCCCAACCAAGACCTCTGGGACGCTGCAAGCGCAGATGCGTGGGCGGCGACAGTCTCAGCTAAGGGAGACCGTTCGGGTGAACAGACGCTACTCTCTTTTATCAACCCTGATACCCTGTCGAGAACAAGCATCAAAACCCACGTCCTCTTCGATCGCGCGGTAATCCTGGCATTCGAGGCGCTTCTACTACCTACACGTGACGACCCGGCGCACATGACACCCTCGACTGAGATTTCGGAACCGGGGACCTTTCGCATGGCCAACATCTTCCCGGACTGCCCTGTAGCGAACACCTACCTTGCCCTACACCACACCCCGCTCTACGACCTGCTCGCCGTCTCCGGAGACAGCTGGATCTTCAGCCAAAAGGTCCTGCAGCCAAAGTCCTTCGCCGAACACCAGAAGCGACTCAGGAGCTGGTGCGACTCCGGCGACGCCGCCGTTGCCGTGGTCTTCGCATGCCGCGCCCTCCGCGCCTTTACGGAACACGGCAGTGCCGAGAACCAGGAGGACTCGGACGACGACAACGACGACGACATGGGTGCTTGGGGTATGGGCCGACCCCGCATGTGGAAGGACGACATCTCGGACTATTGGGGCATGTACGTCTGCGCACTCATCTGCTGGGCCTATGGGCACCGAGCGAGCCGCGGAGATACCGCTGAGGGTAGCGAGCTGGGCGATTGTGACAGCATGGCGATCCAATGGGTCCGCACCATTGCGAGCATGCGGGCGAAAGACGTCGCAAGGCTGCGCTCCAAGGAGGATACCATGCCTGTCGTGTCGCTTGTGAGGATGTGGTTGGATGTTGACTGTCTTGGCGGGCGCAGTCGGTTGTACGTCGACGCGGTGGGCGTGCTCAAAAAGCTGGAAGAAGGCATGAACTGGAAGTGGTTCTAGATGATGGTTATCGGCTGATGAGCATCTATTGTTGCATCTGCATCTGCATTTTATTTTCTTCTCTTAACCATTTTCGTCTGCCTTGGATCTTCTTCGGCATGGCTCACAGCACACATACACATGCAGCAGAAAGCACCTGGCCAGAAGGACATTATACCTATTTGCGTTGTATCCTTAACGATATCGTTATAGAGGAGGGGGGAGATAGAGCAGAGGCGGTATGCACGGAAGAGACAAAGCTTCACAGGGAAAGAAAGAAGGTCACCGGCCAAAGGAGCGGGCTCTGAGGTATTGTTGGGCCAAAGTAGAATATATACACCAGGGGCGTAGTGGTGAAGACGCTTTGATAAAGAATACACAAACACGTTTCAGAATAAGCAAGTATCTTAGGCACACAAGGACTATAGACGGACCGTAGAGGGTTTGGTATGTTGCCTTTACTCCGATAACGTCCGTATTGTTACCCAAAAAGTTGGCAACGGAGGGATGGTGATCGTTTGATATCCCCCGAGCCAAAGCGGCTTGTTTGGCGTCGGGAGAGAGCCCGCTCGTCCGGGAAGAGTCCCCGTGAAGCTCATTGCATGGTGTTCCGGTAGGGTTCGTTGCTGTTGTCGTTCTGCCCCCCGAACCACCTGGAGTGGCGGCAGGTTCGGGTTCGGGTTCGGGCTCGTACCGGGCTTACACGAACGGGCAGCAACGGGGGGGATGGGAGATTTGGCATTTGGAAAACCCAAGGAGGGGTCAGGTCCTGCAACTTGAGAAGCCCATGGTAGAGGGCCGGGGGCGATGGGGGAGGTTCGGGATGCAGGCCCCCCGGGGATTTCATCCCGTGGTAGCGAGATATGAAGGTAATATGACGGACGGGGTTGGAAAGATGCCCAGCTCTGTAGTCCCCTTTGATTCAACTTCATTCCGGGGAAAGCCTCGGGAGAAGGGGTTAGGGTTGGGCGCGCGGCAACGGCTTTCTTTCAGCGTTTCCCCCCCCCCCATCCGCTCCCCGTCGGTGATACCCAGCTTACGCGTTGGTTGTTTTACTATGGGCAGAAATTTTTTGATTTCCTGTCAGGCTCCGGCGGCTCTGGAGCGGCAGCCGCTGTTGCTACTTCTGCTTTTTTTTTTGGGGGGGGGGGGGGGGGGGGGTCCAATGTACGAAGAAGCCCCTCCGGGAAGGCCGGCACTAGAATCTTGCTGTACGGAGTGTTGTTCATCAAACTACCACTGTATCATGGTTTTCGTGGTGCCTCGTGGACTAGGTATGGGCAATCGTACCACTTTCCCCTCCTCCACCGAAGACCGCTAACTGATCCCCGGGGAGGGGCTTTCGTCCTCGCGGTGCCGACGCAACCGCGACAGTAGGAATACGGTTGTTGCGGGCGTCTCATGCAAGACTCCTTTATACATGGGAGCCGAGCTCTGAGGATGAATAGGGCCTCCGGTCCTTGGATTTCGGCCATCTCCGCGGGTTTCGGGAGAATGCTCTTTCCCCCCCCTGGCGACGGTGAGTCTTTCGAGACATATCGGAACGCCGTTCGGTTAGAGTGATGTACTATCATAAACACCGTTTGCTGATTTGGGTCGCAACGACACCCGTCTCGTCCTCGCCCTGTGGCGAAGCCATTCTAGATCTCCCCTGGCATTGTGTTATGCAACGGCTTTGAATATGTCTCGAGCGACATAGACTGCATGTTGGTTTCTGAGGGGTAGATACCTTCTCCTGGACGTAGTCGTCACAGTAGCCATTTCGGTATCTCGCCGTACGAAAGCGCGCAGATCAGCTCCTGATATACTGACACACGCTTTGCGCCGGATGATTTCGCCCAAAAGTCAAAGGTCACCCTCTGCACATTCGATGTCTGGAGAGGCGTCTCGCAGCTAAACATACGCAGGCGAGCGCTCTGCGAATACCCCCCCTCCCCCCTCCTCCCCAAGAAATCTACAATAAGTCAGCAATTGTTTATTGGAGAACTTGCAAGGAAATGTTTGCAACCGGAGAGCGACGACGTGTTGTTCCACGAGCCCCGAAAGACCTGGAGGGGAAACGAAGACGATATCTACTTCCATCGATGAGACCTGCGGTTGAAAACTGCAAAGACCTGGAGAGGAGACGAGGGAACTGCCATATCCTGGAACGACTGAGAAAAAAAAAGGCAACAGTGGCAGACATGTGAAGTCCAACACTACGTCCAAGTAACCGAAAACTCGGAGCCTAACCCGATACGAACATGACATCGCTGTATCATGACCATATATGTGCATGGAGAGAAGGGGGGGCTATCTCGACGTTCGTGTCTATGCATGCCATCGACACGACGCCGCCAGCATTTAGGTCGGCTACGTCTGTCACACAGGGGAACAACAGTGAGAGAAAAGCCCGGGTATAAGATCGAGGCCGACGACCATTACTACGATCGCACCACGACCGAGTCTTGTCCCCGCCAACGACCGTCCGAACGGAAGCGAGCGTCGATGGCGAGCCACAAAAGGTACACAGTCAATGGCCGAGACAGCCTTCCGGCAGCAACAGAGGACGATGCTCGTCTGGGGAGCCATACGTCGACGAACACACCCAAGGCCAGCGACCATTTGTGAGCGAGAAAGCGCGGGCCATCGTGCTGGAACGAACGCCCTCTTCTCCGTCAACACACGGGTTTCCCTCCCAGGAAACATCGCCTGATTCCAGCCCTGCCCTTGGCGACTGCTCCAATAACTACGTCGACAGCAGCTTCAGCAATGGGGTCACAGACAGCCCCCCCCTCCCCCCGTTTACCCTGAGCAAGGCGGTCGAATAACGCCCGTATTTACACGGCAGTCAAAGCATGGGAACAGAAGACACGTGCCAGTCCCCAAAGGCGGCGAAAAGCTGCGTACGGCTTTGAGTCCGGCGGGAGACCCCGACTCTCCATCCACATGGACCCGGGTTTGCCATCTGAACCAAGCCCTATTTCGCAGTCAAATGCACAGGGGGCCCTTGAACTCGCCGCGAAGAAGAGCGCAAAGAAGCTCGCAGAACTCTGCCGACGTACCCCCTCCGTGGACTCTTGTCATGGAGTACGGCTGCACTGCGGAGCAACCCAGTTTGACGAGAAAAGAGCTGACCACTAGCTGGGTCGCGATACGTTACGTGCAACGGTGTGTAACCACGCGCCCGCGCGAATTCGACCGTTTGCGCAGACGGCCTAGCTGGAAACCACCAAAGTTCGAGGGCCGCCTTGGTCCGATCGCGAGCGAGGGGTTGACATCGCCACCAAGGCTGCATGCCAGGCTTGAGAGCCGTCAAGCATATGAATACAGAAAATCATCTAGCGATGGCGGACACACCGAGGATACACAGCAGGCATTTGCGGCGGGCGCAAGCGGGAGATGCATGAATTTCGTACGGAAGCCCCGACAGTACAAGATACGTATCTCGGCCGTGCAAAGCACAAAGAGAGAAGACTCGAAACGAACCGAGATTCCGTCTGATGTTTGTCACGTGCTAGAGCTCCGACGTCGGCTCGAAAACGTCATAAAGGAGGCGGGATTACGTACCCATGAACCTTTTGGGGGACCTCTTGAGGTCAAGACGAACGTTCGGTGGTTCCGAGAAGTTCAAAGTCGACCAGCATCTTGACGTCGAGGACACTCTCGGACACACAACGGAAAAAGCATTGCTGGACAAGAGATGGGGCCAAATGCATATGCCCATCCGAGCATTGTCTTAGGTTTGCGCCTTGCGACATCGGTTGAACACCTACCTAGGTTCCTAGGTTGATAACGGCGGGAAGCTGACAGGGATGAGCTAGGTGGGTGAGTCGATCATCATCAAATCAGAGAGGCACAATCGAGTCCGTATGAAAGCCTTCTACTGCGGTGTAATGGCCGAATCTTGCGCTCAAATGGCCTCTTACATGACAGACACAGATGGAGCGGCGGCTGAGGCTCATGGGGGAGGTTGGTGTGCGTGATCTGGTTCAGCGAATGGCAAGGACCATGGTTGTCTCAGTTCGGGAACTGTCCCTGTCCGAGTCCAAAGCTTCCACCCCCTTCTTCCCCGCAATTCTCTAGGTGCGGTACGATCTTTGGGAGATGAGACCCGTTCGTGATTCCGGTCGGTCACGGGAAATAGCAGTAGCCATTTATAGGTATATTGCAATCTTGCGATGGGCGTTAGGTCGCGAGAGCATGTGGCCAAAGCTTTTTAGCGCGTCGCTCCATCAGGGACGTTTCAAGCGCACAGAAACGAGGTAGGACGGCACTTGATGATCAGAGGGCTGATGAGGTTCGGCCGGAAAGGCTTGGGAATTCGTGAACAAAGGGGGGTAAAGAAGAAGAAGAAGAAAAGGAGAAGGAGCAACCGATCGGAAAGTCATAAGCGGTGGACTTGGTGTGGTTGCATCGGCCGTGTCAGCGACTGCAGGGCTTTAGTGTCCGGGCCGGCTTGTCAGAGAAGTAGATGCAGCGGCTGACGGCGACAGCAGATTGGGGTTGGTGCTGATGCTGGCGTTGGCGTGGTGTGGTGGCTGGCCTGGCGTCAGGGGTGCGCGGGATATGGTACAATAGGCGATGCCTCTTGTGGTCGAGACGGCAGGAGAATCGGACATTGTAGAGGCGGCTAGGGGACCAGATGGCGTTTGGCGGAATTGGCGCGTTTGTACCCGAAGAAAATGCCCGACAAGGGCGGAATCCTGAAGGATAATGGAATAATGGCAGCAGATGGGTATCCTGAAGATAGGGTGTAAGGGACGGGATGTCTCGAGGGCCGTTGAGTCGGCGGCCCTTGGACGAGAATCAAACCGGCGGTGGCGCCGGGTGGGAAACGGCTGGGAAAAGCCGCTGGCCATGCAGCGAGAGACAGACATGACTAGGCGCAGAAACCCCTGGATAGGCGTGGTAGAAGTGCGGAAAGTCGTGTTTGGCCATGACTCTCTCGTCGACTCCACAAGCACGGCGAGAACGACGCTGGCGTGCCATATGCGGTGTTGTCTCCTGCGGTCGTGCCTGAATATTCCAAGCCTTTCAGATTAGCGGCGAGCCTAGCTTCGTCCCAGGCGTGAAGCGCACAGTAGACGGGGTATTCCAGGCTGCATCACCTGCGTGAGCACGGTCCTAGGGCTCGGCAAAGCAAGGTGAGGCGAGGCGAGGCAAGATAGGCAAGGAACGGTGAGGAGGCGAGGTGAAGCAGGGGGGGGCTTCTTTGAGGAGGAGGCTGGGCGTCGAGGAGTTCGCAGATCATGGTAATGGTGATGATGGTTGCAGTGTTTGGTGTGCCGGCGTGGAAGTGGATCAAGGAAGGATGGATGCGGCATTGGCGCATGCCAAATGGCTCTTTGGGTGTCGATACATGAGGATTAGGAGGCTGCTAAGGCGTGGGTTCCTCAGGCTTACCTGCCTTTGACTTCAATGTATCCGTACGATGTACGGATAGGTATAGGTAGATAGTGCCTCCCTGCCCGGTTGCCACGTCTTTAAGAGTTACTTGGTATGTAGAAAGGTAATTAATAAGGCAGGCAGACAGGCAGGCAGGTCCGATGTGTGATTTCAGCGTTTCGCCGGGGGAAGGTGCTGCAGCGCTTGTCCCATTCTGCGACAATGCGACGCTGTGACAGCGATTCTCTCTCGTCTTTGTCGACTGTTGTCAGGACTAACGATGCCCACGGGGCTTTTGGGATATTTTTGGACCTGCTAGACCTCAGATTACTCATGTGCCGGAACGGAATTGGTCTATATATCCTTTCTGCGTAGGACCTCATCAATGCAGTGGCTACGCTACACATGTTTACCTACCCAGGTAAGCTAAGCAAGAGAGGGCCTCACTAGGGGTGAGAGACAGCATTGCAGCCGTTGAAGAACCATGGTGGGATAGACTCTCTTCACCGACTGACCGATCGACCGAGAAAGCGACGTGAATCCTTAGCCAAGTAACCTTGGACCAGGTCTGGTGTAAGCACCCGAGTCGGAAGGTTGTCTCAACTGTCTGTCGTCATATCCGTCCCCCCCCCTTGTGACACACCGCTGATGAGCAAGCGCAGCGAAAGGACGGATAGTGGAGCCAAAGCCCAGCCCGCAGGCTTCAGACCGCCCACGGTCCGTCCGGCGCAACGACAGGCGCTGGCGCTGGCGCCGGACGAGGGACGAGGTGCTCCTGTGGTGTACCTTACCAAGAGGTAAGTCTACTGAAGGTTGCTTGCTTGCCTTTGGCCCCGTCGACTTTTCAGTTCCCCCACACCCCCGGCCCCAGCAATCATGTCTCGGCCACTCGCGCAATTTTTGAAGGAGGGTTCTCGCTGCTCAATTCGGTCTCAACTTTTACCTCCTCTTCCCCCCTCCTCCTTGTCTCCCTTCCTCCTCCTCTCTCTCTCTCTCTCTCTATCGCTTCCAGCTGTCTTTCCTTTCGCATAATTCCTGTCGACGTCGAATCTTCTGACGCCGATCCGAGTAATTCTAATTGCCCCTTCCATCCAGGCAAGACCGACGACCACTAAGAACCCCGTCAAATCCATTAGAATGGGCACTTACAAGTTCACCTGGTATGCTTCACCTGCCCCGTCCGCAGATTCCCTCCCCGCCGGCGCGGCGCGGCGCAGCGCAGCGCAGCGCAGCTTCTCCTTGCTTCGTCATGGAATGCAAAGACAGAAACCTCGCGCACTTCCTTGCGTTGCTGCTGGCTGAGCTTCTCTGTCGTCCTCCTGGAATGGTGGTGGTCTTGCATGTTTCCGTCGACGAGCCTGGAATGCGAGCCTCCTTCCACAAAGAATCCAGTTCCTCTCATGGCGCATCCACGCGCGACATAGCAGCATCACCTCTGGGGAGGAAGGACAAGACAGGAGAGGAAGAAGAAAAGCCCTTGCTAACCTTATCGTCTACAACAGGACCCACCCAGCCGAGGAGGTCTATGTTACCGGCACCTTCGACAACTGGACTAAGAGCGAGAAGCTGGAGAAGGTCGGCAACTCGTTCGAGAAGACCGTCACTCTGCCCGATGCTTCGCAGAAGATTTACTACAAGGTTCGTAGCCGCCAATTAGTGCGATTTTTCTTTTACCCATTGAACCATTGGATCATCCCACCCGGACTCGGATTGCCAAACACTTGCGGCGACTCCGGATTCCCCCATCGCTACGCATTTGTGTCGTCGTGCCGTTGAAAGAGGGCACGGCATGGAGGGGTAGATATGGTGGGCAGCTACAATTGTGTGAGAGCGACACGCGAGAGGGTTCCGATCGCAAGCAGCTCAGCCCGCGACAGCATCCGTGCGTCTTCCAGGTCCCTTGCTCAGCAATCGCTGTTTCCCCGTCTTGGGGGGGGAGGGGGGCGAGGAGAGTGCTGCTAGGCCACCTGGTGGTAGAAGCTTCCGCCCCCCTGGACAGCTCCAGGTCCAGCTCTCCTCCCCCCGTCAGCACGACACAAACACACACAGACACTGCACTACAGCTCGGTTGCTGCTCGTCATATGATGGGGCTTTCATCGCCATTCCGCAACTTGCCTTATCCAGGCCCTCCCCGCTCACGCAATCTTCTTTGCGCTGCGCTGACCCATCGACAATGTCTGGCGTGGGTCTCGGCTCTCGGGCTCTCTGGTCTTTTCTTGCAAGGTTGCCTGGTGTAGGCCATTCTGCACCATTGATGTTCCGTTGACACTGGGGATTTTCATCCGGCCTTCCTTGCGTCTCACACACCTGCCTGTCCTGGGCTAGCCCTGCACGTCGCTGTAACGGGTAGATTGGAGACGAGGGTGGCCGGGAGAAGAAGAAGGAAGGGGAAAAAAAAAGAGCTTCCGAAAATGAGTCGCTCACACGCGGGTCTCGAGCTGTCCCTTTCTGGTGGCAGAACCTCCCGGTCTCGTATGACGCAAGCCAGCATCAATCTCTTGCATCGCCGAAGCACGGCGGCGGCGCCGATGCCATGGGCCCAACATGAGGGAGGGGCTTACACGCATTGCATTGGCTCATTGCCAGCATTGGCTAGCGGAAGCCGCGCAGTAGCAGTCGCAGTCGCAGTCGCAGTCACCGTCGCAGGCAGACAAACCACAGCTGGACGGTGCACAACCACAGATTGGAACCCCGCTTTTCCGCGGTCCAGAAAAAAGAAAAAAGCAACAAGCAGGGCTTTCCAGGCTCACCAGGTTCACTGCTATTTTCTCAACTATGGGGGGCGAAGACAGCGGCACTAGACTGGGATCCCCCCATGCAGCCCATGTCGCGTCCGCAGCTGTATTTGGCTTTTGGCAAATTGCGACGCCAAAGAGACCGGAGAGTGGCAGGAACCACTAGCAAGCCACCAAAACATCCCGACCAACGCAACCTGTCGTCTCACAGCAACATGCCAGAATGTCTAGCACCTCCGGCCGTAGTAGCCTTTCTGGCCATCCCTCAGCCGAGATGCCACCAAACGCGGCACACCAGGACGCTGCAGACACAGAAGGAGAGCAAGAGCAAGAGAGCATTGGGCGCTAGGAACCAACAGCCACTAGCTAGGACCGCCCGCCCTCCTATGGCCAGGGGACAGGTAGCGCCGCCAGGAAAGTCAGGGAACGGCCTCCGCCCTTGTCAATTTACCTGACCTGGCGGATCTCGTATCTCGCGCTACGACTCACCTGCCTTTATAACCATCGGCATCGCCCAGATCGCGCGCGCCCCCCCCTCCCCTCTACCCCCGGCTAGCTGATCTCTCCATTCTGGTTCGCCGCGCGTCGTCATATCTTGCCAGGGACCCATCCACCACCATCACCGGACCATCGAGCTGCCCACCAGTTTTTCGCTTAAAAACATCGTCATCGTGCTCTTCTTTTGGTAATTTTACTGACTTACTTCCCCTTTCCCACTCTATAGTTTGTTGTCGACAACAACTGGATCACAGACCACACCGCACCTCAAGAACCCGACCACGAGGGCAACGTAAACAACTTCCTCACCCCCGACGAGATTGTCAAGGAGGACACTTCTGCCGCAGTCATGAACACCGTCACCCCAGAATCTACTACCGCCGCCCTGGCCAAGGATGTGCCCCTCGAGAAGGCGGACGATCTCCCCAAGGCCACCCCCTCCGATATCCCCGGTGGTTTCCCCATGACCCCCGCCAACGAGCTCGAGCAGTCCTTGGGCGTCAACCCTCTCCCCGCACAAGATGTCACCGCTGAGCCCGTGACCCTCGCCCCCGGCGAACCTATTCCCCCGTCTGTCAAGGCTGGTGACATCAATGAGCAGGTCAAGCTTGACAAGGAGTCCTACGAGGACTCTAGCGCTCTGCCCGGCCTGTCCAAGGAGGAGACCACCCTCCCCGCCGTCACCAGCAATACCATCCCCGAGTCCAGCTTGCCCATTGCGCCCGCGGATGTCATCATCAACAGCGCTGCTCCTACTTCCACCACTGCCGCTCTGGCCGCCGAGGTCCCTATCGAGACCAAGACGGCAGAGGTTCCCGAGATCGTCAAGGAGAGCCAGGAGAAGGCTCATGCCGAGCCCGAGGCTAGCGCGAACCCCGAGGCCGTCGAGGAGAAGGCCGCCGTCGAGGATGAGCTTCTCGACAAGGTCCCTGCTGCCCCCTCAACATCCGAGGGCACCTCCGGCTTTGGCACCCAGAAGACCGAGGCTGCCGGCACTGTGATTGCCACCGCTGCGACCGCTGCTGGTATTGCCACTGCCGCGGCTATTAACGCCAAGGACAGCGTTGTTGAGGCCGTTGCCCCCGCCGCCGTCAAGGCAAAGGACAGCGTTGTTGAGGCTACTGCCCCCGCCGTCAACCAGGCCTCTGTTGCCGCTACCGAAGCTGCCGCCCAGCTTCCCGAGCCTGTCAAGGAGAGCCTGCCCGTGAGCGTCCAGGAGGCCATTGGTGGTCAGACTAAGGAGGAGACCCGCGAGGAGGTTGCTCCCGAGGTGCCCACCGTCGTCAAGGAGGCTATCGTCGAGTCTGGCCAAAGCCCCGAGGCCGCCGCCAATACCGAGGCTGTCATCGAGAAGAAGGAGGTTGAGGCTGAGCTCCTCAAGGAGGTCAAGACCGCCCCCGCTGTCAACGAGGAAGCCGAGAAGGCCAAGGTAGAGGCTGAGGAGCCCAAGGTTGAGGCCGCCAAGGAAGAGGTCGAGGCCACCAAGGAGGAGGTTAAGGACGCCGTCACCAAAGACGAGCCCAAGGAGGTCAACGGTGCTCGCCCCGTCGATGCCCCCACCACTGCGCCCGCCAACGGTACCAACGGCACCGCTCCCGCGGCCACCAAGGAGCCCGAAGCTCCCACAACACCTGCCAAGGCTCCTTCCTCCGTTCCCGAGTCGACGGCACCAAGCCACAGCAAGGCGGTCGAGAGCCCGTCGGGCGCCGAGAAGAAGAAGAAGAACCGTATCAGTGCCTTTATTGGCAAGCTCAAGAGCAAGGTGCACAACAAGTCAGCGGCTAAATAATGATGACGGTCGCCGTTAGGATGCGTGCGGATGGGAGGCTCCGTCTTTCACCTCGGTTCTCATGGTTTTTCTTGTCACGGTGCTGCGTATTTGGGTTGTTTGTCGTTTCTATGATTCCCCTGGTCCACTTTGCATTTGCAAGAGCTCAAGAGGCAGAATGAGGCATGGCAGCTGTATGTCGACGACGTTGGAAGCACGGCCATTTCTCTTGGGCCAATTAAAATTAATCGAGGATGATGTGCGCTGCTGCCTCTGTTCGGGTTCTGCTCCTTTTTTCCTCTTCTTGATTTTCGTGGTACTTCGCGGCTCATCTACATCGGACTGTCATGTACCATAATACCTCCTCGGAGTCTAATTTGCGTATGATGAATTGAGCCTATATAATGAATGAGTGGTGTTTGCTGGTGATGGCGATACTAGCATTGTGATCTGGAGTATTGCACTGGTAAGGCCATGGTAGAAATGTTATGACTGGATCTAGAAGCGCAATTGAAAACGTATTACCATCAATTACGCAAGCGCAGTCAATTCATTGATCTCGTCAATGTTATGCAAGTCGCAGCATGTTGTCGGCGTTTTACGCAACCACAGACCAGGAAGGAGGTCTCGTCACGTGACGCTATGATCCAATGCTCGATCGGGTACGTACCCGCCGGATGCCGAGCTTTCCCTCAGAGTTCGTTACGGCAACCTCGATTTGCCCCGCCGCCAATGACTCTACGTAGTGCGGCTGGTGCTGCATCCTCTCGACGTCCGGTTACCTGATCCCCACTACCTATCATTCATGGGGTCCGTCCACTTTGGACCCCCGTCTTGTTCTACAAACAGCTTCTTCTTTCATCTACTCTCACCACCTCGGCCGAGGAGCATAGCTCTCGGTAGTCTCAATCTTTAGATAAATCTCTTCTCGTTCGGATTTCTGGATCAAGCGGCTGTGCCTGCTAGCTCCCGGCTCGCTATTGCCTCCCTCCCTCCCCCCCTCCCTCCTCCTCCCTCCCCTTGCCTCGCGCAGACTGCATCACGACATTGACCTGGGAGGCGACCCAGTCGACAATAGCTTCCACCAGCAGGAAGACGATCGTGAATCGTTCTGTTCTGACCTACGGGTAGCCGAATATGAGCTCGACACCGTCTAATCTGGGCAAGTCCCTTTCAGCATCGACTTCCCATTCGCCTTCGGTTCAACCCGGCCCCGTAACCACGAGCTTCGAATCCAACCGCCGACCTTCCCAAGCCAGTCCTTCACTTCCTCACGCCACACCACGAAAGGGCCAGGGCTCCCGCAAACAACACAAGATGCAGCGGCGACCGGGCTTGGGTGATTTTAGACAACACTCGAACCCGGACGACGACGACGCCATGGCTGAGGCAAGAGCCCTGCGGAATGCCTCCAGTCGACGAGGCCAGACCTCCATCACACACCTGCTCAACTACAGTCTGCCACCGCGAGCCTACGCCGACCACAACTCGTATGCCAGAAACTACAGGCGGAACCCGACGTGGGGCCCCGGCTCGGGCCACCATGCTGTGGACAAGGCGAGATACGTCCATGCGAACTACAGATTCGTCGTGTCGCCCGAAGGCAACTATGCCAGCCAGGCGGCCGATGCTGACGTGCACATCGACTGGAGCAACGTTTTGCAGATCCTGGCCTCTTCGGAGTCGCAGGGGGCCAGTTGCCCGATCTGCCTGTCGGAGCCGGTAGCGCCGAGGATGGCAAAGTGCGGACACATCTTCTGTCTGCCCTGTCTGATTCGGTTCATGAACTCTACGGACGAGGACTCGAAGCCTGGAAAGGGCGCGAGATGGAAGAAATGCCCCCTCTGCGAGGACAGCGTTTACCTACACGAGACACGGCCCGTGCGGTTCTATGCGGGACAGGAGAGCCCCCTACCTCGCGTCGGGGACGACGTGGTGCTCCGGCTGATGGCCCGGACAGCCAAGTCGACTCTCGCGTTGCCGTGGGAGAATGGCTCGGATGCGCTCAATGTGGCGGATGATGTGCCTTGGCACTTTGCGGCGAATGTATTGGACTATGCCAGGATTATGAAGGGAACCGGAGACTACATGGCGGAGCAATACAATGAGGAAATCGAGGCGCTGCAGAAGCAGGGAACAGAGGACCAGCTTTTGTACCACGAGGACGACGAATGGACACAGAAGGCTATACGGGCCATCAATGCAGCCAAGGAGAAGGTCCAAGACCTGGGCAAGAACGACTCGATGCTGCCGAACAAGAAGCCAGGCCAGAGCAAGACCGTCCAGCCCGACTTCTACTTCTACTCATCACAACCGCATCTCTACCTCTCGGCTCTCGATATCAGGATCCTCAAGACCAAGTACGGCGACTTTTCGGCATTCCCGACGACGTTGTTGCCCCGTGTTGAGCACATATCGACCGGGCACGTGTTGGATGAAGTGCAACGGAAGCGAGCCAAGTACTTGGGTCATCTCCCCTACGGATGTCGTATCAGTTTCCTTGAATGCGATTGGACAGACATCGTGCCGGCAGAGGTCCTCGAAAAGTTTGCCGACGAAATCGGCCGGCGGAGGAAGCGGAATCGCGACAAGGCCGTACAGGAGGAACGCGAGAGGCTTCAGTCCGAAAGGATTGAAGCTGCCCAATTCAAGAGCACCGCGGCCATGAGGCGCGAGTATGGCCCCATCGACGAAGAGCACGTCCCCGCGTTGAACCTGGAAGAATTCCAGCCCCTCACCAGCCATGCCGGCGCCACGCCGCCGGATCCTCGTCCGGGTTTCGAGCACCTGGCATCCATCTCGACAAGCCCGTCCACACAAAAGACCGTGTGGGGCACGCATGTTGTGCATGGGTCGCCGGATCTTGCCCCGGCTCCCCTTCGCCAAGTTGACGATGGGTGGTTGAAGGAGGAAGACTTTCTTGACGCCGCCGAGCTGTCTTTCCAGATGGAGGCACTCGGTGTGGCCGAGCCGGGACCTTCGAGCAGCAGTACCCCCGTAGGGATAGGTGCCGGTGGCGGTAGCGGCAGTGGTGCTGGCGGTGGCAAGGGAAAAAAGAAGAAGCAGAAGATCACACTGATGAGCACCGGTGGGCGTAGACAGGGATAGGCAGGCTAAGGTGCCTGGGCGCGATGGCGAGCGAATGACGTATGGGTGCTCGCAAGCGTTTGGGAGAGGAAGCGAGAGACTCTGATTTTCAGCGAGGTAGAGTCGGGGGCCTAGGAGACAGTCAGGGGAGAGAGTGTGGGAAACAGAGTTTGTTATAACTGCTTCGATCAGACCAAACCAAAGAAGAATAAATCAAGAAGGAGTTTGTTTATACATCTAGCCATCCTTTCAGGGGGAAAGGGGGGAAAGGAAAGGGGTTGGTTTCGGTAACAGGCTGCTGTTTATTTTCATTTTATTTTTATTTTTCTATTTTTACACGCAGGATATATCAGAAGCATCTAGAGATGCGCAACAAGAAGTGTTAAAGTCGGTAGACCCGTCCCCGGTTGTACGGTGTGTGTGTATGATGAAGGGAGGGGGTTGGGTGTGTGCAAGGCCCGTCGTATCTGGTTTGAGGCAGGCGAGAGAGATCTTGGGTCCGGCGGGCTCCGGGGGGTGCGTGCGGTGCAATGTTCTTCGGACGCTCGGAGGGGGGGCGTATCGTACTCCGGGGATCAGGATCCCGAGAGCGACTCGGTTTGTGATCCGGCGTCATCGGCCTATGTCCTAGGTTCCCTTTTTCGCACTCGGCCGGTGAGAGGGGGGGGGGGTCGTTGGAAGTCGGCGATCGTGAGCCTCTCCTCCCCACACCTTTTCCCCGTGAAGACGAGATGCATTTTTGAGAGAGAGAGAGAAAGAGAGGCATATCTGGCAGTTTCGCGTCTCCCCCCCCCTCCCTCCAACCGCCAATCGCCGCCCGAACGTCCCCCTCGCCGAATAAGAAAGGCATGCCGAACGTTTCGCGGACCCCGTGCGACGTAGACGAGACGCGGCAGAGGACCAAAAAGGATGTATTGCTCGCTCGCACTCACTCACACATACACACACTCGGAGAGTGCGTGAGAGAGAGAAAGACTACGCTGACGCCCCCGCGAGTGGAAGTACACCGGCATCCCCCTCCTCTAGAAACTGAACCGTACACCACACACATGTACACACACACATGTACACACACAAATGTACACACACACAAGAACACGACACCGCATGGGCTCCGGGCCCGTCATCGACGCATACCATACACAAACACACATAACCCACAGGAAACCCAGGAGACATACGCGCTTAATCTGAACATTATCGATTCAAAAAGTTATGGTGATGGGAGGAGAAGGAGGATGTAAATAGGCCGTCGTAGCAAGAAAAAAGACCAGCTAACGAAGCTAAGTGGGAAGGGGTGTTACTGGGATGAGCAGGTGCTTGGTGTTGTTTTTTTTGTTTTTTGCCCCCTTTTGCGGACTCCAAAACAACAGACCACACTCGACAAACCCGTAATACCACGACCCAAAGAAGAAGAAGAAGAAAAAGACAGAAGGGGAAAAAAAAAAAGGTCCAACCGACAGGGGGAATACAAAAGTAGGACATGGTGAAAACAAAAAACGCCACACCTCGAGTCGTCCCGCCTCTCTATTCTCCATCTTTGTATCGGCCCCAGACGGTCGTACAGAGAGAGGGTGCAAAGCCAAAGCCCCCCTTTGTTCCAATCATGAGAACTGAGGCAGGGAAAACAAAATGCTCAGAAAACAGGGAGACCCGTGGACGCCAGTTCGTTACGTCAATGCTTCTTTCTTTTCCTCCCCTCTTGCTATCTCTCTCAATCACCCACTCTCTCCGCCTTTGGAATGCCATGTCCGTTCATCGTTGGGTTTCGTTCCGTTCGTCGTAGTAGTAAATGTTAGATAAAGAAAAAAGTGTAAAGCTTCAATTCATTGCGGATTAGGTAGGACTTAGTCCCCCCGTCCGCGGTAGTTGCCCATCTTCTCAATGGAGCTCATGATACCGCTCCGCGGACCGAACTCGCTCATCGGCCGCGGTCTCGGCAGGCCCTTGGTCAAGGGGCCGCTGCTGCTCGTGCGCTCGTGTACCGACCCGCGGGCGGCGATGGACCCGGGCGCCTTAAGGCCCGAGCCGCGACCGATGCTGCTGCGGAAGTTGTTCTCCGTGTGGCTCCTAGCCGGAGGGCCAGGCGTCCGCGAGGCGATGGACGTCGGCGCGGGCTTGGGTATCGGCGCGGGCGCCGGCGTCGGGGGGAGCGTCTGCATCGACATCATCTCCTCGGCGAGCTGCACCAGCTCGCCCTTCTCGACACGCTCCTGAGCAAGCAGGTCGCGGAGCTCCGCGTTGTCCCTCTTGACCGACATGACGACGGCCTCGAGCCTCTCGACGTCGGCGCTGAGCTCCTTGATGTGGGCCGAGTCCCGGACGGCTTGGGCCTTGAACTCCTGCTCGGCGGCGACCTGCGCGGGGTCGATCCGGGTGATGGTGTTGTCGCGGCGGAGCTTCTCGTTCTCCTCCATGAGCTCCTGGATCCTCTCCTCCAGGTCGTGTACCTTCTTCTCCCAGCGGGTCTCGTAGCTCTTCTTGAGCGCGGCAACTTTGGTCTCGTGCTTGCCCTTGTAGAGCGCGTGCAGCTCGCGGGCCACGCGCTCGACGGCAATCTCGACCTCCTTGGAGGTCGCGGCCGCGCCCCTATTAGGCGAGGAGGAGGGTTTGTCATCTCCGACGGACTTGCCGGCGCGGAAGCTGGCCAGCTTGCTCTCGGCCTCTTGAGCCATGGTCTCGGCGGCCTCGCGTCGTCCTTCGCACTCGGCAAGCTTGGACTCGAGCTCCTCGCGCTCGCGGTTGGTGTGGGTGATCTCCTCCTTGACGCTGCGGAGGACCTTTTCCATCTCGCGGCTGCTCTTCTCCCACATCTCCTTCTCCTCGTCGGCCTGCTCTCGCAGCGTCCGCTCCTCGCGGGCCTGCTCCAAGCTCTCGCCGACGCGCTTTTCCGCATCGCCGACGGCCGTCTTGAGGGAGAGGACCTCGGCCTCCTTGCCGCTCAGAGACGCCTTTAAGCTGCTGATCTCGGACAGGAAATTGGACTTGAGACTTTCGAGCTCCCTGGGCGTGATGGTGGGGATGCTGCGGGGGGTGGGCAGGGGCGGGATGTCAAAGTCGAGCAGGTTCGACATTTGGCGAGCGGGGGTAGCGTTAGGGTTCGCCCTGGACGGTGATGCGTTGTCCCGCCTGGCGGGCGACTTGTGCGGAAAACGCTGGCTAGCCGTGAAATCCAAAAGGTTGGTCGTGTTCCCATCAGAATCGGAGTGCTGCCGCGGAGTGTGCTCGTGCACAGTCTCCGGCCTCCCCCGCGGGGTCATGCCGCCCATGCTCGCGTGTTTCGACGGCGTCTGGCCGAGCTTCGAGAACATGGTCAGGTTGGGCACAGCGGAGAAGGCGCTGAAGGTGCTCATCATGGACTCGTCGGGATGGGCCAGGCTGCTCTGGTCCTCGTAGCCGTTGCCCATCTCGAGGTGGTACTGGTGGTCGCCCTCGCCGGCGCTTACCGTGCTCGCGTCACCAATTGTCTCATCGTTGTCCAGCTCTGTGTCGTCGTCCTCAAAGATCTGGATCGCGTGCTTCAGGCCCTCGTTGTTATGCATCACGTCGTCTAGGCTCGCGGTGCGCTCGCGAGAGGGGGTAGGGGAGACGTTCCGCTGGGCTGAGTCGACGGACGGGTTGCTGATCCTGACCGGGAAGCGTTTGACTTTGTCCGGGGAAATTAATGTCTTGCGCAGTGGGCTCCGCGCTTGTTTCTCCGATGTCTCAGAGCCGGCGAGGATTTTAAGCGGTGAAGGTGCGGTGCCAGACATTACGCGAGAATGACGCTGGGGCTTGATCGCCGTCGCGGGCGCGGAGGGCGGCGGCGACGGCGAGGATTCCGAGGGAGGAGACGGCGGCATGTTCTCCAGTCCTCGGGTGCTGCTGTCGTTTAGAGAGAGCGAAGAGGGAGCGGTGCTTGTGGTTGTGGTTGTGGTGGTAGTCGAGGGGCTGTCGCTTCCGCTATCATTACCGTCGCTCGTGGTTGTCTCAGTACGGGTGTGGACCTCGTAGTGCTCAAAGAAGCCGCGGTTCGTTGCCTCAGTCAGGGTCGTTTCGATGTTCAGTCTAGATTCGTTTGTTGGAGACAGGGGCGTCATTGTGCGCAGGCTCGCCAAAGATAGCTAGAAGGAATTCGTGTAGGTTTTGCAAGCGTTGGGAAGCGCGGGAGACTAAAAGACAAAGTCGTCAACTAGGTAATTGATATTTCGACGGGATGCCGACCACAAACCCATTTCGGGGCTCGCTTGTGAGATGAAGGGGGTGGTGGGTGGGAAGGTGGGAAGGGGGCCACGCTTGTTTGCAGTTGACAGAGCAACCACTACCGAAAGCATGCACGCCTGCCCTGCCCGACAAGACAAAGGGGGTGTGGGGCTCCACCTGATGGTCGCTACAGCAAACACATGCTCGCTCACCTGCTGCTTCACCTGCGTCACCGAGAGGAGAGCTCGGTGAGGCTCGCTTCCAGAGTCATTTGTAGGAGCCAAGGCATGCCCGCCGACGCGGAGGGAATCCTTCTGTATTTCAAGCTGATCCGACCGACCGGCGCCAGGAATGTCCCATTGCACCCGAGCTCTTTGTTTCTTGCTTGCAGCCACCGAATATGCCCCCCAGCATCTGATGTTTAGGCTCTCCCAGTGAGCTTCAAGGAAGAAGGGCATTGACTCCGGGCCGCGTTTGATCTTCTTGAACGCATATAAAGGAGAGAATGTGGCAACCAACCAGAGAGGCAACGGAATGCAACGCACAGCATGATGAAGGCTAGTTTCCCACGCAGTCCCAGATGGAAACAGCCATCACAATTGCTTCCTCGCCTCCACCTTCTCCTCATCCTCGCCCCATCGACGAGGCATGGTGGTCCAATACTCTCCGAGTCGCGATTCAACCGCTTCCAACCACGTTCCCACAGGAACCGGCATCGGACGATAATAACCCCCTCGCCTCCCGGATCGAGGGTAGCATTACGCCAGCTGCATATTCACCATCGGCCCTTAACGTTATATGTGTGTGGTCTGTGCATTCAACGTTCAATCACCGAGCGTGGACTGACCAGCACAGCACTCTCTGCCTCGGAAAAGACCTGCATCCAGACGAACCACATCGCCCACCGAGCTACTTTAGCAAGGCCGATCCCTCTCGAGGTCGCACACAACGAAAGCAACTCGGTTAGCAAAACAAAGTATAGGTATCATGCCCAATACTCAACACAGTAAAGGTTTCTAAATCGATGAATAGAAACGCAGTACCGTGCATTGTCGTAACTAAACCTCCCTATTAAACAAGGCTGGCGGAGATTTCGGGCATGACTCTCCTAATTGCTACGCCTAGTGCTCTATATCTGTTGCAACCACATCGACCACTCTGACGTGTGCTCTCTCAATTCCTGTATTAAAAAAATTGAAAAAGAAAGAAAGAAAGAAAGAAAGAAACCCCCCGGGGTGCGTGGGGTATGCAATTTGCGTCGTGCCCGCTAGCGCAGGCTGCGGGAAAGTCTCGACGGCCGTCGGCGAGTCAGAGCCCCATGTGGTCCCTGCATAAGCCGCCCGACCTCTCTTTTTCATTTTTCCCCATCTTTTGGGTGGTTTTGGGACAGCATCACAATTGCGCGCTATCATGGAAAGCGAAAAAAATTGGTATTGAAGGATCCCAAAAAGTCAAGATGCAAACTTTTGTCCAAGCCCAGATCCCCTCGAATCCGGTCATATAAAGTACAAAAGTCCCCCGTCCCCGGTACAGTGGTTAGGAAATGGCCCAATCCCGAGTATATGTTTTTCATCATCTTCTCCCAAAGCCAAAAAATACAATACCGAACCGTTTACTTCTGGTTCTCGGGGCGCAGAGAGCTGTGGAAACAATTACGTTAGCTAATGGTGACCTCAAGGCGTGTGGGGGTGGGTCGGGGTATGTCAACGTACCGGACGGCTCTGCCGGCTCTCCAGATCTCCAGGTTGCGGATCTCCTCCATCTCGGCCTCGAACTTCTGGCGGTAGTCCTTCTGGCCGTTGTACTCGAGGGAGCGCTTGGTCTCGGAACCGTCCTTGACAGCGTCGTAGAGGCTGTTGAAGACGGGCTTCAGGGCGTCCTTGAACTTGGGGGTCCAGTCGATGGCACCGCGGCGGGCGGTGGTGGAGCAGGCCTCGTACATCCAGTCCATGCCGTTGGCACCGATCAGGGGGTACAGGGACTGGGTGGCCTCCTCGACGGTCTCGTTGAAGGCCTCGCTGGGGGAGTGGCCGCGCTCGCGGAGGACCTCGTACTGGGCGAGGAACATGCCGTGGATACCGCCCATGAGGCAGCCACGTTCGCCGTAGAGGTCAGAGTAGACCTCCTTCTCAAAGGTCGTCTCGTAGAGGTAGCCGGAGCCGATGGCGACACCGAGGGCCTGGGCCTTCTCCTTGGCCTTACCAGTGACGTCCTGGTAGACGGCGAAGGAGGAGTTGATGCCACGGCCCTCGCGGAAGAGGGAGCGGACGGTGCGGCCAGAGCCCTTGGGAGCGACGAGGATGACGTCAATGTCCGTGGGGACGTCGACCTTGGTGACGTCCTTGAAGACGGGGGAGAAGCCGTGGGAGAAGTAGAGTGTCTTGGAGAGGAAGAGTTAGTTTGAGCCAATTGACCCCGTCAGTTACTCAGGGAATCACTCACCTTGCCCTTGACGAGCTGGGGCTTGATGGCGGGCCAGGTCTCGCTCTGAGCGGCGTCGGAGAGGAGGTTCATGACGATGGTACCGCGGGAGATGGCCTCATCAACGTCGAAGAGGTTCTTGCCCTCGACCCAGCCATCCTGCAGAGCGTCCTTCCAGGACTGACCGTTCTTACGGACACCAACGATGACGTTCAGGCCGTTGTCACGGAGGTTCAGGCCCTGGCCGTGACCCTGAGAGCCGTAGCCGATGAGGGCGAGAGTGTCGTTCTTGAAGTACTCCTACAGATGGTTGTCAGCTCCAACTGGCCCCTTTCCACGCAAGTGGTTTTTGAGGTAATTGTGACTCACCAAGAGCTTCTCCTGGGGCCAATCGGCACGCTCTGCGGACGTCAACGTTAGCAGATTGCTCTCCGTGTTTCTCACGAGTCATTCCGGTAGGGCCGACTCGTCAGCTCGTCGTCTTCTTACCATAGACAACCTCCTTGTGGCCAGCAAAGTCCATGGTCTTGACACCGCGAGCCTGCTGCTGAGCAGGGGCGGCGAAGGCCTTGTTAACCTGGGCAGAGGCGCGGACGAGGTTGCGGGCAGCAACGAAGGTGCGCTGCTGGGTAGCAGGCTTGGCCGCCAACTGGCGAGCCATTGGCGAGCGAAGCGCCTTGGAGAAGCTGCGTGAGGCCATCTTGACTGTGTGTTCTTTGGGGAGGGGGATGAGGAGAGTGGAGAGGGAATCCGTGTGTGAGGAAAGAAGGGAGAGATGATGAAGGATAGAGTTTCCACGACGAAAAAAGGCGTTTGGAATTGGGAAATTTTTTACTGGCGTAGAGACGGGCAAGCTGGCCCCCGACTTCGGCCCAGCTTGCTTTCGTCGGTGGGTTAACCTGCGTGCGTTTGACGGCCTGGTCTGTGCCAATTGGTGGGGAAGCCTTCTTCTGCGTCCGGGGTTCGGTAGGGGGGCTGCCTTCCAAGTGCTCCCCGAGGTGCGCCAAGTCGGAGAGGGGGGAAGGGGGAGGATGGAGGAGAGCGGGTACTGGGGACTTTGGAGACGGCATGGGCTTAGCTGGGCCCAAGGGGTCACCTCTACTTGCGCCGGTTCCTATTTGACAGCGACCTTACCTAAGAAACTCGTGGAGAGCAATCAGCGCTATTGCTGGCGAGGCGGGTGCGCAACGTACAGACATTGTGGGGCAAGATGAGGGGGCCCACCCGGACCGACATCGTAGCCCACTTTCCAGCAAGGAGTCACACATAACTGGGCCGCAGGTGGAATCTCACCGACAACTGAGGCGCCGGCTGCGGCCGTTGAGCTTCACCTGCGGTCTCTCCTCTAGGGGTCCTGACCGGCCACCGGCGCTGTTATGACTCCTCCGTCGAGAAGCTGGGACTCCTTTCTCTTGCTTCGAAGGGCTGATGGATCGGCCCGTTGATTGGCTTTATTGTGATGTTTGCTAGACAGATGCTTTGACGAGGGTAACACAGCAACGCTATTTGCATTCCCTAAGGATCTACTACTACCTCTCTTGAAGCTCTCTGTCCAACTCGTTCGACAGCCACGTGTAGCTCGCTGTCCCTACTCTCCTCCTGTTCGCCAAACCCTTGAATCAAACACACACGTCTCTCTCAAGTATTCCCCCCTCTGCCTAGGCTCAATGTCTCACCAGCTACTTGTCATCTTCGTAATTTGATATCATGCCTCTCCCAAACGCCGGACGATGATGCTTGCTTTTATGCCCACCGACCTTCGAGAAGCGCATTTCCACTGCACCTTTTGTCACCACAACTGCCCTGCCTGTTTGTCCGTCCATGGTATCAAGGTGGTTTTCGGGTCTCCTGTCTGATCCCAACGAGATCGTGTCGTCCGCAAAACCCACAAGGGGAGTGATGACGGACAACTGAAAGACCGCCGGCGACCTTATTTCAGCACACGATCGTAGCTCTGTCCCTTGACGGAGCCGCCGCCCATCGCGGTCCGAACGTTCCGCTTGAACCCTTCTCGGTTGAGTCGGAGGTCTTCGGCGGCCTCCTTGTTCAGGGGATCGGAGGCGTTGGGCTCGAGGAAGAGGAACTATGTGGAAGGGACCAGTTAGCCAGCGTCCTGCCCGCAGAGGTTCTCGGCAGCCATCAAAGCAAATCGAGAAATAAACGTACCTGGAGTCCGACAATGACCGCGTTCAAGTTGAGCACGGGCTTCCAGTCCTCGCGCAGGATATTTAGGCACACCTTGCCCTCGAGGTCGATGTTGGGATGGTAGATCTTCTCCTTGCACCTGACTTTTGGCGGCTCGTGGGGGAAGTTTTGGTTGATGTCGAACGTGAACGTGAAGCGTCCGGTCCGGTACATGCCCTCGTCGGGCTCGATCGTCAGCGTGAAGTGGAGGATGTCATCGGGGTCCGGAAATTCGGTCTTCATGGTCGAGCCAAGAGACAGCTCCGAAAGATCTGAAGCACATAACGGTCAGCGATGGGAGCTGCGGTTCTCCGGGCTTACTGAGGTCACCATACCTTTCTGCACCCGGAGCTGCGCGGCCGTCACCTTCTTCTTCTTGCCTCCCGCAGCATCGGCGTTTTCAGCCTTCTGCTGCTCCTTCTTCTATAGAGACATCAGCTCTGTGATTACTCAGGCAGGTCCGGCGCCCACGTACCATGGACCAAATCTTTAACATCTTGACCGATCTCTGGAGGGATGTCTGAGGAGGGGAAGGCTCTTGGTGGGGGGAGGCCGTTGTTCGGTGGGAAGAGTCTGCGTATGGTCTGAACTACGTAAGAGAGGCTATGCAACCTGAAAGAATGATGCAGGTCTCCTCAGAGGCGTCGCTTTCGCTCGAGTAAATCAGTCAGAAAAAGAGTTATCCCCGTTCGGAGCCTTGCGATCTTTGCCACGGCGGAAGGCAGGAGGAGCGGACCAACTGGGCACCAGTTAATGCGGTCACTTCCAGGTTGCGATAAGATAGGATCGGGTTTCGGTTTCCCCGAGAATCTACCGGCTGCCGTCAGTCGGGGATCTGGGACCTTAGGTTGGGACGGCCAGGGACGTCTGAGGGTACAGGGTCCACGAAGATAGTCTCGGAAGGAAAAGTGACAAAAAGTAACTCTCATGTATCGCTGGTCCAATTCCAAATCATAGGAAATGGGATTTTTATTTCTAGGAAGCTCCGTACACGCCGTTTGTCGCTCACTGCCTGCCTACCTGGAGACTCGAGGCGCCGCTTAGAAATGGTTTGTCAGGTTCCTCAAAGCAAGCACTGACTGCACAGAAAATACTAGACAGCAGTCTGGTTGGAATCGTTATTGTCCGGAAATAAACCTAAGGTATTGTACTCATGTGAGAAACGCCATGAATGCTGCTTAATCGAAACTACTTTTTACTCATCTTCCACCCAATTCATCAAGAATCTACTGAGTCCCGTGTCCTTGTTACCAAACACATACGCCAAAAGTGACCACCAGCGGATTGTTACAATGGGCCTAAACTGGCAAGAGTACAGTCTTCCCTCTGAAACACCTCCTGAAGGACGTTGGAAAGCGGGTCTGCCATCTGGATACAACAATTCCAAGCCCCTTACCGTCTGGCGAAGCAGCACATAATACCGGTTCTGCCCAAGAACCACAAGAATCCGAAGAAACGGATCAATGAGAGAATGGCAGTGGAGTACAGCAAGAAGCTGAAGTAAGACGCGGTACGCTTGGATGCGGTTTCCTGTGAACAGTTGTCAGCAAAATGCATGAATATCGCTGGGAGGGCGGGCAACTTACTCCGATGCCAAACGAGTTGAAGTTATCACTTGTGATGACAATGATCAAGAAGGTGTTGGAGAAGAGCCAAGACACGACCAGACCGGTACGGAAAGACTTGTAAGAATCCTCAATGTCGGGCTTTTCGACCTCCTCCACCACCTTGAAGGGCTCCAGAGCTCGCTTGACGGTCGACTCGAACTGACTGTCAATGTCCTCCTGCGGCTTGTCGATCTCTTCCACCACGGCCTCGTCCTTCTCACCCTTGCTGACGTGTGCGGAAGGTAGCGACTCAGTCTTGTCTGAACCCTTCGTACCCCAGGACACATCGTGCCAGTTGTTGAAGGCGTAGACCATGAGAATGTTGATGTAGGTCGACATGAGGACAAGGTAGTGAGGGAAGGAGGTAAACATGTGCCAAGGGTCGAGGTACATGAAGGAGGCGATAAAGTTCAGACCGTAGATGGTAACCAGTGCGACGAGAATTACACCGGCGGCGCTCGTGCCGCCGAAGAAACTACGGACAAAGTCTTCGCCGGAGTCGAGGTTGATCTGCTGGCTAAGGGGCGTCTGGAAAGCTTGAACGACCAAGTACATCGAGAGAATCAGGATGTAGGACTGGATGAGACCGAAGACGACGAAAGAGGCGATGTAGGTGTACTTGGAGCCCTTGGGTCTGTTACCCAAGGCCAAGATGAACTGCAGGATGACAAAGGCCAGGTAGAGGTACTTGAGCAGAGCGTTGAAAATGGGCGTCGCATTGTCGCCAAAAGGCCAGCCGTGACGAGCCAGGTTAGGATCCTGGGAAACGACCGCGTTACCGACGAGGTCCATGATAACGGTCGTGGTCAGGTAGTAAGAACCCAAACTGAACCATGTAAAGAGAACCTGGAGGATGTTGTAGACGAGCTGGATGTGGAAGAAGATCATGCGGACGAGGTTGTGGCCAGACTTGTACATGCGACCAAAGTGCATGAGCGAGTAGAGCGAGGCGGCGAAAGAACCGTTGAGCCAACGACGACGCTGGCTGATGAACTCTGCCGCACCCTCGGGAACGTCGGTCTCACCCTTGGCGGCCTTGATATAGGACAGGTGCCACTTCTGGCCAGCCTTGGCGACCAGCTCGAAGCAAAGAATACGATCCTCGGCCAAGAACATGTTCTTTTTGAAAATGTTCATTCCGTCGATGCCCTTCTTACCGAGAATCTTGGACAGAGTGTGGTCGCCGTGGAAGTACTGCTCGAGCGGACGGCCCATAATGGCGCGGAAGCGGTAGGCAGAGAAAGCACCGGGCAACACGGAGACGTAACCGAACGAACTCTCGAGGGGCTTGTCCAAGATGTTGGAGATCTTGTACTCAAAGTTCTGAACGGCGACGAGGGGGTTGAAAAGCTTCCTTCCGCCCTTGCCGAGCATTGCATGGATCTCACCGCAGGCACCACCGAGGTCCTTGTCGTTGTAGAAACCCTCCCAGAGCGCGAGCAGCGATCGAGGGCTGGGCTTGGTACCGGCATCGATGAGAATGCAGACCTCCGGGTTCAGGATGCGACCGAAGGCATTGAACAGCCATCTGTGGGAGTTGATCTTCTTGCTGTTCTTCTGCTTCAAGCAGAAAATGAACTGCACGGGGGGGAGGGTCGAGGGGCCGTCGTCGACGGGACGAATGAGCTGCTGGTTGGGCGTGACTGACAGTTGGGAGGTGTACTCGAAGATGTGGGCGACAGTCTCCTTGCCGTCGACGTCCTTCTTCACCACACCGTCCTGGTAGATACCGACAGTGGCCAGGACGTCCAAGACGTTCTTGTCGGTCTTTTCGATACCGTCGAAAACGAGACAGACGACAATCTTTTGCCAGGCGGGGCCACCCTTGTTCCAAAAAGTGGACTTCTTGAGGTTGACGATGTCGCGGATGTTTTGCATGACACCGTGAAGGGTTCTGGACAGCAGCACCTTGTCTTCGTTGTAGTAGGTGATGGCGATGAGCAGCTCAGTGTGTCTGTTATACATTCTGGGGCGCAGGTCGTAACCGTTCTTGAGGGTGAAGTCGTTGGGGTCGCAGGTGGCGGCCGTGTAGCGCATCTTCATAAACTCCTCGCTGCCGCCTTCGACGTCGCGGTACTTGGGCTGGACGGCGTTCTTGATGGCACTAGGAACGGGGTAATCGATGCTCAGGACGGAGCCCTGAGTAAGCTTGATCTTGCGGGTGGCATATCGCTTCAGACCGCCGCCACCTTGGTGGCCGGGTTGCTGTCTGCGGGTCCAGCTCTCGTCGGCATCGACGGTGGAAGCGGGTCGGCCGTATCCAAAGCCACCGTTGGCATCTGAGTCGAGCTCCTGGCTAAACCCGGAGGCGAAGGCCGTCTCGCCGGGAACTGGTGTCCGGGCACCGGCACCAGGTGCGTATGATTCTGTGAGACTGTATGTGGAAACAGGGCGGCCAGGGACCTCAGCGGGTCCGAGATGGCTCTCGTACGGGCCAGGTGCGTGAGGGTCTCTCAGCAAAGACTGGCCAGCATCGTCGACTCCCTCGTCCTGGGGCGGCAGGTGGTACTAAAAGGCGAGCAAGTCAACGACTGAAGAGCTTTTGGGTTGTTGGGGAAGGCTTTTTTCAAGCTTACTCTGCCAGTCCCAGCAGGGAGGTCCTGCATATTGTGGCCATCATAATCGTTCTCATGCCCCCCGCGGTAAGCCATGATTGCTGGAGGCAAGCTCGGGAGTAGCTAATGCTAATAGGAATACGAGGGACGGTGAGCGGGTTTGCCTGCTTCGCGAAAACCGGGATTAGGGGAGGCGACGCTGATTATATTAACGGTCAGAAGGGACTCGGGAAGGAGACCTAGGTTGAGTGGGTTAGGACTGCAAGAGATGGGGTTTGGCGCGAACAAAGGCGCTCGTAGGTTGGAGATGTGCAGGCCTGGAAAGCCACGACCCCGGTAATGAGTAGTGAAAGTGAAAGATGGAAGGGGGGGAGGGAAAAACAGAGATGTAACGGACGGAAGGCTGGGGAGGAGAAGGGGAGAGCGCGGCGATGCAGAACGGGGCAGCAAATGGTTAAAAAAGGGTCTTGCGGGCTGGCAGCTTTACGTGGTGGAAGCTGGCACCTGGCCTAGTGTGGGAGTGGGAGTGGGAGTGGGAGTGGGAGTGGGAACAGAGGCAGTGGGGGATGGCTGAGGAAGGACTGGAATAGCCCTGGAGTCATGCCAGCTGGACTGAGGGCATCCGTAGATCCGGTAAACACACTCACTAGATAGGTAGGTAGGTAGGTAGGTAAAGTGCGTAAATAGGTGGGCAGGGAAACAAATTCGACTGTGCCGTGAGCGAGGTAGGTAGTTTACTTACCGAGCAAGAAGCAGTAGTTGCTGTAGAGAAGACAGAAACAACAATAGCAGTGGGCGAGAGAGCGAGATTGGGAGAGTGTGAGAAGGTGAAAGGGGAAAAATACGAGAACAAGGAGTAGTCACTGGTGCATCGCCTTCCCCGGTTTGGATACTCGGGGACGAGACCAGCGTATGGGCGCGTGGTGCAGTGTGTGGATGTGTAGGTTGTTCTGCCGTTCCGTCTCCCGCCTGCAGCTCGAATAACTCGGTACGGAGAGAGGTATCTAGGTACTCTTGTGTGAGGTCACGAAAAAGCCAAGGTACATGTCCTTTGCTTGGCTGCAGAGTATGGAGCAAGGTACCTGGGTTTTTTCACTGGTTTTTTTTTTTTTTTTTTTTCCAAAACCCGGCCTCGTTAGCTCTTACCTCACGTCAACGGACTGGGGAAATCTGTGGCTTAGCGCTGCTTAGCCCAGGCATCGCGTCGCTGCACGATGAACAAATCACAATACAACCATCCTCCGTTTGTCTGTCGCTCGTAACTTTACAGTACAGTACGGCCAGGGTTTCCGGTCGAGTCTAGCCCACCCGTTTTTGCTGTGTGCGGTTTGCATCGAGGGTACCTCCATGCTTTTCTCCCCCCTTTCACGTTCTTCTCATCGGGGTTTTTATTGCCCTACCTCGAGTCTGTGCATCGCACTCCGTCCCTTCTTAAGGCATATGCCAGACATCATTTTGGATTATTAGACTGGCTGTGACTGAATACCTAGGACTAGGATGGCTGGCTCACTGATCCCGTCTCGTCCCCAAGCCAGCAAGTGGTCTTGTCTCCTGAGGGGGCACACCCCCTTTGTACAGGTACCAGCCTTTGCCGTGAACCGTCGCCAACCCTGTCCCTCGGCCGTCTTTTCTGTTTGTTGCTAGCCAACCATTAGCAATGCAGCAGAAAAGCAAGACAGCCACCGCGTAAAGGCTCATCGCGAGCTGGTCCAGTAACCAACCAGTCGGACACGAAAAAGGGTCGCATTCGAGAAAGATAAAAACCGGGACTCGTACCAACTACGTCACGCTCCCCCCCCCCCCTTTCAGGGCATCAAGCTGGCTAGCCGAAACCCTGGTTATTGCTCTCTTGGCCTTGCATCCTGTCTACCCCTTGGCCTTGCACCCTGGACTGCTCCGTGCGGATACTGCCTGCCAACAATGCTGCTGCTTTCTTTGAAGTACGGGTAATCGACTTGTTTTTGTACGACCACAGCCACTCTCGCCGCCGGCAAGAAAAAGGAGAAAGCAAGGCCAAAACGACACCAAACCCTTGCCGGCGGCTGTTGTGCCACAACCATATCAGCCATCATCCTTAGCTCCCACCAGGAAGCTGAACGAATTGCGCAGCGGGAAAGAACAGCAACAGTGTGGCTTGTGCTCGTCAGACTGTTGCCCAGGCCCCGGTCTGGCTGTCCCTCGCCCTCGCCATCCCCCTCCGGGCCCTCCCCCTCCATCCATCCCATCTTTTGTTTTCAGACTCAACGCATTGCAGATGGGCCGGCAGGCACGCTCTGGGAAGAGCATGGAAAGAGAGATGCGCACAGCATGCGCAGGGTATCCATATGTTGCGTGTAGGTACATGCAGTACCATGTCAGCACCCAGCCGAGGGCTAACGGGAGACGGAACTCAGCAGGCTGACTTTTAACCTAGGTAGGTACTCTTCCGTCGAGGGGTCCGTCCCTGAGGAACCGTCGACGCGCCAAAGAAGAAAAGGAGCCAAATTGGAAGGAGACCCAGAGCCGGACAGCAAAGGGCCAGCCACGAGACGCCAGAAGCAGAGACAGCTGCAAACCCTGAATAAGGCGGCGACAGTCGACCAACGGGCATTGGCGGCTTTGTCTTGTTAGCGGGACCACCACCGCCTGTATTGTACCATGTACTACGTACCGTACCACCATCCGCATACAGTTTATGTGAGACGCGTGTACATGCTAACGCTCCACTCGTTGGCTGGGATCCTGCGGCTTCCACGAACATTCTGAAACGGGATCCCTCCTGGAGTCCTCCGCCCCTTTGCAGCTGAGTGCCGTACCTACCGGTACTCTGCTCTGCCAACGGACCGCCTTTTTTCTTCGCCTCGCCTCCAGCCGGCACTACGGATTCACGCATCACTATTTTGACAAGCCATGTACCCCTGCTTCGCATCTCCGTTCTGGAACTGCAGATCTCGAGGAGGGAGTCACCGTTTTCTGCCCATCTGCTTGTCTCGTTTCCACCACCATCACGGCCCAAGATTCCGAATTCGTCCGTCGTTATGCTATGTTCTGATGCTTCGGTTTCGCTGCGTCCTCCGGGCAACAGTCGATAGAAGGTCGGAATTCCACCCAAGGTTTCATGCGTACGTAACTCCCAACCAGTACTTCTTCTACCTGCATTCCGTTTGATGGTCGTTTCCTACCCCCTCGGATACGGGGATCTGTCAGGAGAACACAAGGCCCAAAAATAGTAAGATTGGGTTGGGGCTGATCGACTGGGGGGCTGAGGCGATGCACCCGCCCCACCCACGCCCTGCATCGCATCGCGGAACACTACGGGTGTCTTTGGTGGGAAACCGGCACAATTGGCGGTGGGCGGAATGGATGGATGCACCATCAAACCATCCAACTCCTTCTGGGCGGCTAGCACGCCGCTACCTATCCGACAAAGGGAACCCGCCACTTCCCAGCCGCTCCCAGATATCAATGCTCTACGCTTGCCAACGCAGACTCAGCTATCATCAGCCTCAACGCGGTTCCTGAAAGCTTGCGCAAACTATATGCACACTTGTGGCCCAAGAGCGTGCCACCTTGCATGGTGGCTCGCGTTGCACCATCTGCCACCTCGACGCTTGCTTTGCAGACATGCCCTGAGGTGTGGTAGCCGGGCCATACCTACCTCTACACGCGGATTTCCTTTAAGGGTCTGACATCCACGGCCCGGGTCCAGTTCGGTCGGTTACTTTCCCGACTGCGGACATGAGATGAAGGCTTTCAGCCCTAAGGGCCATCAGAAAGGAGGCCTCGACCGCGTTCGTCTCCCACGGTTCTTCATAATGACACCCACACACACGCACACAAATATTCGGACCGGCAAAAACAACCGCCAGTGTCTTGCGCCTGCGGCGCATTCCGGTTCAAGCCCCGGCTCTCGGCTCCGTGTGCTGCAGCCCTTCCTTGGCCGAGCAAGTTATCGGCGATGCCGTCGCGGTGTTGTGGCTGGGGGTATTCACCACGACGGCACTCGTCGGTAGAAGCATGTCGCTTCCCACTACATGCACCTCAGTCCCGTGCTGCTCTGAACTAGGTGCGTTACCATGCCCAGTATGCGGAAGGCAATTCGGAAATGCATTCCAACGAAGCTTCCATGGAGTATCTGAGCGGAAGCGAACTGAGAAGGACAGAAGCCGAGCCTCAGGTGACGGGTCTGTCTCGGTGGCAGATGGAAATCACGTGTTGTATCAGAACTGGTGAGGGTAGCAGGTCCAGAGATCGGACGGAGGCCCCCCCCTTCGGGAGGTCTGCCTAATGCGTGGAGGCCAGAACACGGGCGCCTTCCTTTCGCCTTTGCTTTCCGTCTCCCCTCGTCGGACCGCCGAAATGCCGAAAGGGTCACGGAACCGAGTTTCCTCGAGTGTCATATCTGGGCTTGCGGGCTGCTCTGTCGGTAGACCAACATCGTGGCTGCCTCTAGCTGTCGACGGCGATTTTGTTAGCAACGGGCGGGGGTTTTATGAAAACAGTGGGCTGCAAAGCAGATAAATGAATTTTGCTGACGCAACTCGTCTATTTGGCTTTGGGCCATCGTCCATGGCTCCCCCGACGTGGCCACGCCCATGTCCCCTAGAAACCCTGAGAACTCAAATTACGTGATGGAGGGGGGGGAGCGGCGGTTCGTCATTTATAGTTTACACCCGGTACGGGGGCCCCCTTCGGGGGCTGTGACAGACAGGGCCGTCAAAAGGCAACTTTATATTTCGTCTGGTCTTTTAAATCTCCCCCCCCCCTCCCCCAACTGTTTCCTCGTTTTCGTCTGGTATATTTTTGTTCTTTTTTCGGTCTCAAACCTCAAACAATCGGATGGTGAATATCAGCCCAAACCGGGAATGGTCGGAGTCGACGGCGGCAGCAGCCAGACATCCCTCCCTTCCCCTCGATTCTCGACGTGAACTATGTTGCTTCCTCTGACTATCAAACAGGGAAACCGGCCGATATCCCGCGAGGAGGCGAGATTCGTGCTATCCGCGAGCGACGGGAACTCGGGCGCGTGCGCAGCTCCGGAGAACACAGCTCCGGAGAATAGCGATCCATTGCCGCGGCGTCGGGCGTTTGATCTGTTTGGCGGAGTATCGACGTGGAAAAAGGGGGGCAGGGTGGGTTTGGACGGGGGCGAGAGGGCCAGAAAAGCCTATTTGTTCTTCTCTCTCCCTCTATCTCTCTCTCTCTCTCTCTCTCTGCGCGTTGGGCGAATGTGGTGTGATACGTGGCCTGGGCATCTGACGGATCCTGTTCTGAAGCTGGAGACGGGCTTTCCGGTAGTAGTTCAGCTCAGACGGTGACGCCCTTCATTGGTTTGGGGGTTTCGCCGGACGGCCGCTTTGGTGATACCGTCCCGACAGCAACGGGCTTGACGTATTGCCGGTGGCTTCATGGAGTCTGTTGGCAGCTCTTCCCTTGGCCGAGTTGACTGGTGAATGGGGATGGGGATGGATGATTCGATGCGGCTCTCTGAAGGCCGGGATCGTGCCAGCTCACGGGGAGAGATAACCACCGCGCCTGTTCCTTAGAGTAGAGAAGGCTTGGCGAAGTCGTGAGAACGGCCTGGCCCCGACGAAGATGTAGGTTAAGCGAGGCGGGAAGGGGGGGGAGGGGGTACAGGTCCAGCCGCGTCTTTGCCGCCCAAAGGCCGGTCTGTAGTGTCGACGGATCCAAACCGTTGTCATCTGCCGGACGGTAGGAGGGTGCCATCGACGTCGGTCATGTCGAGCCGGGTAGTAGCGTTGAAGCTCTGCAAGGGGTTCCCGGGAGGCCGAGGTTGATGAGGACTGCCTGGGAGACGAGATCTTCATGCACATCCGGTCCGGGGACACTTCGAGCTGCTGGATGCCGGTCTGCTGATATGCTAGACTCCGGTGACCGTGGGTTGCGAGCGAGCTGGGTGTCCACCTCCTCCTCCTCCTCCTCCTCCTCCTCCTCGGCGTCGTGGACGGCCGAGCGGTCGGTCAGAGGGCTCCCGCCCGCCCCGCGCTATCCAGAGCTTCGTCATGGTCTTCGTGGCGGCGCCGATGCGGTGATTGGGGGCTAGATCTTGAATGAGGGAAGTCTCGGTGTCTTTGGGTCCATGAGTTGCCTTCCTGTAGAAGAGTGGAGAGAAAGATATAAAAAACGAAGGGGGGGTTGGGGGTTGGGAGGTTCAAGGTGTACCCTTCCCGGTGAAAAGGGGAAGTTTTCACTAACAATAGCCAAAGCAGACAAAGACCAACCTCTGCGAGACTGGAGCATACGCATGTGTATAAGTGCCTGTCTATTATTGTGTGCATGCGAGATTGAAAGAGAGACCGCCTTGCAGCTGTACCTTAATGTAGATAAGTGCTTGTAAGTAAGAGCCAGAGCAATGGGGACCTTGGAAGATGAGACGGATGGGCGTTTGGAAGAGTTGTTTCTCTCTCCTTCCCTCTGTGTGTATTTCTGCCATGCAAGTTGCCTTTAGATCGGTGCTTTTGTAACATGAAACAGATATAGTGGCAAGATATCAAGCCGGGACGGTTGATCTCGACGGTTCGACGAATATTCCCCGTAGGAGATGACTGATGCTGGTTTGCAGCTTGCTTTCCCGAAAGGCGCGGGGCTTAAAGATTTCTATGACCTCGAAGGAGGCGCTTAGAAGTGACGAGGGCCGTAACCATCCTCCCCTTTGGGAGATGTAATGAGCAGAACAAGGTGAACGGCATTCTCACGTCCACGTCGCTCTGTGTTGTTTCCTCCCCCAAAATGTCTCGGCAAGACGAGAATAATAGTAGACTGGACAAGGTAAAGCCCCCCGCCCAGAGTCGCCATGTGACACAAGTGTGATGGCGGACGTCACGTTGGCGTGGCTCGCTGTTCGACGGATATGAAAAACGACGTGGATTGCAATGTGCGAGTCCGGCCGTCGCCTCTTGCAGTATTAACATGTTCCAATAAACTCCCTGGCTAGGTCTACATGCTCTTTGGTTCAAGGCATAAGTCGACAGATCAATCTCTCCATTCGCATGGACTGGCTAACTTGGCAGCCTCAACATGCCAAATGCTGTAATTGAACTGATGTTGAACTGGTAAACACTACAGCATATACGATTCTGCCAGGGATAGAGGAACTCCGCGTCGTCAGGGTTACATCCGATCCCAACGAGAGTTGAGGCTCTTCCTCCCCAATGATAAGTCACTAAGTCCTCCCCAAAAAACATCAGAAACAAGGAGAAAACATATGAGCGGCGTCCCACCGCAGCCGACAACGGAATGCTCCTGTCGACGAGCGCCGGCGAGCAATACCCGGAAGAGCTGCTCCTCCCGCCGAAACTTATTCGTTGGACACCTCATCCTCGACAAACTGCCTGGCATCGTTTCTGAGTAGCATAAGGAGCGCATGCCCGCTACCTCTGTCGGCGTCGTGTACATTCGGACGTCACCCCCCCTCTCCCACTTCCTCCTTCTAAACCAACCCCCCGCCCCTTACGAGAAGAAAAGGCAGGAGAGACGAGGAGCGGCACATGCCCGAAACATCAGTCGTCAATGAGCTAACACCAGCGTTTGCTCCGGGCGGCGGAACACCCCTTTATTCTCGGGAGTATCTCTGTAAAAAAAAAAAAAAAAAAAAAAAAAAAAAAAAAAACTTGACACTCGGAGGAGCCGCTTGTACGTCGAACCGTCCAAAGACAATATCTGACCACCTCCGTCCCTTTCGAAACCCCCTACCCCAGAGCTGTCTCTCCCCAAAACATCATCACATTCCTCAAGGGCCATCCGTCGGGCAACTGGAAAAGACACAGCCGTGGCATCTCGAGCCCCGTCACGTGTCTTACCAAGACCATTTCCTTTTCTTCCTCTCGACCCAGGGCGTGGGGGCGGCTTCAAGACAAGGCCATAGCAACATGCCCCCGGTCAATAGCAGCATCAGATGAGGAAGGTGTCGTCAGCGTGTGTGTCACTGTAGAAGTAGCCAATCCATGCAACGTCGTCCGGCGAGGGGGTCTCGTTTCCTGCTTGCTGCCTTTCCTGGCCAAATACAGAAGTGCCGTTGCTGCTCTCTCCTACCTAAGGGACCCCTTCTTCTCCGGCCGCCGGAAGAGCAAATCATGGGAGCCGCGCCCGGCCTCACGTGATCAATTAATATGTCCCCTAAACTTTCCCGTTCAAAGAACAAGGGTGAAAATAAGGCCGCAAATCGGCCCGGGGAGTCTCCTGTCTGCTCCCGGTCGTCGACCGAGCCTTGCCACGTGCGTGTGTGTAGGTGGCCGCCTCGAAGGGGGAACAACAGCCACCATTGGAGACGAAAGCAAAAAAACTCTATCGGGGACGAGTGCATAGCGGTAGCTTGGGAAGGAAGGGGAGGGGGGGTGGGCGGCGCCGGCCTACGGAGAAGAAATCTGCTAGCTTCCCGGAGCGGGTACCAGCATTGGATGTTAACCATCGTGGAAGGTTCAAAAAAGAAAGGGGGGGGGACTAAATAAAAAAGACACAAAAGAGCGACGTCGATCTAGAATTACAGTAATTTTGCTGTTCTGGGCCTGGGTTACATAATAGCCGGTACCTACTGCCATTTCTCAAACAAGCCGCCGCGGGAAGCCGCGAGCGAGCACCGTCGAGCGGCAACTTGCAGGTACGCCTTTTCGGGCCGGGGGGGGCGAGGAGGGCTCTTTCTTCGCCATTGGACGTTCTGCGACAAGGGTGCGAATTTAGACACGCTGGAGTAATTCGTAGACGTAGGGCGGAACATCGTTCAGAAGCAAAAAGAAAGGCCATAGCGAGGAGGGCCCACGACGATGACTACGACGACGTGAGTCAAGTCGTTTTCAGCCAGGACGAACGGACACGGAAAGAGGCGGGACAGATTTAGTTTTTTTTTTTTTTTCTTCAACGACAGAAAGAAGAGCTTTGGGCGGGCGAGGGAAATGAGGGTCCAGAAGATGTCGAGATTGCTGGTATCTTCTTTGCCATGTCGGCAGGGGTATGGTGGTTCGTTGATTGGTCGGGGGATGCCCGATATTCCTTCTCTCTCTAGGGCTGACGCTGCCATCGATGGACTGACCAAACGGTTTTCTTTCCTTCGTTGCTTTTCCTTTTCCTATTTCTGTTTCTATTTCCGGCCAACGAATGTCCATTTGTCACGGGATTGGGACGGAAACCCATGTTTCCTCGGCAGCGAGAGAACCCGCGACTGCTGCGATGTTCTCTTCTTCTGCAGGTCCCTGCTTGCTGTTTGATACGATTGGCCTTGTTTACATGGCGTGGTGAATGAAACCCGCATCGTTCGCGAATAACTCCTTCTTCTGGTCTGGCCAGCGGGCGACGGGGATTAGAGATTTCAGGACCGCTTCTTGAAGCAAGCCTATCTGAGACAGCTCATGCTAGCTAGCAGCCGTGGGATGTGAGCCAAGGGCCGAAGACGACAGGACGCCCAGTAAGCTAGCCCTAGTGACGCACCCGAGAGGTCCCAGACCAACAACCCGTGTTCCTGCTGCTAGCCGGGGGCCACGCGCGCAAGCGCACCGCGAAGAGGCTAGCGGCTGGCCACCTTGAGACCCGGATTCGCGGACACGTACAAACTTCCTGTAGACACACATACATACCCAAACATGCGTCTGACACCTCCACCACGCGGCGTGGCGGTTCGTCCACCGGATACCGGGGGGGAGGGGGGAGAGGCTGCTCTGCCTGAAGAAGGGAGCGTGCGGTGCTGTGTGCGGTGGTGCAAGTCGGCGTTGCCGGTGCAGCGAGGAGTAGCCCATACTGTACTCCGTACTGGATGAGGGCAGTCAGTCAGTCAGTCAGTCGGCCACACACTCCAAGCCGGAGCATCCCTCCCCGTCTCTTCTTTTGCGGCGGGAGAGCGACCGGCGCGGATCTGGGAGGATTTGGGAAGGTGATCGCCCAACATCGGAGGGTTTGCTACCGACCAACATCTGGCTCGACGAGGTTTTTCGTTTTTACTTTGTCGTGTGTCTTGGCCGGCGGACTGGCTGTTTCCTCCTCGGCCAGTTTTGGCGAGGAGGACTGGGGGCTGGGAGTAAAGGAGGGAGGTCTTCCGGCCCTCCACTCTCCCACTCTCAAGGATCGTCCTAGAGTTTAGGTGCAGGAATGAAGATCCCTCGAGTGGTGAGTGCAGATCCTTCGGTCTAGAGCTCCCCCCCTCGGCGCGGCGGCACAGCGCAGCAACCGTTCAATCGTGGGGTCCCACCTCGGCGTTCACATTCAACACACCCGGCCCAGGCGCACGTTTGTTCGTGTCTGCGTTTCGGGTCCAGTGCCTCACAACACGGGATTTCAGCTTAGGACCCGTCGCTGTCACAGAGCCCTGACAGTTTGGCTTGACTGGATTCGTGACGCGTCGATGGTTATAAGGGGTTAGTTAAGAAGGGAGGATGGGTGGATGAAGGTATGTTGCAAACATGACGTGCGGGTCAAGACTAAGGGCCAAAGGAACGAGAGAGGTTCGCGCGTGTGGGCTCATCAGGAAACGTCAGGAAACGTGACCGTGAGGATGTTTGGCAGAGGGGGGGGGGGGGGGGGGAGGGCCTGACACGGGGCGGCGGTGCTTTTCACCATCTCGACTGTTAATTCTCGCAGCCGGCTCTCGTCGTGCTGGGGTTGTTCTGGTTTAGCCGTTTCGGCCAGTCGAGCGCATTGCCGTCCAGCCGCCCTCCGCCCTCCATTCGTTTCAGTTGTTCGTATCTTGAGATCTTGCTGAGTCGGAGGATGGGGCGGGAGGGAATCGGCAATCGTGATGCTTCTGGCTGGTCAATGTGACATGATGCGATGTGCGTATGTCCTGCGCGCGGCTTTGTTTCTACTTTTGCGCTCGTTGCGGTACAAGAGTGGCCAGATAACCGGCTTGCGACCACCCTCCTGTTACCTCCCCCCATAGCCGTTGCAACGGTGGCGGGCGGTGGGATCGACCGCAAACGGGGGTCCATTTCGCGAACCTGAAGCTTAATAGGAGGTCTCTTAAGCCCGGTTTGGGCAACGACTCTGGAGCACACGGCGGAGGTGAATTTGTGGGATAACGTGGGATCCGAGTCCCTTTTTGTTTCCCAATGGCATGTTGCAGTCCACGAGCGAGCAAGCGAGGTGAGGAAATGGCTATGCGTCTCCTCCCGCCCCGTTCCTCCATTCGGAAACAATTTCCATAGGGTGATGTTTGTTGGTTTTTTTGGTCAGAAGAGGAATCCTCTCTCCGTGTCAGGTATCGTTTGCTCGCTCATATCGGATGATGCGTCGGGACCGGGTTACCAGGTTGGGACGCACGAACTGAACTCTATACTCCCCAATCGACGGATGGCTGCGGCATAATTTATTAGATGGGGCAATAAAGACGTATTCATACACACATGCGGATACACACACACACACGTGCGCGTGCGCAAGCGCATACGCAGTAGGTAGTATCCGTACGACCATGGATTATGCCTGAGCCACTACCGAGATGCCGTAAGATCACGGCAGCGGCGGTTGTGCTTGGCTACCTACCTAGGTATCTCGACAGGAAACCAGGCCTGTTTTTTTATTTGTTTTTTTCTGGGTACGTCCCCCCCGATCCACCCCGCCTACCCCAAGGAAGAATGCACAGGTCTAGATATTGCATGCAATGATCGGGAGTTGGTTCCCAATGCTGTCCACCTCGGTTAGGGAGTTGGAAAGCGATAGGTATTGGCAATGATGATGGCAAGTGCGTAAGGCCGTGGAGAATGGCCATCGGGTTATTCGGCACCAGTGGCTGGCTGGCTGGCTGGATCGGATTGATGGCAAATATCCACAAGGCGCACACTATGCCGTATTGTGAAAGCGGCCGGGAGTGGTTCCTGGGCACTGGCTTTTTTATGTAGTGTACGGAGTGTAGGTGGATGAGGATGATGGAATGGCTGCACAAACTAAGGTCCAGACCAGACAGACTCTGGACCTTGGACCTTGGACCCACGCCGGGGCGTTGTTTAGCCAGGGGGTGTCGGGGGAATCAAGGGATCCACAAGCGCCGCCTTGCTCTTACCATCTGGAAATCTGGGCCAATCAGAGCGCGTTCATACTCCTGTACACAGGTTTCGACAGCACCATGATCCCTGAGCAATCAATCTCGTGCCTGTGTCCCGCAGATTCGCTTCCTTCCTTCCTTTCCACTGCTGCGCACCTGCGCCTCGTCCCTCCAACGATGGTCCCTGTTCCAGTCCAACTGTTGCTCCTCCCCGTTCCCCACCGGGCGTTCGTCCTTGGTTCGACACCCCTCCCTATCATTTTCCGTCCCTGTTTCTCTGCCAGTCAGTCAGTCCCTTACTGAACTCTCAGGCTCTCAGCCCCCCCCTTCCTTTCGCACCCCTTTCAGCTTTCGCTCCGCCCTCCACCCGCCGCCGCTTAACGCCCATGGGAGACCAACAACCCGGACTATACCAGACAGAGCTGGATCTAGCCCATTTCACTCTCTCATTCCCCTCTACTGTCCCATTCGCTTCGCCTTCTCCTCTTCTCCCCCCCCCATTCATCCCCATCACGTTCATTCCCTTCTTACACCCCAACCCCGGTCAGCCCAAGCAGATAGTATCGCTGTCTGGCCTGCCTCTTTCTTGTTGCTCACTTTCGTTTCTTACAACCGACCCCTTCCCACGTCCCTCTTCCTCCACCTAACACCTCCAGGTTCTTACAGCCAGGAACCTACACCTTCGACGACAAAAGAGATCCGAACCCCGTCCACCCGTTCCGTCATCGTCGTCGTCGTTCGATCTTCCGGCCAACAACTTGACAAATCGCCGTTGATGTCTTTCGCTTCACTCGCCTAGTCGCTCATCCTTTTTACCACCGCAAATGCCGAGCTAGTCTCACAGTCCACTCGTTTACCAACTACCATACTTTCTATCTCACTCCCTAGCTACCGCCCCGAAAGGCCCTCTTACCAAATCCCTCGCCCCCGTCATCTCGTCCATTTTAATCCAAATCACCCCAGCCACATCACGCATTCCTCGACGTGTGCTTTCGACAAGAGACTACGACTGTCCCATCGAGCCGACATTCCGTTTCTCCTTCATTATATCTGTCACCATTCCCTCCGACGGACGGTTTCCCCAGCACCGACGAAACGATCCACTCGACTCAGGTGTCTGAGCGCTCCCCGAACTGATCGACACCTTCACCCAACGGCCTCCCTTCGAGATCGACGGTGCTTGATCAGCGTTTTCGACTTATTTTTTGCTTTATTCATCCCGAGCCAACTTACACACATCATCCATCATGGCTCAATTCGACCCTAACCTTCATCTTCGCTCGCTCGAGGAGCTGCGCGCTGGTATGCTGCCCGATCTCACGACAAGCTCGTCCCGATCCGCTCCCCACTGACACGCCCACAGTTATCCTCCCTCGTCAGAACGGCTGCCTCAAGTGCGAGGACAAGGCGCCGACATGCCCGACCAACTGCAAATCCGACGAGTTCTGCTCATTCACCATCCCGACATGTAATACCTGTGCCCAGGCCTTCTGCGCCAAGGACGATAGCTCTTCGTCCGACTCGTCGAGCAATCAGCCCAATACAGGCGCCATCGTTGGAGGTGTCATTGGCGGTCTCGTCGTCATCGCCATCGCCACCTACCTCGTGTGGAGGTTCTTCATCAAGACCAAGAGACAGTCCGTTATTCAGGAGTCCTACATGGAAGAGAACAGCGAGAAGACCATCGACGAGAAGACGACCGGCCAACCGCGGCAGAGCAACCGTGACTCGACACATACCGTGCACTCGATCGCGTCCACCGTGCTCACCCGAGCTTCCAACATAATCCAGATCGCCTACATCCCCGGCGTCACGAACCGCGCCACGCCCACGTCGCCGACCCTCCTCGTCCCCCCCGTACCCCCTATCCCGATGCACGCCTCCAACTCCGCCGCCAACAGCCCGTCCCCGTACGAGGAGCAGCACTTCTTCGTTCCCGGCGAGCTTCGCGATTCCACCTACTCCGGCATCTCCGGCTACACCGACCGTTCGTCCGTTGCCAGAACCTCGTACGCCGCTCGCTCTAGTATTGCACCTAGTATCGCCTCGACCATCTACGGCAAGAACGCCGTCGTCGTTGCACCTGCCCAGACCGGCATGCGTGCCAAGGCTGCCGTAGTGAGCGTCAAGTCTTTGACTGTCGGCACTAGCGGTACCGTGACCCCTCCTGTCCCCAGCGTCGACTACGAGAAGTATGCCCCCGGTCGGCCCAAGAGCCGTGACAGCACCTTCAGCGTCGGATCTACCTTCCTCAACAGCGCCATTACTGCCACCGCAGCCCCTGCCCAAAGAGTGCAGGTTGTTCGCGTCGGCAACGGCAACGGGCCCAAGCAGGTCAGCGTTGGGTCCTCCAAGGCTTCATCAACATCAGAGGTGGCCTCTGTACCCGGGACGCCGCCATCTACCGCACCTACCGCCACTCTTGTTGACTCCGCCGCCTCCACTGTCTGCGAAGATTCAATTGTCGATCAGGGCCCCTTCTCTGATCCTCCCGAGCCCAGTTCCGCGTCCTCTCGCAACAACCAAAGCTTGAGTGCGGTCATCGAGGAGGCCACACGGCGAGCCGCAGCGGGACCCGATAGGCGTTCACAAAGAACGAGCTCCTACGAACGGGGCCGCAGTCCCTTTGGCGATGAACACGCCACCAAGGACTAGAGAGCAACAAAAAAAAAGCCAATAAAATAAAAACAACCCCCGCCCGAACACCACGTGTTGGGCGTTGGCGGCCTTCATCACGATTTGCTTACTACTGTTTACCTGCCTATATATCAGGGATGCCCTCCCATGTTTCTTTCTCGTATTTACCTTTTCTAGACGACCCGGTCGGATTGCGCCTACGGGACCAGGCCGAGGGACGACTTTGGATGGACAGGGCTCTTATGGGATGTGCCCCCGGCGTCGCGGATGTTCTACTTTTACTTTATGTGAAGGGGTATGGGATGATGCGTAAAGGTGTACGTCAGCCAGCGACGCCTTTACCGATGTAGCTTTTGAATAAAGATGTGGTTATCCATCCACAAACAGTCGGTCCGAGCCTGTGACCCTGAAATCCCATTGGTGATTGTGATGATCCATCACCGTTCATCGCCATTCGACGACGGACTGGAGGAGCCTTGTTACCTCACGCAAATCACACTGTCCTTGAGGTTTGCTGATCGGCTATACGATCGTCACGTTTTCCCGGGGTGGGCATTATGGTAGACTAGGGCGAATCTCGCACGACACGTCGATCCTTGACGCTTTCCCCTCCCCCCTTTTCCGCGATAGGACGGCTGACCATCGCAAGCAGGCTGCCTGTACCGCGATAAGAGGATCATGGTGCGGGCTGTCACGGACGATTCATGAATGCAAAGCAGACGCTCGGCTTGCACGGCTCGATACACCATGCGTGAGCACGGACGCGGAGACGGGACGTGATGGGGTGGGCTGCGTCGTCGATGTGCCGGTCGACATGCACATGACGCGCGCGGGCGGGTATCGAAGCCGCGGGGGTTGTTTGGGCGTCGGGTTCCGAGGCAACGCGCCGGCGCGGCGGCCTGCTGCTCGGGACTTTTCCTGTGCCCATGACGTGGGTACGGGGCCCAAGTCGGAGCGGTGCCGACTTCACGGTCAACCTCTCTCTCTCTCTCTCTCTCTCTCTCTCTCCCTCCCTCCCCCACCTCGAAGGGCTTCTTCGTCTTCTTGGTCAAGTGTTCGGTGCAGTCGACTGGCCTGGATTTTCTTGGTCGACGATGAAGAAGCGGTCCTGGAGGGATTCGGCACGAGCACACGCCATCCCGTTTCGAAGGAGCCGGCGGTCTTCGCACCACGATGCTGTCGAGTAGCCTACGTGGGCTTCCCCAGCCCGTCGCGCACGCGTGGGGAGGGAGTAAAGGTTCTGGGCGACAGACACGGCATCGTCATCTGCCGCGGGCGCCTGAGAGAGAGACCACTGTAGGTGGTTTAGGTGTTTTCCTCTTGTACGTGCAAAGCAGGGGCTTGGTAGTTAGGGAGAGGCGAGACCTGCGGCCAGAGCTTATCCTGGACTGCCAACCCGAACTGACCCTTTAGTAGAAGGGCTTTCCCGGAAGAGCCCATCTCGGTCTTGTTCACGGAAACATTGATGCCTCGGGTCATGATTGACCAGGCCTGTCTTGTGCTCGCCGCCTCCCCTTCTTAGAACGCCCCGCGCATTGGAGCTTCGGGCTAGGCCGTGCTTGGCGCCTTTTCTAGCATGGACCCGCGGGGGAGGGCGGGCAAGCAGCCAGATCCAGGACATCGGCACAAGAGACGCCTTGGCGGGCGCATGGGGGCGAGTTCATGATCCGTTAGACGGACGCGGATATACAAGCCCTAGCTAAGCAACTCGAGGAAGTGCGGCTCGTGGGGGTTGCCGTCGTCCCAGAGGACATGTACAAGCGGATCCATCGCTATTCGGAGCTTATAGTAAATTTTGATGACTTTGAGCCTCACGGCTTCCTCTTTCCACCCTTGAGGATAGGAGGGCCCGCTCCCAAGGACTGAAGCACCGTAGATGAGGAGTCGGCATCTCTTGCGGCGGCTGTACAAGCAACTGCTGCGTGCCACCTCCCAGGCTCATGGTCTACGAATGGGCGTCAGTCGAACCTGCGACAGCTTTTAATTGTGTGCTGCCACATGGTAGACACAAGATCGTAGCGTAAGGCTTGGTTTGTTCACAGAGCCATCACCACAATGCCCCCCTCCGCTCTCCCTCTGGACATCTGCCGCCAGTGTCTCGGTGATGGGGTATGGGATTAGCCGGTATCCATCTCAAGCCAAGGCCGGCATAACCAGTGTGTTGCACCATGCTACGATCAGACGCTTGAATGGCGCGGTAACACCAAATCCCCTCCGCGAATGCGGCGACAATGGCATTCTGTGTAGTCGGTACCTAGTTGCAAGGAAGGGGAAGCCCGGGTCTACAGAAGAAAAAAAACGCCTGCGTGGGATTCTGAACAGTGAGCCCCAGTAGGCGATCGACCGGCCGGTTCCCCCATTCGTTCGTGTAACTGCTGACATCATGGAGCCTGGTTTCTCTCTGTCTAACTGCATCCGTCCCTTGGGTCTGGGTGAAAACATGCTGGATGGCCGAGGAGAAGGGAACAATCTTGGCGGCTAGAGGTTAAGGGGGGGGGGGTTTGAGAATGAGTCGTACACTCTCTGGACTCTCACCCTCGAATCATCGTCTGCCATCATTGCCTAGTCGCTTGGCGACTTCGGCATCACTTGCACCCCCTACCCTACCTCCCACTTAACACCATCATGTCATAGGAAGATACTCGTCAGGTTTCATGGTGCTGGTGGCCCTCGCCGCCGACGCCCTTTGAGCCCACGTACTCTCTCAAGAGGGGTTCACTCTTCCTTCTCTCTTGACCCTGTGTGCTTTCACGACTCTGGTGGACTCTGATAGAGGGAACCCCTCGGTTTCTAAAGGCTTTCACATACTGATCTACTCGCATCCGCGTTGTAAAGGGGGGGTGGAGATAACACTCGGGTTGGAGCCTCGTCAAGCAAAGCAAACAGGACCTGGGCGGAGAGAGAAAGTATGTCACGTCATAAAACAAAAAGGCGGGAAATAACCCCCAAAAAAACAAAACGTTCCGAAACCGAGAATCGAACTCGGGGCTATGCCTAACCTCTCACAGAGATGAGAGGGCATCATGTTGGCCACTACACCATATCGGATGCTGTTGACGTACTGAGAAAATTTGTACACTATGTATCTATCGCAACCCCGCACCCCTCCTTCTCCACCCACCCACGAGGGGGAAGCCCCCATAGGCGCATTTCAACTCCTGGGGCAGCATCGTTGATAATTAAATCACTTTCTCCCGTTTTTCCCCTCCGTTTATATTGCAATTATTGCATCAGCGTCGTGCGCGCCGAGGGGTATAAGGGGTGGGGGATTGATATGCAGCAACGCTCGCGTTTATAGATTGGGGGTATATTGCGGAGGGCCGGCCGTGGAGTTGCCAGAATGACAACAGTTCGGCTTGAGAAGCAGACCACAGATACTCTTCTGCCTGTTCCTATCTCTGAATACTCCAGCGAACTCAAACCTGGTTCTCTCTTACACATATCGTCCATGAATTTCTCACTACGGGTGTCTCCGAGGGGACAAGAACCTACAATAGCAGCCGGACAGCTGACGTGTCGGGTGTAAAAAGGCAGACATGCAACCAACAGCTACACCTGCAACTACCGTTAACAAGCACCGGTACTCCCCGCTGCTTCGCAGCCGAGACAGAGCGGAAAAGCGTCTTGGTCAGGGCCGTCACACGTGGCTATCCGTTACGGGCTCCGCGGCCGGCCTCGGCCTCTTTCGTGATACGTCGCCGCCGCCGGCGGTTTCGTGTGTATACTCCGCCAGGTACAAAAGGAAAGAGATGTGGGATGCGTCCAGTACCTACGTGATGCTCATCTGCGACAGCCCCGTCTCCGGCCAGCAGGAAATACGCGGCTTGTCCATGCGGGGCACGCGGCAGTGGCATGCAGCGCCGGTAACTTAATTCCCATGCTTGGCTGCCACGTCGGATCTCCGCAAGGTATGTTCTCTGATGTCGAATCAATCTCCGGCATACTGAAGTGCGTATTCAAGACGGGCCCTCTTAGGGTCGCACAGATGCAGAATAACACTCCAACACAGTATGGACACCATGCCCGGTACTCAACACCGCAAGTAGAAGGTTTGTAGATGGAAACGCAGCGCCATGGAATCTTGCAAACAGACCTCTCTACCAACCAAAGCTGCTAGAGCTCTTTCGAAGATGGCTCCATTCCAAGCGCAACCCACACCACGCGGCCAAGACAGGCTCCGTCCCGCACGCCGCGGGAAACCAACACAAGACCTCACCCTGCTTCAAGATTTTCTTCTCTCCTTCCTGCGGGGTGCCTTCCAGAAAGGTAGCGGCCCTTTCACTTCTCGCCCAAAGATGGGCAAGGAATATGGGGGCGGCGGCGGCGGGAGATCTGTAACCCTGCAGGCTGCTGCGTTTTGGCACACACATGCACACACCTCCCTCTCCCCAACGGGGACTGCTCGGCGATACAGAGGTTGCCAGGTGTATCTACGGAAGCGCGTCGCATATCTAGCCCGTCTTGTCGACGCTTCCGTTCCGTCACAAAGTCGTATGGCCGGACCCCCTTACGAGAAACATCCGTCTGCGTCGAGGAGAAGACGGCCTCATTTCGGACTGTATACGCCACAGTATCGGAACAGTGTATATGCACGGAGGGATAGGCGTCTCATCGCCCAAAGTGCCAAGAAGGTTCTGACCAACGTAGCATCGCGCCGTTGGCTCGAGAGAACCATGCCAAGGCGGGATCGCCCGAATAGATGAAAAGAAACAAAAACCGCCTCCAGACTATTCGCCATATCGGACATGGCTACGGGCGGGCGCACGAGCCTCCGGGGGTGGGGGCATGGCGACGGCAAGCGAACTTTTGGGCGGAAGTGTCGACTAGATCGGACCTCTAGCGCCGAAACCTGTGGGGGGGGGAGGGAGAAGGAGAAAAGGGAAGAGAGAGCGAGAGAGAGAGTGACCGTCAGTCGCTTACCACTGGTGAACGCCCTCCCGCCTCACCGGCCGGCCGGCCGGCCGTGTGTTCCCCCGTCTATTCCTGCCCGATAGTTCGCAACTTGGGGCCTCCTGTCGTTCAGGCTGCTAGCTCACCCGGTTCACCACAGCGTCGGCGACCCCTGCTGGGAAAAGCCCGAAGCTAAAACAGAATAAAAGGGACGGGGAGGCGGGTCGGCAATCATGCTTATTCCGAGGCGGACGAAGGGTGACGAATAGCCGTCCCCCGCCTTCACCCAATAATCGTGAATAGCGTCAAACAAAACGCCCAACCTCATGGTTTTCTCGCCAACGCAACAAGTGCGCCGTTCCCCACGCCCACGGAGCGTAGCCGTTCTTCTCGTTCTGGCTTACGTGCCTGATCCGAGACGACCGCGGGAGGACCGGCTCCGGGGGGGGGGGGGGGGGGGATGGTGGGAGGGTCCCGTGTCGCCCAGTGCACGGTAGGGCTTTGCGCCGCCGAGGAGAGCCCGGGAACCAGGGAAACAAACGTCCCCCACGGCCGGAGATTTTGATCAACGACGACTGCCGACGCGTCGGCCAAGAAACGACGTGGCGGTATAGGTTGCCCTGCCGGTGGATGCATGTAACCTGCCCCGGGAGCTTCTGGACGACAACCCCCCCCCCCTCCCTTTTCTGCGGAAGTGGCAGTAAAAGACTGCGAAAGGCGATGCGACATCTTGTGTTGTAGTTTGTCATCATGTGTTTGGCGAGACAGTCACACCATCAGGAACGAGGGGGTAGTCATCTCCGCAAGCTCTGGGAGGATTTGGTTACGATACTTCATGGCATGGTGGTTCCATATAGAAACCTTACATTGTGTTTTGAATGCCGAGCAGGGTACTGTTGCTCTTGATGGTTGATATTGTGTACCCTGTGCTACCCTACGGTCCCCCCCTACGGGGGACCGACCGCCTTGTATGCGTTACATTGGTAAAAGACTGCGAGGCGGAGAAAGGGGGACAGGAGCGTAATCAACATCGGAATCCACTGCCTTGGAAAGATGCCTGCCCCGAGTCGTAGGCCGATCCTCGAATATCATCTAGTCGAGGCGACCTAATAAAGGCAGTCCGGGGGGGGGCACCCGGATATAGTATACGCCGCCACAAGGGAGCGACCGCCTCCCCTCTCTGTGTCCCTTATGCTCGTGCAGCTATCATTCTAGCCCCCCTCCCCGTAGATGTAATTGCCCCCGAGTCGTCGGAGGAAAAGAGTGGTATCACGGTCGTCGTCGTCGTCGTCGTCGTCGTCGTCGTCGTTGTCACCGTGGAGAAACCTCGGGTACTGGGGTTCTTTTTGGGGTGGGTTTTTGTCTCGGCAGCTGAAGGATGCGTGACGTTGGACACCGTGACGGGCCTGATCCCTTGATCCGTCTGTCTGTGCGTGACCGGCTGTTTCTTTTTTTTCTCTTCCCCCCGTCCGCGTCCGTCGTCGTTTCTTTTTTCTACCTGCGCGGGCCGTTTTACGGGCAGACCCGCGCCAGGGTCGGGGATCCTATTACGCAGTTTCCTTATCCCCCTTTTTCCCACAGCGTTTGCCAGCTGAAGGACGGTCGGTTTTTATCTCTATTTTTATTCTTTCTCAAGAAAGGCCCCCCCCCCCTGCGATCCTGCTATGTAGCATGATGATGATGAAACAAACATATCATATAATCCGAGTGGCCAGCAAGGTACGCGCTGGACCGGGCACGTCAAGGGCCAACGCGGTCATTGGGCTCAAGACCCATGCCGTGTTTGATATACAGCCCAATGCTCCCTTGCCCTTCCCCATACCCTCGTAACAGGGCTGACGATGCTCGCTATACACACGACCTCGTCCTGCGCTTTTCGGGTGGGCCGCCACAATCAAAATGCCTCGCGAAATGTATATTTGTTTCCCGAGTGCCTGTTGGGGGGAAGCAGGCGGGCCCACGCTCGAGCACCTGCTTTTGGTCTTGTTACTTCGTTCCCGAGGCATCCTTGGGATGAGAGATGAATGGGGGGGATGGTTGGTTGGACGCGTTTTTCTCCCCTGATATTTAAAAAAAACCAGAAGGAGTCCTTGATTGTGACAGGCTCGTTGCTTCCGGCATGTGCATGCCGGGCCCCGTCCGTGCTGACACGGGATGCTTCTGCCTTGCCTTGCATTGCCTGGCCGCCTACCTACTGGCCCGGGGAAGAGAGGGCGCGTGATCCCGCGGGATCGGCGGCGTAGCTAGTACACCCGTGTTGTTGCTGCGGGCTCCGAGTTTAGGTTGTTTCTCCTTCTTTCTTTTTTTGCCTTCTCTTTTCTTTTTTTGTGTGCTACCCGAACACGATGTTGCCGTTCGTTCCCGCGGGTAGGGGGGGGGGGGGGGGGGCGGGGTTTGGTTTGAGAAAAAATAAAAGAATAACTAGAGGAAAAAGAAAGAATATCAAGGCGTGCCAAGACGCCGGACTTC